ATAAAATAACATCAGTGACCAAAATTCAAGATCAAAGTCAAAATTGATAAAGACAAACCAATCGATCGACTATACCTAATGGCGTACCAAGATACGGGCTTTTAATATATAATATTCTCCATACCTCTGGTGAATGCGTATCTTACTGAAAAAAAATATATATGTGATGATTTTCCTAATTAAAATTTTAATGACATTACGACGTTAGATAATCTTACAAAATGTCTATATCTCCCAAACAAGTTTATTCTATATTATTATAATTTTGTCAAGCCTTTATTAATAGATTTCGAAAAATTCTAAAAACTAATGTTCTATAAATAAATATTTAAGTTAGAGATACGAAATTAATGAAGCGACATTATCCGCATAGTCAATGGTACACTGCCTTTTTATCATAACTTTATGCCGCACGAGTTTTACATTCATTGGGCTGAAACAACCATAAATTTTATGAATTTTTGTATTTAGATACATACCAGTGGTAGGTGGGTATATATATTACGTATAGAGTGGAACTAAATAAAATAAATTTTTTATACCCATATGTTTAATTAACAAATCTAGTTAAAACCAAACCCTATTGTTGCGCAGTATTTCTGCTTTAATAAGATTTCCAGGAGTTCTCTAAAGAAAAATTGCTAGATTAATGTTTGGAATAGAATGTTCTAATTTATAGATACTTAATATATAAGTATGCAAAGTTAGTATTATCGTCATTATATCAGCTGTTAACTGTCTACTGTCTAGCATAGGCCTACTCCTATTTAGAGAGTTACGATGAATAATTTTATGAAATAATCCTTCTGTTTTCCAACTTGATTTACCTACCGTTGCCGTGATAGTAATACTTCTTCATAAGCTTATCGCTCACCCGCTTCTAGTAAGTTACATACAAAAAATTGTAGATAGTGAAGTATTCGTTATCAGTACACTTTAACACTTTCCGTATTACCATTTAGCCAAGGGCATGGCATCGCATCCTTTCGTAAACTATTCACTGTTAACAATCACACAGACGGGCGACCGCCGTCCGCCCCACTGACACATTAAGCAACTGACATTTTATTATATTTATGCTAATCCAGATTATCGAGAACCAAAAAAAAATTAATTTTGTGTCCACTGACTTTTCAGTTAACTAATGTTGAATTATCACTCTGCTGATACATATAAAGACGCATAATATGTTATGCTAAATAAAACTTAAATCGATCAAGTGCGAGTTAAACTCGCACGCTAAAGATTTAGTATATAGATGAAAAACGAAATATTATATATAGTTTATTATATAAAAGAAATACTTAATTGTTACTGTTATTATAATTTTTATTGCAGTTCAGATTTTGCTTTTGTGCCATCATAATCAGGGTTAAAACACTGATATTTGTGAATTTGGTAATTTCTCAAACTTCTACTAGCTTCAAAAACCCTTCTATTTTATTATAATATTTACATATACCTTTATAAACTATAATTTTTTTTCGCTTCAAATAAATCTTCAAGCTTCAAATATTTCATCACTGAACAACAATCCAAATTATTTATACAATCATCCTTGTTACTCTGCAGAGAGATATCATATCAACAAATATATTTAGGTACCTATACTTATGTACATAATAAAAAATTGAATGAGCTTTCACTCACTTCTGTTTAATTAGGATTTATATACTTTTGTCTATATTATTTATTTATGTAATGTTTTATAGTGATATACTTATTCGAATGTTTCGATTGCCCATACGTAGTAACCATAATCACAGGTAGACTACAAATTTGAATAAAAAAAAATGAACAAATTATAAATAATCTATTTTATAATAAACCACTACTTTTGGATAAATGATAAAGAAGACATTCAAAATAAGTCTACTTTAATATAAATTTATATCTAGATTTCGATTTTATTCTCTAGTCTTACTTGTATCTCCTTCAGTAAAACTTAACCTCTACAAGGGAAGAGAAGAAGGGACCACGGCCGAATAATTTTAATGGCTCGCTGACAGATTATTTCAGAAAATTAAATTTTAGCTCGTTGGACACAGACCATAAAGTTCGTGCTTACAAATCTGTTTGTTACGACATCGTAACGAGATTATGCCCGTTTCGTAGTGAAGATGTCGCCATGTCGTCATCATATTGCATGTTTTATTTTATTATTACTCGCTATAAACGAAATGTCCGTACTGCCTCTGCTAAATTATACAGATATTATTTTAATGTGATAATCGGAACGATCTTTATGACATTTTATTGCCAATAAATATAACAAGGATTCATATTGTACCTATTTATAATGAATAAAGATACACATGAAATTATGCGGGTATCGGTCTCCAATAGATACGTTAAATTCGTGTAAAATATCCATTGTATTAATAGAACTTCGCTGATAAAATTTATGTGAAATATTTCGTTTGAATATAATTCAATAGACATATGGTATTCTACGGTATTTATGGGTGAAGAATAAAAATGTTCTATTGACAATGTGTCGTGACTCGTTTTTACGTAGTCGTAGAAGAGGCCCGAGTATTGTAAGCCCTCGGAGTCACGTGGCCACGTGCCCCAATGGCGACCCATTACAGATTCACGTGTTCAAATAACCTCACATTTTGTTAAACGGTCGAACCGGCTTCTATTTGTCCGGAACTCCTTCAACGACCTCTCCGACACACAACGTGCCGTGAACTCCTTCAAAACCACTACTCTAAACTTGGAACACAACTCACGTGCCCTAAAGAAATGAAATTATTGCCCCCAGACAATACATTGTAAAAAACGTTTCTGACATTTTAAGAATTCGTTCATGAAATTTGCGAAGTGAAGATTGAATAAGTCAAATTTTATTTCTTTATTTATTATACTTTTCTATTATTCTTTTTAGTCAGTTACATCGTCATCTATGCTTTTCGAAATAAATAGAACAATGTAAAAATAAAAAATCATCCGTTCAGACCGATTAAAGTCATTAAACTCAAAAACAATACGAAACAATGAGAAATAATTAAGTAACCTTCGGTAGGTTGCTTAATTAGTACCCACTTAGTATCAACGAAACAAAATAAACCTTCTATTACTTGCTTGTAAAATATAGTCCGTGTGTTTAGAAACTGTTTTCCAATAATCAGTATGACGAGCCATGACACGGGCATTGACGGAATATATACTTAATATGTATTAACAAATAAATGGACAAACATTAAGTACTCATACAACATAGAAGCAAAAGACTTAATTGAAATCGTAGACACAAAATTAACGCACAATCAGAAAGAAATTGTTGCTGTTCCGAGAATTCCCTAGCGCAATTCGACCAAACTCATTATTTTGAGCTGACGTAGTAACATTAACTTTGAAATGCGGTTGCGAATTTCATCCAAGGCTTGCAATTAACTAGTTGGCTGATATAGTGCGTGCACGGACGGCGGGCAATGTTAATATGGCAATAATAAATTTCGGTTTCCATCTGCCGCCGCGGCCGCTCTACCAACTAACTGTCCTGGGGCCCGCTCGACCCATTAAAAAGACTCGACGAATTATTTTACATGCATCATATTTAATGCACTGCTCTAGTTAGCTATATACAAGATATCCAATTTAATATAAAGTAACAAATACAGCGGGCTTAGTCATTAACGTACTTTCTACGCATATTTCCCTGGTGATTCTTAACCATAAATATTTTAAATTTATTAAATTAATGTATTTTAATTAACGGGAAAAAACTCCAATCAGATAAATTCCATAATAATAAGAACAATGATCTTACTGGTCAATATATTTTATTAAATATTTCATTATTTTTTATTATTGTTATTGCATTCCATAATGTAATTAGTAAATAATATTTCAACTTCAATTATGGACCCTGTTGAGCATAGCAAGTAGGAGAGAGGAGGACAATCCTTTTTTCACTTTAGAAATAGTTTACGATATTACCAGTATACTGGATAATAGTAGTAATAATAGACTGGATAATATTGTAACAGAATTTGTTATAAAATTATCCAGTCATTGAAATTGTATCACGATAGGTACGTATTTTCTGTATTATTATTATTCATCATATACTCGTATAGGAGCCGGGAATGTATGGCGCGACAGTAATATGAATCTTTATGTAGGTATATATCTGTTGACACGTATCGGTGGTATTGTCCTTATAATGGAGAATTATTTTTATTATCCTGGTAATAATCAGGCTTTGTGGCACATGCGACTCGTATATATCTTTAATTAAAACTGGATGCAGGGCTAATGACGTCGCTGTGTACATGACAACGCATAAATCCCATGTAATGAACGCAGCGAGCGTTAAATAGGGCCGAGTCACTCAAATTGTCCACAATGCGATTATTTCATTAGTGGAAAGCTGCTCATAGTAGCCCTGGTACATACGCGAAGCTACATCACATGGCTGGATCTCATATCTAATACATAATCCCTCCATTCCTATATGACGGTTCTTGTAATTCGTACGCTCAGGACGTTGTAAATCTATGTCTATATAAATTGAACTTTGTCCAAAAACTATATTGTAGATACATATCTTTATTTACATTACAAATATCATTATCATTAATCATTTAATGCATCAATTAAAAACGATCACAATAAATTATAAATATCAAGTTTGTATGCACTGTAAGCAAATCTGTTTAATCCCACGTACAAACTGACCACTTGATGTTGGGGTTGAATTTAATTATGTAACGTGATACTTTATCAATAAACATTTGTTTTTAATGACTTGATCGGGCAGACCTTCCAACGCGCCACGCGGACCGCCTGTTCAAATTAAGTAAATATTTATTTGATTAATTATAAATTTATTTAAATAATATTATTATATTAAAGTAAATTTGAAGCTCTCGTGCCTCAATCGTATTTGTTTATCGATAATATACTAAGGAATTTGATTGTGAGTAAAACTATGATGAACGTGTCTTATTTCAAAGGAGACTCAGATTTTCATATAAATATTTCTTTTACAGTTTAAAATCAGATCGACGACCGTCTCAGCTGGACCCATATGCCACCAGAAGCGTCCTCGCACGTGCCCTCGACGTCTGGGAGCAAGCGTCCAGACTTACCTTCAGGGAGATCAACTCAGATGACGCTGACATTGTAGTCTCGTTTGCTAAGTAAGTATTCATCTTCACTTCGGTTACCTTTCATTATATACTGTTCATATACATTGTGTATGACGAACACAATATTTATTCGCACAATTGAAAGCCAAATTAATTACTTCACGATCTTGATCAGATTAATTCAAGTTAAAAGAACATTAGTATGAAACAAAAGTTAAAGACTGAACGACTGACTAATACAATAAAATCATATTTAATTTAAGATTTTATTTCAGAAAAAAGACAACCAGTAACTAATCCAATCAGTTACAAAAACAACCATCAAAATAAATTAAGAAATGGTGAAGGTATTACATAATATACAAAAAATACAGTGAAATCAAGTACCATAAATAAAATTAGACAACTAATTATTTTAACATTTTCCCCATATTTTAAATGTTAAAAATCTTTTTTAATAATAATAATAAATTTTTAACATTTATAGTGTAGAAAAAAATATGAAGAAAGAATAAAAATATCATAGCTTAGATAGACCAAATATACCTTTAGAAATTGCGCACTATTGACTTTCCTAGTAGAAACAGTATTTTATCCAAATCAAAGTAGAAGTGAAATTTCAAATTAATATTTGAATCATTTAAAAAATATTGTGACTTGCAAATATGGCTTGCAAATATATATTCCCTTGTGGCGTCTGCAAATAAATATTGTGCATATTTATCTCATAGCCACTTATCAACATTATTACTTTCTTTTCCATCAAGTAGGTTAATTAAATTGTACATAGATATTTCACCTCTTTCTTTCTTTCGTACAGACATGACAGCGACGTTTACTTCTTACATTCATCTCTGATGTCATTCTCTTCATCTCGATCGCTCGCCTCTTACATTACTAATTTCCGTTTTTATATATTGTTTTCTACATATTCCTTTGTATATAATATTTACCTTGTGTATGTAATATATGTAAATAGGCAAAGTTAGTTGTTATACTTACTTCCTCCGAATAACTACACCCTCACACGATTCTCTTCATAGTAGTATAGGAGATTTTTTATGGGGCTGGCGGGATACCTATGAGTGATGATACTCCTAAATGAGTATGGAGTCAGGTCAGTTACACCATCATGGCAAATTCTCTATGAACTGATTACTATTATTTCTAAGGCATGGAAGTCAACCTAACGGGAAATATTGCTAGCAGTAAGGATTATCCTCCTCATTACTATTTCTTCCCCGCAGTATAAAAATGTAGCCATGAAATATACTCAACATACGTACAGACTCTTTTAACAATAAAATAAAACACTTTCGATTTTTTTAAATTGTAAGAATAGATAATATTCGATGTAATATACGTTTTGCGGACACTATTTAATTCAATTTCTGTAATTAGAAATGTTGAACCAAGTTTAAAATGGCTATCATAGATTATACATTATAGGCAAACAATCCGCCGATTCGGCGTTAGCTCATCTTCTATATATAAGTACCATAAATAAATACGTACACAAGCCAAATCTAAATTTTTTCAGTAGGTCCTTATTAATTATCCTAATCCCCAAGTTAACCCTTAAAACTATACTAATTTATCTTTATAATACTGAAATCAGTTCTCGATTATTTCATCTAACAGTTGAATAAAATCAAATAAAATTTATATAACAATCCAAAAAGAAATCCGAAATTCGTTGCCGAATTTATTACATTGATAATAAATAATAATCAAGTGAGGATTTAGAGAAACGTCCTATCCATTTTAAGGGGATTTGCGAGTTGATCGTGCGAGGGTTGCCAACAATCAGAATAAAGGTTGGACAACGAAAATTCACAATCTTCTCTTACACTCTGTATTTTGAATTACAAGTTTTAGGTGTACATACGAATACCTTAATAAATAGAATCCTACAACGATATTACAAACTCAAAATGAAAGAAATTTGATGCACTAAAATGTATCCTACTTTGCCGCTTAAAGATACATTTTTTCGATTTGTACAATGTAATTAATGAGCGCTAAAATTTAATTCAAATATCAATAGATAGAATGTAAAAAACGGGGAAAAATTCTTTATAATCTACAGTTGAATTTATCAAGAAATTATAGAAACGAAATCAACATTCCAATAAAAAAAGTGGTTGTCAATTGCATCGAATTTTTATCTATTTTATACATATCTTCTTCACTTCTGAACCGATTCTGATGATAGTTTTTTAATAGAAAATATATCTTTCTTACTAATTTTATTATAACATTGTCGAAATTGTATATTGTATCAAATAATATGTATTTTATACAGAATTATATTATATATATATATGTTTACTCGCTTAAAGCAAAGTATTTCATAGTACCTATTTTATATCGTTTGTCGCTACGCCAGCTACTTAGTATCGAAAATATCCTTCAAATTCTACGCATCAATAAAACGCTTTTTAGTATGCAATAAAATTGATACACCTGTTTTGCTATTGGTTCATATTCCATGCAAACGTACCTATTTATAAAAATATTTTATGAGTCACATAAATAAACTAGATACTTACCTATGCGCATTGATTAGAAATATTTCATCTTACTTATTTTCGAAATTTACATCACAAGTTCTATAGATAGGCACACTGTATATTATTTTAAAAAAGTGACATATCCATTGACGAGTAGAAAATGCCACAATGTGCACTTTTATTTAATTTACTTTAATTAACTTTTTATTTTATTAATTTACTTTAAACTTTCATTTTTAATTACGAGTATAATAAATAAACGAATGTATATTAATTCCTGCTATAAATAAATAACGAATTTAGCGATAAAGTCTATCTTTACATCACATCTATTGCATCAGTACGACTTGTCGCGTGGAATATTTTTTCCGGGATTCGCTTTCATTCAAAAGACGTGACTGACTAGCTAAAGCCACTCTTCCATTTATCTTATAGTCGATTCACTACAATTCCCATGTTCGTGTCTACAAACCTATAAATTTATATACACAGTAAGTATTATCGAAATAGTACTATTACTTATTTATTTATAGTTTATTGACCGAAAAAAGTAATACAAAGACAGACTTAATGATACTGATATTATCTACCAACTAAATTTAAATTGCTCAAAGTTTACATATGACGTGGTAATATAGGTATCTATACTAAATTATTTATTTTTATACCACTAAGGTCACAAACAAACATACAGCTTGTCGGATGGTAAACGATCACTGTAGCCTATGAACGCCTGCAACACTGTGAGTGTCTCGTGCGCATTGCCGACCCTGAAGAAACCGTTTTGAAGAACACCATACTGTAGTCAAATGGAAAACCTTAACAGTAGGTTCCTTTTATGATCTATACAAATAATAAGAAAGGATTTTTTGAAATTCCTGTCCTAAGGGTATAAACATAAGGGTGAAAATTTATATGGAATTTTAATTTATTTACGAGTGAAAATAATGAAACTTAATTTTAGCATTTTTTTAAATTCCACCCCTAAAGGTATTCAAAAATGGATGAAATGTCCTGAATAAGAGGACTTAAAACCGGAACTACTAAAACTAGACAGTAGATTTCTTTTATAACCTACACAGGTTCGAATTTTTCGAAATTCTGATTCTAAGAGTATAAAAATATAGGTGGAAAACAATTTTTTTAACTATTTACTTAAAGTTAATCATAATATTTCTTATATATAATATTATTTAATGATTATGTAATTTCTGTATTTTTTAAAATTCAATTTTATAAAGTAGGTTAACACTGAACTTCTGTAACTTAATTTAATTTAGCATTGGCTCATGTCGGGAACAATGTTTTTTAGCAGTTAGTCTAGAAACTGTAGGTTCAAAATCCATCCAATTTTTTTTAATAACACATCACAGGTAAAATAAATAAAATCCTCTTTTTGCTTTGCCATAATAACGTAGTATATTTTACTTTTTTTTCTGTAGAAAAAACTATTTGCTATACATACATATAGTAAATATACATTAAGTGGTTTAAAATTAATTTAGGACGAATATGGAAGTAACCCCTATCAATTAAAACCTTATGAACTGACGTTGATATCCAATAACAAATTTAGAAATAATATGTATGTATATTATTTTTCTAATATAGATATATTTTTACAGCCACTTTTCAAATATTGATGATAGTGACTTATCATAATAATTAGGATGTAATATTATGTCAAACCAAACATTTTCCATAATTTTTACATCGTAACGAATGAGTACATGGTTTATAATGAACTGTATATAAATGAGTATATATGAGATATAGATGCAAAATATTATGTTACCGTCGAAATCTTAATTTAAATTATAAGGAAAATTAACTTCACCTCTGTAATGTACTCGTACTCCGAAGCGGCACCGCGATTTTCCGTATTCATTGCACGCAAAAGTCATTCGTTTTAGAGAGAAATCCCCCTCTTTATACATATTCATGTTTTTAAAATGTCAATTTAAAAAAAAAATACGCTCGTATTTGATATTTATCGTTTTTGTAAAATAGTAAATCAGTGAAAAAATTATAACACTAATAAAAATGGTATAAAGTATATATAAATAACTTTATAATGGTTTCCAAAACAAACGTAATAAATAAAATATCAAAAATACTGTAAGAATTAAGTTTTATTGCAATTCTTATTATTCTACGAATATCTATATCCAAATACCGCTATAAAAATTTATTTGTAATACAAGTAAGTACTCTATGTATCTTGTTATTGACGAGAAACATCCCACGATGATCATAGCAAACGCTATAGCGTACGACCATATCCTGACAAATGACGTAGAGCTGCCGACAGGAGCCGCATATCGAATGAGGAAGGGCAAAGTTTCGCTTATTAGATCCCCGTAGACAGCGATATGAGAAAGTAGCAGCGACAAAAAGCTAAGCAGGCGGACATATTGCGACCACATATTGCCATCGCTGCAAACTTGCACCACAACTAGTTCAATACAATCTGAATTTCCAAAGCCTCTACAATCGGCTGTATTTTCATCCGATTCTAAAAAAGTAGATATTTTTCAATTTAACAATATTTTTTGTTATGGTTTATACTACTCATACTATTATTTTCAATATTATAAACAATTATTTTTGAACAAAATCAAATTTTTTTTCAAATACGGTTTTATTCTTTAAGCCTTCTTTTGCTTTACTATTTTTTCAATATCTGTGAATACTATTTGGCTACTATTTGTACAAAATCTATTCATTTTTTGTGGTCTTCTTCTTTTCTTACGTCCATATCCATCTACATTCAAAACATATACTTTTCTTGTGATGTCCTTTTCCATTTGCACCGAAAGCTGAATCTACATTACCATTTAAATTTACTATTACTGGGATACTTTTAAATTTCCTTAAATATCTATCCTCCTATACTTATTTGTATTTCGTGAAGATCCTGCATCGCCTATCCTAAAATTTCTACTACTTTACGTCATAAAAATAAAATAAACATTATAGTACTTCTATAAGTAGAGATTAATTTATATCTACAAACTAAATTAAAACTTTCTAAGATGAATAACCATTAAATTGTTTGAAGGTTTTATGTAACTGAATCCAATTATTTCAACTACTTATATCTGGGCATTAACGTACACAATGTTGTAACCCAATCTCTAGTATAACGGCCCCTATAAAGATAAGCAAAAGTAAATAAATTAACTCTATTTTTTACCATTATAAATATTTTGGCAATATTTACTTTTATATTATCCTTATCTTGCTTACAAAACACTTCAAAAATAAGTCTTAACAAAACAGATTTCGCGAGCAGTTAACCACCCAAATTTATATTGAAGTATTCAATGGGTTTCGTTTCTCTTTATAACACCATCGCTAGATTATTGATGTCGTAGGATACAGGACGCCGTATTAAATGCGGCGATGCGTACCTGTGTTGGATTTTATGCGTGCCATTAACTTATATTACACTCTATAAAAACCGTTCATTTCTTACTGTATACGACTGAGCTTTCAGTTCTATAAAATATACAAAGCCACTAAAATAACATAATCAATTATTAATAAAAAGCTGCAAGTACTAATGTATTCAACATGTTTCAGTATCAAGTAAAATTAGATCAAACGAGTACACATCCTTCCCCACCTTTCATATTTATATATTATTAAATAAAACAATTTTCAGTAAATATGCTATAAATACTATAAATTTTGCGATATTTATGATAGATAAGTACATGGTTACACTGTACATACACTTAATTTTTACTAAGGAAACACAAAACATCGTCATAGTCTAAAGAACTCTCTTATGTTATCATCTATTATTTTCAAGATTTTATAATATTTTTTAAAATACTTGCAGTTTTTTCCACTGTGTTTATTAAAATGTTTTTAATATTTATACAGACGACCTGTTACAAAACTTCATGTCCAGGCATATTTTATTAATCAGTATAATGAAGTTTTACCAAGAAGACATAACACAAACAGTGCATTATATTAGATTAAAATTAATTTAAATATGTATTTAACATTAAAACCCAGATTGTAAGTGAATTCGAGATTGACATTTTGTTAATTATATTACTTATTATTATATGCAAATTAATTGCAAATAAATGCAAAACCTATTAATATATGCAAAATTAATATAATAAATATGAATATATTAAAATAGTTTAATATAATATTATATGGAACCTTTATTAAATATACATAATATGTATGTAATACACCACATTATAATCTGCCTTTCCTGACTCTACATCTCGTAGACGTCGCGTAGACCGCTCAATTTATACAAAAAAATATTAAAAATCATTTCGTACAATCTTTATATGAATATATTTAGTATTTGCAATTAAATAAACCTTAACAATATCTAGAATCTTATAGTAATAGATCTAAACGCAACACCCATCTATGTGCTATAAGTTATACTACACCATAAACTGTAACACAATCCAGTAATAAAGTATACGTAGTCTACATCTTAACTGCCTTCTATAACTTGTGAATAATAGGTACGTTATAGACTGTAGAATTACATAAATAGCATTGTTTCGCTACGAAATTCTTGAGATTGGCTTTCTTTCGTTTCGACATAAGAGCTATGTGCCAAATTGTAAGTACAATAGTAACTGTATTTCCACAGATTCACAGCAGAAACATTTTATAATAAACTTTGGTTTATTTTATTTTATTTATTAGATAAAAATATTATATCTTAATTAAATTTTGTACATTATATCTTAGAAGATAATCGTTATGATATTATATAAAATTTTAATAAATTTATTCTTCATTACTTTCATTACTTTTTCATTAACAATTATTTATTCATTTTAATAAAAATATAAGTTACATTATATTAATTATTAAGAATTTATTTTTATGGCTGTTACGTGAAAATATTTATCATAACTCAGGTATATTTTAATCTATAAGTAAAAATACCTATCGTCAACTGTTCAACATTTTAAGTACCCCGTGCTTATGGTACTTATCTATTCTGAATTTAAAACTATTAACGGCTTATTTTTTATGTTACTTAGAATGGTAAACAAGCTGACGGCCCACCTGATTAAAAGTTTTAACCGTCGCCTATAGACATTAACACAAGCACCATGGACATAACAGAGTATACTGATATGGTATGATATCCCCCATGCGTTGCTATTCCTGACGAGTCAGGTGTTATTCCTCTGTACCCTGTAAATTTACTGCCATATCCCAACTTTCAAACCGAAACACAACTGCTTCATGTTAGAAACACGAATGGAACAAAATTACCCAAGCAAACCACTTTTGTACAAAAGCTCCCTCTTAAACATTAAGTATCTACATATCTATTATATAAAAAACTACCTGGAGAAAAAATACTTTTAAAACAAAGAATAAGCCGTTACCCATCGATATCGACCACTACAAAGAAAACTAAACACCATAAATCATCCCCTAACTTGAAAACTTTCATTCCCAACCGATCACATCACACGAAACTCTGTCAGATTACACTACACATTTGAATCACTTCAATAAAACTAATGTGACGCTTTACATAATAGATACTTTGAAATACAGGGCATTAGATTTATAGCTTTAATTATTATGGGTTAGTATCTGATAGATTTATTTATACAACTAACAAAAGTGTTAGATTTATAACAATTTTCATAAGTTTGTTTAAGCTTCCAATTTAAACAAACGTTTCTACCAATATTTTTGAAGGGGCAAATAATACAAATTAAAAGTAATTTAATTAAAATACTTTAATTAAAATTAAATTGGTTTATTCAAATAAATTTAATATAACAATAAAGTAAAATAATAATGTATTACCACTCTTTTTCATGCCCTGCTTATCATACCAAACTAACCAGTGTGAAAATAGACCCATTTTTAAAAAAAACATAATGTGTCACACATTTGATTATAGTCTTTAGAGACTGATGACAAATATATTAATAAGAAGAAAATTATTACAAATCATGAAAACATATCAAATACATATCTATATATAATACAATTATATTATCGATACAACAATGGAACAAACTTGTGTGTATTGGTAATAACACCACGACAAATAATGGAATAACTTCCTAGTAACTCAATATCACAACATCGGTCAGCTAATACTGTGTGAAATATGCATGGGTAAGGTCTTTCCATTGTTTTGTTGGTGCGAAAAATGATTAGGTGGGCAGTGGCCGAGCGGCAGACCCAGGGGACGCAAGTTTGATTGCTCTGCAGACTCTGTCCACTCCATCAACTGTTGTTTGTTACGAAATGAATATTATTACTTTAGTACGACTGTTTTCATCAACAATAAAAGTCTGCAGAGACCATTTTGCCAGTACATATATTTAATCTAGTGTAGAAATGTATGTAATCAAAGTTAGTATATTATTTCATAAATTTATTATGGTAAAATTTATGTAGATGTTTAATGTAAAATTACTGAAATATAATGTATCTACAAATAATTACTTATGCCATTTACCTAATCTGATTATGATTATGATTCACACTATATCCCGAATTTTCAAGACATTCTTCAATAGGTCCCACAATCTAAAACAGATATTTTAAATAATAAAATTAGAAGTACTGTAATTATTTGAAGTTGTTCACTGCTAAATTATAACAAATGATTATTGTTCTCAGGCGTTACCATGACGATGCATATCCATTTGATGGACGTGGGTTAATTCTTGCACATGCATTCTTCCCGGGCACCGGACGCGGCGGCGACGCGCACTTCGATGACGATGAACTATGGCTGTTGCATCCAAAAGATGACGATGAAGGTAACACTGGGACATTTTTATGCATTATCTATTAGTTTGTACTTAACAGCTTTTTACGCGTGGATATCATAAGTAAAAAAAAAACAATGAAATACGAATATACATTTTTTTAACACACAATATTAACTTAGACCTTCAAAAATAAATCTGTGAAAATCGCATCCGATTTGGTGCAGTAATTTTTGTGGCATCACGCAACAAACACAAAATTTCCAAAAAAATATAGTTTTGGCGCCTATTGGTATTATTAAAGCCCCACATATAATTTTCTTTAAATATCTCCCATGTACAGACATCTAACTAGATAGTTACCCTTTTATTATATTATTAAGATTATTACAGTAAAAAGCTGTCTATAAATCTGTACAACGAGAATTTTATGACCTTACGTGTTTGTTGTTTCCGACAATTGATTCGACTTCATCCGGAAATACAAAGTACTTCAAGGGGGCGTACAGCGCTTTGCGTCACATCTTCTCGTCTCGCACAAAATAAAATTACAATATAAAGCATTTATTGATTTATTTTAATATTTTAACACAACGCAAATAATTCTTCTCTTTTAGAAAACAGATTGTCAGTGATTCAATGTATTCTCTGATTACCTATATACGTTCTACGTACAGTATAATAATTGGAAGTGTTATACTGCTCATATCTACTAACCTACATGTTGTGGTCTTCTTTATTGTACAGTTTTTACCCGCTACTTGATATACGCATATAGAGTAGAGGAATGTAGATACCTACTTTTTGATAACGTATCAAAATACACCAGACTTTAAATTACCTTCTGTGAAATCCGCGTTCAATTTGGTGCACAAGTTTTTAAGTAAAACAAGAACAAATATAGAAACAAAAATTATAGTTTTGGCTTCTTTTATTTTTAATATGCTTCATATCAATTTTTCCTAAATATCTCCAATGTAGAGATATCCAATTACATATTAGGATACACATATGTAAAATAAATAGATTCACAACAAAACCAGCACACGTTCTTTGATTCAATATTATACTTTGATATAATAAAATATATTATTTACCTGTAATACAGTTTGAACATGATTGTCCCCAAGTACATTATTATACTTACATACAAATAAGATTATTTACGTACTTTGTAATTCGATTTGTGCTTGACGAGCTCCTGAAAATTCGTAATCGAATCGGTTGATTTCGATGTTTTATTCAATTTCCTTGTAATTTTGGTAGCGAAATGAGCTACGTGCACAGAGTATATAAAGCTAGTTTATATGTGAGTACCTATCGTGTAAACATGGGCGCAACTCGATAGGCGGCGCGACCGCAGCGCACAGTCAGGCGGGCGCGCCAGATTACCCTCCTCTGTTGCACACGTGATAATTTACACGAACAACGGACGCCTGCAATGCTATTCTGGATTGTACTGGCCTGACCATGTGTAAATATTCCTTACCTTTGTTTTAATACCTTTATTTGCCCCAAACCACATGTAAATATGCGATAGGTAACTTGCTATTAGTATATTACCTTACATGAAAAATTACGATATATTTATTTAGCTATCGCATACGACCATAAATTATTTGCAATGCTAAATTAAATATATCTAAATTGAATTTTCAGGTACATCTCTATTTGCCGTTGCGGCGCATGAATTTGGGCATTCCTTGGGTTTAAGTCACAGTTCTGTTAAAGGAGCACTCATGTTTCCTTGGTATCAAGGCATCCAACCCAATTTTGTATTGCCCGAAGATGATCGTAATGGCATTCAACAAATGTACGGTAAGTTAACTTTATAAACTCATAATTTATGGATTAAATAATTAATTTTTTTGTTTTATTTTAAATACTGATTGAGCAAATGTTTTATTTCTAGGTCCTAAAGTCAGAAAACCATGGGCGAAAATACCTTACTATCCAGTAGAAACCCCACCTCCAACCACCACAACAACCACGACTACGACCACCACTACAACAAGGAGACCCTTCTACTGGAACCATCACCACAATAGGCACCCAAATCACAGAACCGATTACACACCCTTCCCGCGTAACAGATATCCTACCTATTACCCAGAGAGAACTAATCCTGAACGGCCCGCTCGGCCCCCTTACTACCCAGACCGTCGCCATTACAATACAACCGAAGAACATCCAAGAAGGACGAACAATCACTACCCGCGTCCTACACCCGAGACAACTACGCAGCCTACTACCTACCGCCCTCGTTATCCACAAGTGAATACAGAGTACCCAAGGTATCCCAGGCCGAATTATCCAACGGATCCGAGACACGATTATCCTAGAAGGCCTTACTATCCTGAGAAAACAACCACTGTTAGACCGACACCACCGCCTGACAAACCGGACACTTGTAATACTAGTTACGATGCTGTGGCACTTATACGTGGAGAACTGTTCATTTTCAAAAATAGAGTAAGTAACAAAAAAATATCGGAAAAAGTAAAAAAAACATCATATTGATTTTATTTTTATAAAAGATATAGATGTCACGAAACCACATTCATCAAAATAGGATAAGTAGTTTAGTTTTTTTTTAATCGATGAGAATAGAATAATAACCTCGCTTGCGCTATCGGTATACGTTGGCAGAGCATCAGTATGAGATGATAGGTGAGGATGAAACCAAGTCAAGCCTATCGTAATGAATTCCACATGAAATAACCACAGTGGTTTCCAGAGGGAACTGCGTGAAGATGCAATAGGGTTGTTACAACCCATTACTGACAATCCCTTCACCCCCCCCCCCCAAGGCAGTTTACTTTTTAACATACTTAAATGTATAAATATCTATTTACATACATTTACATGCCGAGGTTTTTCCAAGAGCCTACAGCATGGGGTTATTCAAAAGGGGGCTAAAGAGGTTTCTTCAGGGTCGGCAAAGCACGCGTAATACATCTGGTATTGCAGGTGTTCATAGGCTACGGTAACCACTTGCCATCGGGTGGGCCGTATGCTTGTTTGCCACCTCAGTGGTATAAAAAAAATACACTGCTCAAATCATAACCCTTTTTCTGAGTCTTTGCCGTAGTTGGGTAAAGATCCTCTTTTTCTCAGAAAACATTGTTTGAATGCTAAAATGAAAAATTTTGTTATAATGATAAATTAGTAATGTAAATTTATTCTTATTTCTATTTCAGTATCATTGGAGGATAGGAGCTCAAGGTCGATATCCCGGATATCCTATGGATATATCAAGAATGTGGTCAGGATTACCAAGAAACTTTACTCACGTCGATGCTGTTTACGAAAGGCCGGATAAAAAGATTGCAATCTTCTTAGGTAATTAAGTGTTTCTCGCTTCCTTCTTATCAAAAACATAAGAAATCTATATGAGTAATTTATAATTTCTATTTAAAACCTAAGTTTCATCAGGAATTATAACTATCAGGTTGATTAGAGGCCTACTATTTGAATGTTTCCTGAAAAACCACATCGATCTTAGACTATTTTTAATTTTTTCGTTGTAAATATTGGTAATCCTATTCAAACTTTTCAGGAAGAGAACTTTATTTGTTTGACATACAAAACTTGATGCCGGGATATCCAAAACCATTGAGTCAACTTGGATTACCAGCAAGTTTAGAAAAGTTAGACGCAGCTATGGTGTGGGGGTATAATAGCAAAACTTACTTTTACAGCGGCTCTGTGTATTGGAAGTAAGTGTTAATACTTTTATTTGTTACTAATAGAATCACGTGGCATTGTTTGCGCTGTATTTATAACAGTAATTAGACCTTAGAATAGCTAATGTACTACTGATCTCAATTTAATTAGCGAATACCAAATAATTATGTGACTTAGAAATCCAAACCCCATCAATATAGCATGGGGTTTGGATTTCCTCTTTAGATGAAAACACCAAATTCCGTCCCCTAGTTACAGAGCAAGACTTTGTATAAAAGTTCTGTGCATAAGTATCTCTACATAATTGTGATACTTCCGTGAAATTATAGCGTGCACAGGATATTCTATGCATTGACGTATTTAGTAGCATTACATGATACCAGTATATGACGTACCATTTTCCAAGCGGGTCTGACCCCATAAACAGGGCACATATGTTTTGTCTATAGTTGAAAGCTCCACTCCTTATTCTGGGATGGACTCCAGACAATTCCAGGTGGGCACAGCCCACCCGGAATTGCCTGATTCCCCTCGAAATGCCTTTATTTCTATGTCCATGGTATTGTTTATATCTATAGGCAACAATTACCATTTTCATTCAAATAATAAATATACTGATGTTGTACTAAACGTAACACGAGTTTTCCGCATTTTTCCGAGTGCAGAAAAATCTATTGTTATCATCGTCCAAAACGTCTTCGCGTTTGTTACAAACAAATAAAAAATCTAAAAGTTTTGTTTTCGAACAACATTTTTGTATTCATATCAGAGAAACGTTTTAGATACCTACCCCTACGAGTATCCCCTATTACCTAATTTCTTAAAGTTTATTTTTTTTTTGTGTATAAGTAATAAATATTTTTTATTTTTTATCATAAAAATATGAATAATATTAAATAACAATGTACTAATTACACTTCTCTACTGCATTATACATATTATTTATTTACATATTTCAAGAATATCTCTAACTTTGTCATTTTTATACCCTATCTTATACTTTTACTATATTTCGTTTCAGATATGATGAAGAAGAAGGTCGTGTTGAACCTGACTATCCTCGTGACATGTCAATGTGGAAAGGTGTTGGATACAATATTGACAGCGTGTTCCGATGGAAAGATGGTAAATAATATGCTATTATTTAAACTCAAATGTTAATACACTAATTATATGGATATATAATAAAATAATGTAGCCTATGCATAACCTACCTTATACCTACAGAATAATGTAAATAATCGAATACATACCTTGTTGCTAACTATAAATTTAGATGGTACTGTAACTCAAGATCTTCATGTCACTTGGGTCGCAAAGCGCCCACATACAAAATTCATGCTTCTTGTGACATAAGGGTTCAAGGACTGCATTTACAGTTTACTATCAGGTGAACTGTAGACTTGATTACTATCATCATTATAAAAAAAAATCAATTACATCTTATTTAGGTGCATTCTTTTCCTTATTATCCTTATTAATCTTTTATTTTATTATTGTTTCCTTATTAATTAACCCTTTCTTGGCAAATAAGTTTTAATGATGTTCATCTAACCCAGCATAAAACTAGTACAAATTATAAAATTCGCATCTCTCATTAACAGGTAAAACTTATTTCTTCAAAGGCAAAGGTTTCTGGAAATTTAACGACCTGCAGATGCGAGTAGAACACGACAAGCAACTACCATCAGCCCAGTTTTGGATGGGTTGTTACCCAGAACGTGCCGGTCGGCGTGCACAGGAGCGCGTATTACCCGCACCCGGTTCCACTATGCGATCACCTAGTTCTGCACCATTATCAATGAATGTCAGTATATTTCTACCTATGTTATGTTCTGTTATCCTTGTACTCTATAATATAATTTCTTTACCGTATATATCTACACTAAAATAGTGGTTTCTTGTTATACTTACCATTATTGGTAACATGGTTAGGCTGCTAAGAATTACAGATAGTCAAACATTTATTTGACAATTGTATTGTGTCCAGAGAACTTAACGCGTTAATGGCCTGCATGAAAAAAAAAATTATACGTGGGCAGAAGGCTGTATTGTTTTCTATATGTATTAAAATAATTGTAATTTTACTTAGTTATGACTACCACTGAAGCATAAACGTATTGCCACATTGTTTGAAGGCATAGTGCTAATTTGAATTGAAAAATAATAAAACTCTCGTGTTTTTTCTTGTAAATGACAACTAAATTATAAATAATTGCGTGCCACTTTATATAAATTTGATAGCAAATTGTTTGGTTTAATTCACACATTATGTATTGCCACATATATATGTGTGCAACATGTTGTACACTAAGGTCGTACATATCGGATATGATGTTTGACATTAAACCGTAGATTTAGTAAATAAGTAACTATTGCGCAAATGATGCACTGCCTGTCTTAGTATTAAATTATGTTATGTACGAAATTATATAAACATGATAGGATAATTATAGTGTTGCATTTTAATACTTCTTTGAGGCGTTTATGTACATTTTGATCTCAACATGATCGCGTGTTTGGTTTGTTAATGACTTGTAAGGTATATAACACCATTGATTTAGCTTCTGTACAGTTTGTATCGTCCCTCGATGTCACTTCTTATTTTGATGTTTAAATCTTTTTTTAAAAGTACTATTCACAATAGGCGACAATGGGTTTTCACTTTACCTAATAATATAACATTTGTCGTTATTAACCATTATAACTTCATAACCAGATATTTGAGAACTTTAATGTTATCTTCTGCGCCTTTTGTGAAAAGTATAAATTGAAATTAATCTATAACTGTATCCTCAAAAAATATTTTCTTATGTGTATATTTATACGCAAATATATCCACAAACATGCCTTAACTGACGAGAATAGTTATAATGTATAATAAAATATCACAATAAGATGATGTTATAATAATATTATAATGTGAATCGGTAATATATCTCTTATGCTGGTTAAAAGAGGTACATGTAATCTGTAATTTGTATTATACCTAATATGGAATAAAAAGTATAAAATATTAGTAATATTAAGTATATGTAAATACATCTATATTTATAATATACCTACCTAATCCTTATATTTCGTTCTTCTAATCTTTATACAAAGCAATATGTACCTATACTTTACCTACTTGTCTATTTATTAATGGTTCAGATTTATATGTATTGTCTTCCAAAATACGTACGTTTATAAAATTACTTACATTTCTTCCCTCCGTTTAATTTGAATATCAGTCACATTTTAAATTTAAATATTTTATTTTTTATTAGATACTATTTACCACATAATTGGGATTTGATATAAAAACATTATTAAAATATGAAAATTTTACAATAATTATTAAATGATTGAAAAAGATTAGCATAGAACGTGCGGGTTTAAATCCCGTTTGTTTTAAAACTTCCTATTTTATAGCCTTCGATTTTCATATTTTAATAATATTTCTAAATTTAATTAGTTCAGGTTCAAACTTTTGGAATGATAACAATTAAATACAGAAGAAAGTAAGAAAATTATATGTGTGAGTCACAACAGATTAAGAGTTTCGTTGCATTTACTCGACCTTTACGTAATTAAACTTTATTTCACGAAACCTTACTGTACAACAAATTTTATCAAAAAAGTGAAGCTCGAAAACTCTTTACTATTTTTTTATATTATTTTTATATGACGTATCCAGGATCCCTTTAGACATAATTTATATTTACTCCATACTGAGTATCTAGTCAAGACAATGTCTTATAATATAATCCACAAAAAATATCATATATTCTTTGATAATTAGTTACAAATTGCAAACATCTTATTATAGAAAATGTAAACAATAATATAAAAATTTCAGTTTTTTGCAATTCTTACACAAATTATTTGCACGATTAATAAAAAGGTTGTCTCCGCACCAACTTGAAGAATTATTTTTAATCAACTTTAAAATGGAGGAAATTCATTAATTCCTCACTATTGTTTCTCAGTTGTGACTGCATACAAAGAAGTAAATAGTTACATAATAATAGATACTAAATACTACAAAATTTATTAATAAATATTTATATAAAGCCTCGTCCTATAAGTACTTACCAAAACAAATATCTACCCAATAGAGAATTAACATGAATAACAATATGGCCTTAAAAGTATATTGTTGAAATACTAAAAATTAGGTAGGTACCTACTTTAATGTGAAAAGAGCGAATTGTATTGTGTTACCATCAAAGGAATGGGGTATAGACACTAAGGTAATGAAGTTAGTAGGATGAATAATGGTGCTTATTATAGTTAGTTATTGTACAGAATAAATTCTCTTTCGATATTTTTATACATTACTGTTGGTTGTTAACTATAACAAATGTCTCATAACAACCACAAATAATTAGATAATATTAATATTTATTTCTTTCTAATATAATATTAGGACAATGTTCTATATCGATGCGAATCATAACTATAATCTTGTGCAATCAGCAGTTTAATTTAAAGTAACAGGTATATATCAATAATATTTGTATGAATATAAATAAATAACTTACTTATACTTAATAAGTTATATCACGCCGGAGTGACTTGTATATGTATTAGGTACGATCCTTAAATTAATAACATCTAAGGTTGATTATTATATTATTATACCACTCAAGTCGCTCATTATTTTAATGTAATATATAATACATTAGCTTTTTTACAATTTTGTCGGTCACAAACGATTAAATAATAACTGTGATATTTACTTGTAAAAATGCCATAACTGATTGGCAATAAAAATAAATCAAAGTTTTTGTAATCTTTAAAATAACCACCCAGTGAATATTTGTAGATTTGGGTAAGTAACTAATTAAGTAATATAATATTTTATTTAAGGAATTAAAAACAAATAAAGAACTTTCTGTGAATTAAGTGCTTTTTATTTTTATAATACCTACTTAGCGTAGACCGAGAGAGAATCGTAACCTTGCCTACGCTATTAGTTTACGCCCTTACGCTATTGGAATACCAATGAGGAATGATAGGTGAAGATGAAGGCAGGTCATGTAACCCATCATGACAAATGCATAAAAAAATTACCGTCCTCTGGAATTCATTCCAAGCGGAACCGCGTGGAGCTAACTTGATCCGATTTAAAAAATTCTTTCACTGTTATAAAAGTATATTAACTCTGAGTGCTATAGACTAGTTTTTATTTTGATAAATAGGTATATATAAATGTGCAAAAATCCTATAATATGGCAGGCGCTGCCTGAACGGTTTGAAATAAAGAAATAAAATTTATAGCAAAAATATTCATTACTTTTAGATTTATAAAAAAAGACCACGACACCATATACGAGTATATAAGTTTAATATATCAGCCAAAAAGATGGTTTTAAAGTTAAATAAATTTTACAAACCGTTCATTTTAAAATCTTAAAAATTATTAGTGCAGTACTTTCACACATGCCAAAATACTAGCCTTACTATAATATATTGAACAGTTTAAAAGTTACAAAAACAAATATTGTATCCGTGCGAAACCTGAGCGAATCGCTAGGATGTTATGACTTGAATTAGCAAACAAGATGATTCTCTACCTAATAGAAACTGGTAAATCATTTTTACGTTCACATTATATCACTAAATACTGTTAGATAAGCGTTGAGCAACGCAGTGACCTAAGCAATGTGTTGTAATTCTTGAAAACTAGTGTTTTTTTTATGATTACATTAATGGCAAACCCGCCCAACGGTATACGCTTGCGGAGCACCAGTGAGGGACGACAGGTCAGTTAGCCCATCGGGATGAACACACCTGAGATTCGGCACGATGGTGTCCAGCAAGAACCACGTGGAGGTCGACCTGACAGGGTATATTGGTAGTAAAGTGACTAGTAATCAGCATTACTAAGAATTCCTTCCCCTAGACTATAGTGTTGTACCTACCCCCGTAATTCTTTAAACCGAAATACAATCATACAGGCACATCCAGCGCCGGACCTTAGTTTTTGATCAAAGGAGACCAAGATTAGGGACGATTACGAGGGCCCACTTTTTTAAACCTATCTATTAACCTAATAGATAGATAAATAGATAATTTATTTGCATTACTTACAGCACACAAATTACTTATTTATTTATTTATTTATTTATAACATTATTTCATATATTACAATAAAAATTTTAATTTTAGAGATAGTTTTAGGGAAAGGGCCGCAAAATCGACCCCAGTATCTGGACGCCCTAGTATCATCATAGTAATAATTAAAAAACGTCTGTAAACATCATGATTAATGTTTAGACAAAACGTTTAAATTAGGATAAATAGAAAACACAATAACTGGTAAATAGGTATATATAAGATTTTCTTTTTTTTTTGTATGAACTATTGAGTTTGTAAATTTGAAGAACAAATAATTTATGTGTAAAATTTTATGACTTGAATCTTGTATTAAGATGTATGAAAGAAAATGGCTGAAAGAGGAAGTAATTCAATTATGTTATTGACTATTTTAATTAAGCACATTAGGTCACTACACCAGCAATACATTTCTAAAGAGTTGATATTGCAGTACCCAAGATTTATTATCATAAGATCTTATACAGAGATTATTTGACTTAAGTGAAAGTATCTTTAGATACTTTTGGACATGTTAATAGAATCATTATGGATTTTATAGAAGAGACCAAACAATACTATTGTACTTTAAAATACTTCTGAAAGTTGCAAAGTATAAATATTTAAAACAGTGATAATTCTTGTGCTGGCAATTGTTTTTTGTATTTATCTTTTTTAACGCTATTTGGCTAGAGTGACTACTCAGCTGAAACCAAAAAATCATAATTCTAACATAATCTTGAAAGTTGGCCTGAAAATAACATGTTTTCTTTATTCTTTTAAACTAGTTATATTAATGTTTTTACTCATATCTTAAAACTTGATTTTGTTAAACAACCATATCTTAGTCAGAAGATGGCAATATAAGAAACTCAAAAATGAAACTCTAAGTCATTTATACTTATAGTTCTTAAGGTAAAATAAAACTAACACATTTAAATATTTTATTTTTTATTATAACATCAACACAAATAAAAATCTACTATTTGTAAAATTGTCAGTTCTTCTTTCAATTTGCATCTATATCTTTAAACCCCAATTTCGAAAAATCTTCTTTAAGCATTAGGTTATTTTCCATTCTACATGCTAAATACTCTTTAGCTTCTTCACGACATAAAGAGTTATTGCCGTTATTATTAAACAAACACTTCATATATTTTGTCATTATTTTCTTACACAATCCCTCATGATCCAGGGGAAAACTGCCCTTGTCTGGTGGTGTTGGAATAAACTGTTTTTGACCAAAAGTCATAGCTGTCGACATTTTCAATAATTATAAACCTGCTTTCCGGCATCAATTATTATATTATCTATTTTTTATACTATAATGATATAGACTTATAAACAAACTTTCAACTCAATTCTCGAAACCTTATATTTATATTATGATTTTGTTATTTATCTTCTTTGATGTTCCCAATTTTTAACTATCATATCAAATCATTTTTTTATTAGGTATTTAATATATATAATTAATAATAACAAATCCACTTTTATTAACTTGTAATTCCACCTTATTATTAAATAAAATAAAAACGACTAAATAAAAGAGACTGCATGTATTCTCAAGTCACGTCAGTCAGTTATAAAATTCTGTCAATGTAACATGAGTCAAATGTCATTGCCAAAAGCATTAAATGTCAGAATAATGTCAACATATCTTTAGTTTACATGGCGCTGTAATCTGTACAATATATTTACTACCTATCAAATGCACGTGTTTTTATTTAGTTTTTGTGAGTTTATAATTTAATCTTTGTAATCAATGTCTCGTCTTATTGTAAAAAATTTGCCAAATAAGGTATGTAAAAACCAGAAGTTGTTGAATATGGAATATTATTAAAATGAACACATTATAACTGTTGTGAGTCCATTATTAAAACTCTATTTAAAATAATTATTGCAACTGTTTCATTTGTTTACAATTATAGGTAACACCAGAAGGACTTAAAGAAATTTTCAGTGAAAAAGGGGAAGTTACTGACATACAACTTAAATATACCAAAAATGGTAAATTTAGAAATTTTGCTTTCATTGGATACAGAAATGAACAACAAGCAGAAGCAGCTTTGGAATATTTTAATGGCACATGCATTAATTCTATGAAGATAGACATTCAAGTTTGTGCAAATTTGGGAGATGAAAAGAAACCTCGGGCATGGAGTAAATATGCACCAGACAGCACTGCATACAAGAAATTACATAAAGATGAAATCGAAAATAAATCTGAAGAAAAGAAAATTAAGAGGATAGAGAAAAATAAAAATAAAATTAAGGAATTACTTAAAAAGGTTTGAGAATTTATCTTAGTAAAATTATAAATATAAATCTTAAAGTATATAATTAAATATATTGTTTATTTAAAGTACATATGATGTTAACATTACGACTAACAGCTGACAGGAACAAGCTGTAAATAAATTGAGTCAGATTACAATCCTTCGCAATAAGTGACTAAATGCAGAAAAAAAATTCTAACGTTACATTTCCAGATAAAAATATTTCCCTTAATGACTATCCTTTTCATTACTTATCCATTACCATTATACAAATAATTCTTCCTAGTAATAAAACTTTTGAATAATATTATGCATTATATTTTTATAATATAAATAAAGTGGCTTTTACAGCATAAAGATGACCCTTTGTTTGCTGAATTTATTGATGCGCATGTAAATGACAAAACTGCTTGGATCAAAGAAACATATCAAGAAGTTGCTAGAAGTGAAGATGAGGACAGTGGAGTTGAAGAAGAAAATGATAAAACCACTGCAAATAATGATACAGAGCCAAAAACAGTACTGAATAATGAAGTCTCTAATAATGTAGAAAAAAATGCAGATAAAAAAATTAGCGACTTAGAGGTATGTTTCTTATAAATTTACAAAAATTAATACTTCTTAATAAATGCTTCTAAAGAAATGAAAGGGTTTATATACTAAATGTGAGATTTTATTGATTTGGAGAGTTGTATGACAAATTAACATCAAAATTTAATTATTTTTATATATTATAAAAGTATACTTTTATAAAAAAAAAACGACAAATGATTAACAGTAAAATTGTAATAGAATAACTATAATGGAAATAAAAACAAGATAAATAAATGTCCTTGGAGGATCAAAATCCATCAGTCACCTTATATTAGTCATAATACAATTAATTTCATATAATCCACCAACTGAACTATTTAACCATTAATTTTATGCCTCACTGTGAGATTGGATACAATAATACTAATAATTATGATATAGGACAACATGTTTATTTAACTTCAAGTCACAAAAAATACATAAAATTCAATAAATAATATTAAATTTTATTTGCAGTACATGAAGTTATTGATGAAGAAAGTACAAAGTACCGAACAAGGTACTCCACTACAGCAAGATGACCAAACACTGAAAAAAATTAGGAATAGGCCATTATTTCATGTAAAAGTAAGATCGTTTAAATTATACCTATATTTATACAATAATAAACTACACAATTTATTTTAGAATTAAATATGTAAGATTAGTTCTTTTTTTAAACAACTACCTTATTTTTCTCTTTAGGTTACTGGTCTACCATTTAAGTGCAAGAAAAAAGATGTAAAAGAGTTCTTCAAACCATTAGTACCATACTCAATTAGACTACCATTGGGTAAAGGAAAAAAAATAGCTGGATTCTGTTATGTTGGTTTTAGAACAGAAAATGAATTGAAGAAAGCACTTATCAAAGATAAATTGTTTCTAGGTAAGACATTATCTATGATAAATAAACCATTTAAATTTATATACTAATTAAATTACTTTTGTCCATTTAACATGAAACTGATATAATAAAATTATTTAGGTAAAAATCGTTTACATGTTCATAAGTTTGAAGATAAAGCTAAAAAAGCTGCAGAAGAAGAAGAACAAACATTTCAAAAGAAAAAGCAAGAGGTATGTCTATTCAATTATGCATGCTAATATATTTTTTGTTCTTTTCCTTATACAATTCATAGTTATTAATAAAATTTATGAATATTCGAAGTCTATCCATATGAGCACATTTTAACAACAAAATTATTTTCATTTAATTAATATAATTTATTATTCTACGAATATAAATACAAATTATTCTATGATTTAAAATATGAGTCAGTTGAAAATCTGTGACTAATTATGAAAAATTTACAGGGTACATAGGAATAACACCTGAGTCCTCAGGAATGGCAATGCATGGGGGGTATCATGGGCGAAACAGTATACTCTGTTATGTCCATGGTACTACTCATTTCTATAGACGAGGGTTACTACTTTCCATCATGTGGGCCATCAGCTTATTTTCCATTCTATGTTGCATAAAAAAATACAAGTCTTCAAAGTTTATACTAATAATTGTATTATTATTGTAATATACACACTTATGCTAAAGATATGTGCAATCAATATTGTATTTGTTTAACCTAGTCCATGTCTATTAATATTCTGATGTGTATGTATATATTTTAATTAAAATATCATTTAATATATTTTTCCAATTGTTATTATAATAATAGAAGTAGTCTGTTTATCAAGGCTATTATTACATCAATATAATATTTTTAACAACTAATTACAGCTGACCATATAAAATGTAGAACTCTACAAGTTTGCAACATAATAATATAAATCCTCCAAAAAACTTATTTTGGTTATAGAGGACTTATGAGTGTTTATTAATGTTATTCCTAGGAAAATTCACTATTTTAAATGTTCAATAGGGTTATTTCATATTTTAGCTAAAGAACTCTATAAGAATTTTGATGAATAAGACATATATTTTTATTTTCTAGAAACAAAACAATGAAGAAAGCATCGGTGAGAGTGGCAGCATTTTCATTCGTAATCTTGCTTATGTTGTATCTGAACAAGAAGTGACCAATCTGTTTGAAAAATATGGTGAGTTTATTTACAAATTATCAAGAGGATATAATCAAAATAATATGTTTTAGTTATGGTTCTACCACTATATTTGAAAACAATAGTTGGTGCACTTTGGAAGTGTTTTCATGTAATCATGTTGTATTATTATTTAACAGGTCCACTGACTGAAGTGAACATGCCTATAGATCCGGTATTGCGCCGACCTAAAGGATTCGCGACCGTTACATTCATGATCCCGGAAAATGCTGTCAAAGCGTATACAGAACTGGATGGCACTGCTTTTTGTGGTAGAATGCTGCACCTGCTACCTGCTAAGACTGATAAATTGGCGAATGAAAGTGATGATGGTAAATGTTATAATTATTATAAGTATTATCATTGTGTACAAAATATATAAATAACAAAAACTGAACCATTCTGGGTTTAAAGAAATGAAAATTTGAACACTTTTATAATGGATATATCCAAATTTGTAAAATGAATTAGATAGATATATGAAATTGCCACCTTATTGGTGGATTACAAATAAATACCAACTATATAAATACAAAAAAATAATAATAATAATATTACTTTCTTAATTTCAGAGGGTTTATCATTCAAGGAAAAGAAAGCAAAGAAACTAAAAGCTCAGGCCAAGTCATCACACAATTGGAACACACTGTTTTTGGGCGTAAATGCTGTCGCCGATGTTGTAGCGGCCAATTATAATACCACTAAGGAGCAATTATTAAATGATAATAATAAAAGTAAGAAATAATTATTTTAACCAACATAGGCAGTAGGCGCGATGTACCATAACTTTAATACGCATAACATATATATTATTATATTTTCTACATTAGCGTTCTATGTAAACAAGCAATCAACAGTAAACTGTGCGCACTGAAGCCATTTCCATTGTCTGTGCAGACCCTAAGAATGTTTTATTCGGCTTTCTATGTGTTATGGACATTTTATATTGAACACTTAACACATGCTTCAATTATTAAAACTAATTTTTATTGCAATTGCTAATTTAATATGTATCAAATAATATTAAAAACCTTTTCAGATACAAGTGCTGCAGTAAGGTTAACCTTAGGAGAGACACAATTAGTAGCAGAGACAAGAAATTTTCTCGAAAGTAATGGAGTCTATTTAGAAGTTTTCAATAAGGTGAATACATAACTTATAATTATGTGCTATGCTAATTTTGTTAAAATTTAAGTCAACTGTTTTGTTTATAGAAATATTGTTCTTTCTTTATTTTTATATACAAATAGAATTTTGCCCACTATGCGCGTGAATATCAGAAATAAAAAAAAAAACAATGAAATAGACCAGTTCTGGATGATGTGCTAATGTAAAACATCCACTTGTTTTTAGCTTAGACCTTCAAGAACAACAGTGAATACCTTATTCAATTCAGTGCAATAGTTTTTGCGTGATGCTGTAATAAACATACAGATAGACGGGCAACATTTCTAAAAATTAATATTTTGGCCTACTGCTCCTACTAAAACCCCTTACATCTTTTTTTTAAATGTCTTCCATGTACATATTGTCCAGTTACCATCTTATTATATTAGTAGGATAGATTGGCAAAGTAGCCGATAGCCCACCCAATGATAAGCAATAATTATCGCCTATAAATAATGCCATAGCCATTTGTGAATACTCTATGACACCTAGTGTATCTCTTATGTGTTGCCATTACTGAGGACTAAAGCGTATAACTTTATATATTTTCAGTTCTAAATTACTTGAATTTGTAAAAAGAATCTTTAAAACCTGTTTTTGTTTCTGTTCATTCACAGCTATTTAGCAATACCTAATGCTAGCAATACTTACACACTCATTATATAAACATAATCGATTGTTTTCAGCCAGCAAAAAGAAGATCAAAAACTTGTATAATAGCAAAAAATTTGCCAGCAAATACAGACAAAGATGAATTGAAAGCATTGTTTGAAAAACATGGTCATATATCGCGGTTCTTGATTCCGAAACATGGCATTACTGCCTTAATCGATTTTGTAGAACCATTTGAAGCGAAAAAGGCGTTTAGTAAATTAGCGTATTCTCAATATAAAACTGCACCTTTATATTTGGAATGGGCGCCAGAGAATGTATTTGTTAAACCAGATAATAAATCTGAAACAAATCCATCTGATTCCAGCACACAACAAAATACTATTGAGGATATTGTACCAAACAAATCAAGTGATATATCACATGACATAGTAAATCATAAACATAGTAAACAGAGCAAACCATTGGAAGATGAAATAAAAATTGATGAGACTATCAATGATATGGCAGAGCCAGAAACGAATACTACATTATTTGTTAAAAATTTAAACTTCAAAACCACTGAAGATAACTTAAAAGCAGTTAGTATCTATTATATATAAGAACACAATATACTATTATAATTTTTTTTAACTCAATATTATTTTCTTTTATAGCATTTTTCAAAATGCGGAAAAATACATAGCATTACAATAGCTAAAAAGAAGGACCCTAAACATCCAGGACAGTTCTTATCAATGGGATATGGCTTTATTCAATTTTATAAACAACAGGATGCAAATGAAGCATTAAAATTGCTACAAAATTCAACACTTGATGAAAAACCATTAGAATTGAAACGTTCAGAACGAGGAAATACGTATGTATATTCAAATAGAATGATAGTAAAGTTTGTGAATAATATCATTTACCTATGTCATATACCTACTAAAAAACATATTATTAAAGAAAATATTTATATAATAATATTATTATTAGTAGTTTAAAAACACAAATTAATTATACATTGTTTTAGGAACGAAATTAAAACATCCAAGAAGAGCAACAAGGTGACATTACAAAATGGCACTAAAATACTTGTGCGGAATGTACCGTTCCAAGCAAACAGAAATGAACTCCATGAAATATTCAGGTGAATTATTTAATTCTTTTTTAGGTGACTAATTACTATCTAAAAGTCGCGGAGGGGGGGGGGGGGGGAAGAAAATGTTAGTAATGTGGACTACCAGTTCTATTGCTAGCGGGTCTATTGCTATCAGGTTGACCTTCATGTGGTCCCCTTGGAAACTATCGTGCTGAATTCCAGGTGCATTCATCACGATGGGCTAACTAACCTGCCTTTTCATTCTCATCTATCAGCCCTCACTAGTGTTAGTACTATAAACGTATGTGTTATACTGTTAGTATATAGTGTTAGTACTATATAGTAGTATAAACTAGTGCCCCGCTAGCATATACCGATAGCGCAGGTGGGGCCATTGTACCATTTCATTATCACCCATTAAAAAAACACTACAGTTGCCAACCCGCCTGCTAAACGTAGCAACTACTGGTAAAACCGTAAAGAGGAATTATTATGGGGGAAGCCTATGTCCAGCAGTGGACAGTTAACAACTATCATAATGATGATGATGATACCAATTATGAGTCCATCCTAAACTTCATCTTCGTAATAAAAATTACTTAATGAATGTTTGCCTCATGTCATCATAATCAACATATCAGCCTTTAACTGTTTACTGCTGAACATAAGCCACTCTCTTGGGGGGTATTGCCAGTAGTTGCCGCGCTTGGCAGGTGGATTGGCAACCGCAGTTAGGTTTTATAGATGTTTTAAGAGGAACGCTGCTGCCCATCCCTAGCCCTCCCTTAGTCGCCTCTTACGACAACCATGGGAAAGGAAGGGGTGAATACACGGCCTCATGTGCACAGATTGATTTTCTCACTGCAACACCTATTCCTGTTTACAATGTACAATATGCTGTTTACCCGAAGATTATTTGTTTTCCGTCGCCAATATCATTCTTATGTTGACGGGCATTTTTTATGCAACTAATAGATAATGGCTAATAGCTAACTGCCCACCATAGACATCACAGAATACACTGTAATGATTGGCCGGTAATGAATGACTGCCTTGTCATGCATTGCCATTTTTGAGGACCAAGATTGTTCCGTATTTCGTAATTTTATTGTTAGATGGTTATTTTAGGTCATAAGTCCATAGCTATAATTGTTCAACATGAAAATGACTACTATCTCCCAACATTTAACTTGAAACCATATAAAACACTTAATACAATAAAATTATTAATCACCAATCTATTTCCGTGAATTCAATACAAAAACACAATCTATCGTATACCTACCGATATCACAAATATAATACTATTGTCGAGATCGATAACATAATTAGGTATATTTGATAACGTGATTAACTAGTATTTCTGTTATCTGAACAAAATTAGGATATTAATATTACATTTTAAATTGATAAAATTAAATAGAAATTACAACGAAATATGTTAACTTTTTTAAATTCAATTTAGATACTCACCTATCAAGTATGATGGAAAAAAAACGTTCCTTTTATTAAATAGTACCTATCTACATTACTATCAAGCCATGAAGTCTTTCTTCAGAGTCATATACTATCAAAGATGAATTTAAAAAGAATGAGACTATTCTTCCATTATGACATTTATATCTCATAACATTCTATCACATTCAACCGATTATCGTAAAAATTTATATAAAACAATACCGACCGTATTTGAGCTCAGAGAATATTCAGAACTAAATATACACGAACGCAGTAACGTCTACCAGATATTGTTAATAGACATTGCATATGTTTAACTTAGGTAAGCGCGAGGCCTTCACTGTAACACTCCTGATGCTACAGTAGAGACCCCACGCCATTTACCATTATTATTCGCCAACAAGTCATGACACAATAAATGCAAGTAGCAAAGAATAGATAGGCATAAAAAAGAGTGGAGGCTTACGAAGAAGAATGTGATAAGGGCTGTTCTAGATAGTAATTATTAATTCAATTAATCTTTACAGGGCATTCGGCGAGATAAAAACACTAAGATTACCCAAAAAGTTGTCACCTGGTTCGGATCAACATCGTGGATTTGCTTTCATAGATTACCACTCTAAAGCAGATGCCAAGGTATGTACTTAAGTAAAATATTTTGCTTTTATGAGCATCGTAAATTTCATGTTTAAGCTAATACGACAAATAAGCATAACAGAAAGATGGCATCGTGATATTTTATCGTTATAGTCGTAATGTGCAACAAATTCTCTGATGAATGAGAATTGACTCATAATGAAGTGTCTTCAGCTTTGCCCATAATAACGAAATCTTAGCGAAGATTAAATATTATATATCGTAATCAGTGAAGCCAATGATATTGTATGTCGTAACATTTAAAAATCTCGTGTCAGGACATTATTTACTCCAACTTGAAATATTTCTCAAGGATAGTTTTTATTCTGATAAGATGACAAAACAAACGGACCCGTTTGGTAGCGGTAAAAGACAAAATAAAGTTAACCGGGTTAATTAGTAATTTATGATATTATACAACTAGTAATATATTAATATAATTTGATACAAAAATCCATTTAATCTATTTGATCGTAACAACAACAATCATTTATTTCTCATTACTGGACTTAGATCTCTCCCCATAAGATAGCAGTGTATAGAACTTTCACGATTTCCTCAAAATGAAAAAATGTGTTGTATGTGTTATCGTTGTCGCAAAAATTAATTTAATTATTTTATTTTAGTCCGCATTCGAAGCACTATGTCAATCCACTCACTTATACGGAAGAAGATTAGTATTGGAGTGGGCGGACCAGACCGACGAGAATGAAAATATAGAGGCATTAAGAAAAAGGACAGCTCAGACTTTCAATGCCAAATCACCAGCAGGAAAAAAATCGAGAAAAGCAGCAGTAGACGCCGAGACATTTGTTGATGGTGAAGCGTAAGCAATTTACACGTTAATATATTACGTGAAAAGTATGCTACTGCTTGGAGACATAGAAGTAAATTAGAAAAAACTCGAATCACTCAAATGTAAATATCAGATTGGAAGGAATTAATAATTAAATAATTGTCAGATACCTATTGTTGATAAATAAAATTTTTTATGATTACTCTTAGTCTACATTTTCACCGAACTACTAGCCGCTGCTCTCTCTCCCTCCCATTCCCATAGAAATTTCCAAATATTTTATTTACCTACAGGCTGTCCGGTGGCAGAATCAGGATTTAAATTTTGGTTTTCTCCGAAACCGTTAAGCGACGGAGAGGGGAGGGGACCGCGTTCATTTCGTCATTTGTGCGGGTTATTTAGTCGCAATGTCGCAGTGGACGGGTGAGCAACATGCTCTTGCAATCGAAGCGTATTTCAAAGCAATGATTCGTGTGTAATTGCTCGTCGAAGATTTTGTTCGCGATACAATATTCGACGGTTACGTGACGCTCCAAGAATTGATTCGATCATGGGTGCGGATGTTCCGGACAACAAGTTCAGCAGAAAATAACCCACAACCGGGGCCTAGCCGGATGTCCAGAACAACTGAAAACATTGAACTCGTCAAGTCCAGTTTGCACGAGATATTGAAGAAGGATCTTAAGTTTCACCCATTTAAAATTCAAATTGTTGAAACCAAATGATTACATTTTGCGAGAAAAATTCTGTGAGACAATGTTGGGGCGATTTCGCACGGTGAACACTATCATTTGGAGGGATGAAACCCAATTTCATTTAAATGGAAGTGTAAACAAGCAGAATTGCCGTTATTGGTCACCTAAAAGACAGAACCCACGCTTAAAACATCAAAAGCCACGTTACAGTCCTAAAGTCACGGTATGGTGTGCATTATCAAGCAGTGGAATAATTGGACCCTATTTTTTTTTCGAAAATCGTCAAGAGCAAGCAAACCTCAGTGGACGGTGTTGTTTATCGGCGCATGCTGAACGATTATTTTTTTCCAATAATGAGAGAACATCCTGCCTTCACTTCATACGCATGGTTTCAGCAAGATGGCGCCACGCCTCACACTGCTAGGGAGACCATGGCGCTACTTCATGATTTCTTCCCTAACAAACTGTTTTGATGACATTCCCAGGTTGCTAAATATTACACAGATGGACTTTTTTTTGTAGAGAAAATACCTGAAAAGTAAGGTCTATAAAACAGGTCCAGCGACTATCTCGGCACTATAAGAAAATATCATTCGCGAGGTTCGTGGCATTTCGGCGTCACTACTTCAGCAGGTGACAAGAAATACTGAAGCCAGATTCCAAGAATGTATCCGTCGTGACGGTCATCATTTAGACAACATAATTTTTAAGAAATAAACCTGCATTTCTTTTCTTTATAACAGTTAATAATAAAAATATATATCTTATGTAGTTTTTTATTATATCTATATTAAATCCTGATTCTGCCACCGGACACCCAGTAGTATATATCTTTTTTAATGGATGAGAATGTAATGGTAAACCTGCCTGCGCTAACAATATACGCTGGCAGAGCACCAGTGAGGGATGGTAGGTGAGAATGAAAAGGCAGGTCAGTTAGCCCATTGTGATGAAAACCTGGATTTCAGCACGAGGGTTTCCAGGGGGAATCACTTGGAAGTCGACCTGCTAGGGTAAATTGTTAACAATAGGACTGTTAGTCCATATTACTAACAATATTATAGTTTATTATTACAGAATATCCATTATTTACTCTATTAAACAGTGGATACATTATTTAATATTTCTGAACCCGTCAGATTTGGACTATAATGGTCAGTCATTCTTGTACAGCATTAAAAGTTGTATACTATACTAATGACGTACCCCAGCTTCACACAAGTAAATAGATTTTTAAATAAAATATAGCTCATGTTACTCTCTGATAATATAATTTGTCCTCGAGGCTCCCTTTAGAAAATAATCCTAAAAAAGACACATTTTACTCTTAGACACGTCTTTAGGAAACTTCGCTTGCAACCTAGAATGAACACCAGCCAATGCTGGGGTGGACCTGCATACTTATTATTTACCTATAATATTTCCATCTTGTGATTAAAAAATATGAAAATAATATAACCTTATATCTATTAATCACCTTTATTTCAATAAAATTGAATACAATATAAATTATTTTGAATGGCTTACAATCATATCATTTTTCTGTACAAATACATATTGAAGTTACTAATGAAATTTAATTTGCGAAAGTTTTAAGTAAATATTGAAATTCATTTTTTTATACATACTAATATTTACAATACTTGAATTTATATTTCCAGTTACCACTAAATAATAATACACTCCCCAATTACTCAGTACAATTATATTCCAGATTTATAATGTGTGAATAATCTTTACTTTTTACAAGACTTGAATAGAAACTATAAAACTGAAGGGCATTAAAGGATCATTTATAAAAATAAACAAGAACAAACACAACTTGACTGTTATTAAACTAAAATTATATCCAATCACACATAATAGTGCATACATAACCATTAAAATTTAATAATTACTAACACATTAGATATTTACAGACTTCATTCCACTATGTATAAAAAAAAATAACCAATACTTTATATCAATTTAATTAATTTCCAAAAGACAACTATAATAAATCATGTGTAGATTGATAATTTGTCATTCACTTATTATTCACACAAACTGTAATTCCTATCATACTTGCTAAAAATTTTAATGAAGTTCTAAAGAGTATCAAGTAGGTAATTGTAAAACATAAAGAATAACAACATACTCGATTTAAATTTTCTTTTTAAAATTGTCATAATCAATTAGTAATATTATTTTAAATGCTATATCATGTATTAACTGGTTGACATCTGATATCTCATAATTAGGAATGTAATTATTTACATTTACCTAAAATAGATCAACTAGGTATAATAACATTTTTTTATGTTTATTCCATTGATGATTATGACTATCCATGCAGTGTTTTAATTAAACTGATTAATATAAACAGCTAACTAAAACAATCAAGTTATTTAAAGAAAATAGTCATACATTATAAACATAAATTACATTTTCAACCTTATAAATGAAATTATTTCAATCAATTTTTACAGTAGAATATATTTTTCTAACAAATATGCTTGTGCCCAGATATCCCACTGTACCACAAATTATGCCAAGTGCTAGACTGAATAAAGCCATGTAACCAAAGTAGAAAGTGGTCTGGAAAAGGCCATACATCTTAGTTTTAAATATAAAGTAGTAGAAGGAATACAGATACACATAAAGTGCAGTGCTTCCAGCTGAAAGAAAACTTGTCCACTGCCAACGATAATCTTCAGCATTCAGCAAAAAATAGGTGCATACAATTGTTACACAGACAGTAACTATCATCAAGATCAAAAACACTAGAAGCATAAATCCATAGACATAATAAATTTTGTATGCCCAGAATGATGTAAATATAAAATACATTTCAATAAAAATAGATCCAAATGGCAAAATGCCTCCCATTATAATTATAATGAATGGCTCCATAAACCATTTCTTTTCTGGGATAGGCCTTGGAACAGCATTGATGCGGCAAGGATAATCTGGTTGACCTGCCAGGTTACGTCCAAGCACAGTACCCACCAATGTCAGAGGTAGTATGACAAAAGTACAGATTGACATAACCGCAATCATGCTACCAAATGGAATAGCCCTAGAAGCATGATAATACATTGCAATGAAATTTATAAAGAATGCAGTTCCACAAACTAATACAGGTAGTAGAAATGCAGATAAAAGCATTTGCTTAATCCATAACTTACCACCCATCCTAGCATAAAGTGATCCACCAAAATACCCATTAATTGGAGAAGTTGCTGCATAAATAAATATTGCAGTAGAGAGTAATGAACCTCTTTCTGTATAAAGTTCCCCAAATATGGTGAATATTATTACAGCAAGAGTAACAACTGTCAACTGGTATCCAGCACCAACAAGAGCCGAGAAGCAAGCCAAGTGTGGCACAGGCCTGAATACATCACCGTGAACTTGCTTCCACCCATATTCATCCCCCAAATCTTTTTCTAAATCATCAAGATCATCATCTTTTGAGTACCTTGCATAATCCTTACGCAATGTTCTCATAAGAATCATAGACACAAGACCTACCAAAAATATAACCATCATAAAACTGTTAAAAATACTAAACCAATGAATACGATGTTGAAAGAAGTTTGGATCTAAATATTTGTCAAAACGATCTTCAAAATTGATATTACTCTTCTTCCAGTTAACTTCATATGTGAATGGGATCTTAGCATCAGGCGTGAGTCGTTCTTTATTCTCAGCTGTAAGGTTTACTTCTACAATCCTCTTTCCATTGTATCCAATGTCAAATTTCTTGTGGGTCCAAATATAATACTGGTCACCGTCAACTTCGCCAACGATACCCCATATAGGAAGGTCATCTATGTACATTTGATACCAATAGTGATTTTTTACTGCATAAACCAATGCTTTATATGATTGTTCATTCAATTCAATAGCACAGAATTGTTGTGCTGGTACATTATCTTTAAAGGTAATATCCAGACCGCTAAATTCTAGTTCAACCCCTTGTAACGCCTCAGATAAAGTTTCATGGTAATGTCCAATAGTAACTTTTGTACCAATACAAAACGGTAGTGAAAAGTATGCGTATGTCTCTTGACGGTTGTGATATGGTCCTACAGTATTCATCCATAGCACCACTTGTTCTCCATCCTTGTATATATGCGTATGTTCATCACAATTAACTATTGTCCAAAAAATAAATATAATATACAAGAATTTCATTTTAAATTAAACTTTAAAGATAGATTGCTTTTAAATATAAAATAAACATAACACGTAAGTAAATTGCCGATGTCGGATATTCTATTTTATTTTTTTATTTCTATTGTTTTTTTTTTTATTATTTTTGTGACTCTGGATACACAGCAGATATTTTTTAAGTGTTGCTATATACATAATATAAATAATTTCTAGAGTAGATATATTTACTCTAGATGATTTAAATCACAGATTAGAGAAATTATATCTAAAAAAGAAAAGATTTAATTGTTATGTTAACATCTTTATGTAGTTTTTAGTTTTAGAGCAATTAAATAGCAAAAGAACTAATTCATAGAAGTATTTTTAGTTTCTAAATCACTCTTCAACTACACAAATCTCTTTTAGGTAATACCGATCTTAGTTTAAAAAACCTTCTTAGTATAATAAAATTAATATAAAAAATAAAAAACCTTATAATCTTTAATAAAAATTTTTGATGGCTGTGAAAAGATTCTTTATACAGACATATTGTTTAGACAACTGTTTCTATAATCTGTGGTTTAGGTAGTCTGTGGTTAAATATATTCATCTCGATTCATGCAAGGTTTTTAGGTTATTTTCATGCTTTTCTTCTTATTTATATTTACATTATGTTATAAAATTCTTATTTATTAATTATAAATTTAATAATTGGTAATTTTTGTGAAAAGTGAAAAAAGAAATACTTGAATGAAAATGGAAATAGATCTACCTAGCTGTATTCAAGCTAAACTGATATCAGATACTGGCGAAGAAACTGGAAGTCCTTTGGATTTGCCATTAAATATAACAAGAGAACAATTACAGCTTATATGCAATGCTCTCTTGGAAGAAGTAAGATTTGAAATTTGACAAAAATTCGTTAATACTATACAATGAAAAATCTAATGTATAATTCTTTAATTTTTCGTTTTTAGGAAGATAAACCTTTTTTATTCTTCGTTAAAGATGTTGAAATTACTTCAACTTTGAAGGACGCACTAAACATTAAAGCTTTGAATTCAGAAGAAATTGTAGAAATAGTATATCAACAGCAAGCCGTATTTAGGGTGCGGCCAGTTACAAGATGTACAAGGTGAATTTTTTATTACAAATAATAGATTTAATTCAAACAATACATTTGCTCATAGTCTTAATAAAATAAGAAAGAAAGATGAAAGAATTTATTTAAGTTTATTTGTAATATCTTTGCTATGTAAATACAAACCACCAACTTACTCTTTAACACCATTGTAATATGTCAGTTCCATACCTGGACATGCAGAGGCTGTGATATCAACTAGCTTCAGCCCATCTGGGAAACATTTGGCCAGTGGATCGGGAGACACAACTGTTCGATTTTGGGATTTAAATACACAGACACCATTGCATGTCTGTAAAGGTAAATTGGATTATAATGTATTATTATTTAAGACAGGCCAGAGAGAGACTTTGTACTGAAATTATTGGGATGGGTACTACTTGTGTTTTTTGAAACAGCTATACTTACAAAGCTGTTATTTGTTTTTATATGACAGTAAAATTAAAGTGGTATTAAATGGTAAATTTTAAGGGGCACCATGAATGTCATAGGGTATTGTTTCATCATATTACATAAAATCTAACTTATCATCATCCTTCACTGGTACTCCCGCCAGCATACACTAATGAAACAGATGCAGTTATCATCACATTTTTATGTCTCAAAAAAAAGCCATAATATAATGTGTATCATGTGGGTGAGATGGTAAATCATGCAAAGTACATTTTATAGAGCTTATTATTAAATTAGAGTTCTGTATGGAATTTACATTGCACATGGTACATGCTTTATATATGGTGATAATAATTTCAGGACACAATAACTGGGTATTATGTATAAGTTGGTCGCCAGATGGATTAAAACTGGCATCAGCATGCAAACAAGGCAGAATTATACTATGGGACCCAAGCACTGGTGGTCAATTAGGTAAAACAATGACAGGACATAAACAGTGGATCACTGCTTTAGCATGGGAACCTTATCACAGGTAAATATAATATTTGTACAATGAAAAAAGTGCAGGATTGTATGAGTATAAATTGTAACTAAGAAAGTACTATAAAATCAGTTATTGTTCAACTCTGGCCCTTTATTTATTATTCCAGAAAATATACACTTAGATAATAAAATTTGCTTACAAATATTTAGCTTACTCATATGTTTATTGCTAGGATCCTTGCCCTATGTATTCATCATGCTAAAAAAGTAAGTTAAAGTAATATTATAAATGGTAAAGATATGATTTTTTGTATGTTTGTATGTATTGAATGTAATCAAAAACTACTTATCAAATTTTAAAAATTATTTCACCTATGGAAAGTTACATAATCAGCAAATAACACAGGTTATGAAGCTGGGCCATATTGCTGGTTTACAATATTTTTTTATTTTTTGTATATAAAATTTGTTCACAGAGATCCAGAATGCCGGAAATTGGCCAGCTCATCGAAAGATGGTGATGTACGGATATGGGATACAGTAACAGGTATAACAATCCTCAGTTTGACTGGCCATTCAAAAGCAGTGACTTCTGTAAAATGGGGTGGTAGTGGTCTCATATACACCTCTTCGCAAGACAGAACAATCAAGGTATACTTAATGCATTACTATGATTTATTTTTAGTAAAATACATCAGCTATTCTTGGGATAAATATATACCTTATAATTCATAAACTTAAATGAACATAATCCTCTGAAATGGTCATAAACTGACCCTTAATGACAATGTTATTTTAATTACAAAAAACAAAAAAAAAATTCCCAAAATGTATATATAGTATTAGTCGTTAATGTTTTGCACCATGAATGATTCCTACATACATAATATATAAATATGTATGTGTTTAAATTGGATAAAAATAAAATATCAAAAGAAAACAATCTAAAGATAATGAAAATTTTTAGAAGTAATTTTCCCATGCCTAACTTAAAATTAAACTCATCAAAAAATATATAAAACAAATCATTACTTGTTATATTATTTGGACTTGCATATGGAGGGTAACAATTATTTTCTTAAAATACTTTAGATAATATTAATCCATGGGTGGATTTCATTTTAAAAGGTTTGGCGAGCTGAAGATGGGATTCTGTGCAGAACTTTGGAGGGGCATGCACATTGGGTTAATACTTTAGCATTAAGTACAGATTATGTTTTACGTACTGGTCCTTTTCATCCAGTTACTGACACACATGGAATAATTAGTGACAGTAAGTAATAATCATACAATATTAAAGTTAGCAAAGAAATAGTTACTTGTAGGGATTATCGTTTGTTCATTTCTAAAGCTGGCCCAGCTCTATGTGATACTGTAGTCATTATTATTATCATCAAAATATCTAAAAACAAAAGTTACCGATAAATTTGTTGTAATCATAATACCTAAAATATTATATTTCAAAGATATTTTAATATTTTCAGAAAACCAGAACTGTGTTATCTATTGAAAAAAATATAATGTTTTTTATACAATAACATTTGATAACGATTTCTGCATAAATTTTCAGAAGAACAACTGAAAAAACAAGCTCTAGAGAGATATGAGACAGTCTGTTCCCAAGGAGCTGAACAGTTGGTGTCGGGATCAGATGATTTTACTCTCTTTTTATGGCTTCCTGAGAAAGAAAAGAGACCGTTAGCAAGGCTGACAGGCCATCAGCAACTTATTAACGATGTTAAATTTTCACCTGACACCAGGTATTTCTTTTATCTATGTAATTATTTAATAGTTCATTAGCACATGTTACCACCTATCTTGAGTTCAGAATAAGTACAAACTTCGAATTGCCATTATGTTATCATAAATTCTGTTTATATTTTATTAAATTTTATTAATTTAGTTTTTAAGAAATCCTAAATGTGTAATCTGTAAAAACTAAAATACATAATATTTATTTAACAGGATAATAGCATCAGCTTCATTTGATAAATCAGTGAAATTATGGGCAGCAGCAACTGGTAAATTTATCACAACCCTTAGAGGTCATGTGCAAGCTGTTTACATGATTGCATGGTCTGCTGATTCTAGACTATTGCTTAGCTCCAGTGCAGACTCTACTCTCAAAGGTTTTTACTTTGTATTTTAGCACAATTGTTTTAATTTGTAACAAGTGAATACTCTTTTTTTACTATTATGACTTTAAGTTACATGGCAGTTTGTATTCATATTAAGTTGTTTTATATAATTATATCTTTAAAAAGAATTTACATTCTAGCCTATTTGTTAAGAAACCATATTCTGGATTATCTACTCCTAGTAAATGCTAAAAAATGATCATGTCACTCTTTAATTTTTGCTTCACATCTATTAGAATTATAATGAAAATATAGGTTGCATTTTATTATTATAATGAAGTTATACCAATGAAATAAAAAATCTTCAAATTAAGACATCAGTCTTAAAACCATATTAATGACATTGTATCTACATTCATTTACTAATATACTATTTCTTTTATATCTTCATTAATAGTTTTTAATAAAATTAAAAGTTACATATATTATTCCAGTTTGGAACATAAAAAACAAGAAATTAGAGTTGGACTTGCCAGGACATGCAGATGAAGTCTATGCTGTTGATTGGTCACCAGATGGCGCATATGTAGCATCAGGAGGAAAAGACAAAGTTTTGAAATTGTATGTTATTCTTATATTTTAATAGTATATATAGTCATACTATTATTTATGCCAGGTTTATTTGATAAATGGGGTACTATGAGGATGTCTGTGTCCAGAGTCCAAGTAATCCCCTTACTATAGTTATGGTTAAATTAATAGTAATTTAAAATCCATTCTTTAATTTTGATTATTACTCTTACAAAATTGTCAAATCAATCTGTCCTAAATTTAACAAATATACTAAGCTAGTTGTAATATTTTTTTTTTACTACTAGCATTTTTCAACTAGTACTTAATCTAAAATGGCATATAGAAATAAAGTCTGTACTATGGTTTAATATTTTATTACTTGTTAATGCATACAATAATAACACTTAATCAAATTTTTTTGTTGTTTCAGGTGGCAACATTAAATCAAGATTTTTTTTATTATGAAATAAAAAGATATTTTACAATACATCTTGTAGTGCAATGTTATTTTATTTTGATACTCTTTTTGATATTAGCCTTGATACCTGAAGCTTCTCCAGCATACCGAGTAATCTCAGTTCTTGGTTCTCGCACAGCACCCTTCCTCCTAATCTTTGCTTTCCTGTACTTCAACTTGTGTTTCACTCTGGGATTTCTTTGTTCTTTCTTTCGATGTGGTGTTAAACCTTTGTTCTTAGCAATCTGGTAAGTAATTTCTCGTTTGTCCTCTAAATCTTGAGCAATAACTGCTGATTGAGTTGATGTTGAAGGGTTATTTTGATGATCCATTTCATTAGGTGAAGTGTCATCATTGTCAGAAAATCCACTTTCTTCTGATTCATCATTCTTACCAACAGACTTATCTTGGCTGACATGTTCAAAGAAATCATTTGATTCATATTCATCTTCATCATCAGATACACCAGTATCTCCACCATCATCTTTTTCTAAAGTACTGATAAGTTTAAGTTTCTTAGATGCCGATTCTTCTGATGCAGATGGTTGGGTAGATTTGCGCTTTTTACCACCTTTCTTTGACAACTTTAGTTCAGTAACATGTAATTCCAAATTATTTCTTACTGCACTCAGTATTTTATCTATTTGGGGTTTTATTACTTCAAAATAAATAGGTTCTATTTTGTTTAACATTTGTCTGTATTGATATAACCTTTTTATAACAGGATGATTCAATATATTGATTCTTTGACTTTTCAAAAGTAAATAATAACTAATATTTGTGCAATAATTCAGTATAAGATCATAATTTGTTTTGACGAATTTTGATGCAGCACATTTAGGGAGTTTTCCATCTTTAACAAGCTCTAAAACTGGATGCAAGTCATCTTTGGCTACTGTTAACTTTGTTTTAAAGTCTTCAATAAGGCCTGCAAATTCAGGACTTTCTTTCTCAAGCAATTGTATTTTTTGCCTTTTTGACATTTTACTCAAATCACTTTTTATCAAAGTTTCTTTTTCTTCTTGGTTAATCTGTTTAGTAATGAAATCTAGAGTAAAATCCTCATCCTCAAGCTGTTCCAAAAGTCTTGTTTGTATATTTTTAGCTTCCTCTTCTTCCATAAGAGCAGCTTCTTCATCATTACCAAATCCTCCATAGTCTTCATCAACATAATCTGTAGCATAATAGGACCTCTTTTTCTTTCCCCAAGCTTTAGAATCTGGTAAATCTTCATCTGACTTTTCTTTACCTTCTACATCACTATCAGCTATACTGAGGTCATTTGTCTTATTATCTGTATCTTCATCTGATTCCGAAAAACCATATACTTCTTCCTCACTACCTGAGTCATTATGTTTCCTCTTGGTTAATTTTTCAACAAGTTTTTGTTCTTTTTCTGTATATTCATTATCAGAATCAAAAGGGTCATATTTACCCATGACATTGAACTTTGATCCAACCCTAAAAAATTAATATAATTAATAAAATATAAGATCTTTACTGTCAGTACATAAATACTATAAATGTATGATGATGAGTCCTATAACAACATTATATTACAACAATTCAATGAGCATGAGTTTGATAAGAATAAACTAGGTATACCCATTTCTGAATTTCTAAGGATACTGATAAATTAGGTTTGAACTTGTAAGAATAGCAGTAGTAATTTGTAACTTGTAGATTTACTGCTTATATTCATAATATTAAAAATTAATAGGTACAAATAATTAGACGCTACATATAATACTATAAATATCCTGGGTTGTGTCCTCAGATGGTTTCCTCATAACAGGGGAATCCTAGCTTAAAGATCAGCTATTAGGTGTGTTTGTGTGGCACTTATTATTATTATATTAATTAGATAATGGAGTTTATTCTGAGGAGACATTCTTTAAACCTATCTTTAAAATTAATATTTTAATAGTTCTGTTAAGTACATAAAGTATACTATGAGCTATTTCTTAGAATAGAAATTTGGCTAAATAAATTTTAAATTTAAGAAATTAGAGAATATCACCTTAGAATCGATCCCAATGATTCAATATGTATTATACTTATAATTCTAGTCAATAAATATACCCTGGTTATATGGACAAAGCTGCAAATGCAACTGATCAAATTCTATTAGTTTAAAGTTTTTCTCAATAATAAAAACCAATGATAAAGATCAGTAAAACTCGTGCTCTGATATTACTAAACATAAATAAATACAGATATAACAGTTTAAATAACCTTTACATGTTTACAAAATGTTGGAATAAAGAAGTAATTAATACCTTATTTTATCAACCATCGTGGAAAATTATTAAATTAACATCAGGAAGAACAAAATTTGGACGTTACTTCTAGAGGTTATGTTCGATTCAAAGATGTAATAAACGACCACTGAATTCACCGATCACCACTTAGATATTTCATTAAATTATGAATGTAGTTAAAACTGATGCCTAAATATATATATAAAGGAGAGCATTTTTTGTGAGAAATTAGAATTAGTTTAGAAAAAGATGCATAAATCGTAGGCGTTGCAATTCGCACACAAATTAGAGAGACCACAGATATCTAAAGATCCATTAGGTTCACAGATTAGAAAGACCATAATATGATTTCTCGATTTGTGACTGAAAGTAATATAGGTCAAATCAAAAGAACCATAGGTACTATCCTTAATCTATGGTTAAAGTAATCAAAATGTTTTTGTCAAAATTTTTCTAACATTATAGAAACAATATTATTTGTATTTTCATTTAATGATTTCGCAAAATTACTTATCAAATATTAAAATTTAAAGTTATAATAATTTTAACTAGTTTTCTAATATATTTAATATTAGAAAATTAGTTCATATATTGGTCCTCACTATAAAAAATTGTTGTGATATTAAATTGAAATTGTTGAGATAGACTTGGAAAAATGGCTCTGTAGAATAGACCCTATTGTTTTTTGCTACTAAATTACAAATGGCGCTGTTTTGTGGGAGAAAACTGCATTTAAGTCAATGCACCATCAATAAACTTTTTATAATAGCTAGGTATATTCATGTTTCTAAGGCCGTTACGGTAATCCAGTTCCTAAACTGCTCGTCAAAAGCAGATGATACTGTTATTCGAATAATTAGTAATTATTAATTTTACAATTCGACTATAAATTTAGTAACATAATAATACCGAATTCGATTGATTTTACTAAATAGTAACTAAATTCATTCCAAAACAACGCCACCAAGTGTTGAAATGTCAATTTTATAATACGTGTTGTAATACTTTTGCAATTTCCTATAAAAACTGTACTTACTTTTATTAAAACTTGGCAATTTATTCTACATTTCAATTAGCAACACTATTATCTATTAAAAAATTAAGATAATCTAACGATCGGCTATGTTTAATCGACTCGTACATCTAGTAATGAATTATATAAGTAGTCGAATTATATTAATAGTCGGACGACATTAGTAGTCGGTTGAATAAAATTAGTATTCAAACTCGTAAATTATTTGAAAAATCCGAACGAGAAGCTCGGTCGAATAATTAGTAGTTGAATTAGTAAAGTCGCGTACGCTACTTATACATATTATAATATTACTCTAGTACATAACTACTCTGTGTACATAACTAATATGATTACATTCCAGACAAATTATCTTTTTGAAGACTAGGCAGCATGGTCTCCGACCTTAGCCTGTTCCAAATGGAACAAACGTACTAAAAAAAAAAAAACTAATATGATTACTTACCTAACCTATATATATATACATATATGCAAAAAATTAATATTTTATTCAAACTAATTTTACGTACTTGTTTTTTTTTCCCTGCCGCTAATTTTCAATCTGCTTTATTTTGTTTACGTATTTGAAATAAATTTTATTAAAGTAGGTACCTGTTTAGTGTAATAATAATATCTATCACATTTAATTTCATAGATTAATCACCGTTCTATAATAGTAATGTTTATGTTTAAAGTAACAAAAAGTCTAATATTATATTTATTTTATTTTTATGATGTAACTACAAGTAAGAAAATAACATCTGAAGACAGGACAGTTAACGACTGTCAACGTTGTAAAATATTAACAGACTCTTTTAATTACTGGATTGACAAAACTTCTCGAGGAAAACACGAAGGTGGTGATGCTGCTTGGGAAGAAGCTAAATTGAAGTCTTATGCTCATAGTGAAATACGTTTAGTTGAGATACAGGAAGGCCTATGTTCAGAATTAAAGGCACATGAAAGTGATTGTTATATGTTAGCAGAGAATGCAGAACAGTTTCTAGAGAATTGGTGGTTTAGAGAAGATCCTAATTCTGTAGACTTACATACATGGCTGTGTATAGAAACTCTTAAATATTGTTGTCATAAAAATCATTTTGGAGATAACTGTTTACCTTGTCCTCTTGATACACAGAACCAAGTCTGTGGAGGACATGGTAGATGTGATGGTGATGGTACTCGTTTAGGAAATGGTACATGTATTTGTAACAAAGGCTATATAGGAGTATTATGTAAAGATTGTGCTAAACATTTTTTTCAAGATAATGACTTATGTAAGCCATGTCACAAGGCTTGCAATGGCTGCTCTGGTGACAGTGCTGCAGCTTGTAATACATGTAAAGTTGGCTGGAAGCTAGAGTCTGGTGTGTGCACAGATGTAAATGAATGTTTGGATACAACCTTGTGTAAATCTACCCAATTTTGTATTAACAAAGAAGGCTCCTATGACTGTAAATCATGTGATGCATCATGTAGAACATGTGCAGGTGCTGGACATTCAAACTGTACATCATGTGAATCTAATCATGTGTTATGGAGTGGTAGATGTTTAGATGATAAACATAAGAGTAACCTTTTAAGAAGTACTATAAAAAAATTAGCCCTCTATTTAGGATTATTTGTAATAGCTTTTTTTATTCTCAGGAACTCAAAAACATTGGCATCACTTGTAATTTTAATAATTACGATATACATACATTATTCTGAGAAAAATTCAGAAATGAACATTTTACATGTACTTTTAAATCTTTATGTGAATTAATTGTACAATTTTTTTTTATATGAACTCCAATAAAATTCTGTTTATGTATAATTGTTGGATATTTTTAATATACCATACTTATTAAACAGGCCTTTTTCCTTAGTTTTGTGCAAAAGATTTGTTTACTCCGAACAGTTAACTTTTAATTATTTTCAATGACATGTAAATAAATGGACAGTTTATTAAGAATATTTTGCAATTTTTTATGAATAAAAGTAGCTTGTACTATAGAAAACAATCTGCCTATGAGGTTAATTCTGAGGCAGTATTTTTCTAAACCTATATCTCTTAAATTAATATTTAAATTAAATAATTTTGCAAAGTTACTGTTTTATAGGTTCGTGTGCAACGTGAATCTCCCTTATCATCTTAAAATCCCCTCAATCAAACAGTTCATGAAGGAAGTGTCTCAACACTACTTCGTTGCTGTTGAGTCCCATCCAAATCAGCTTATCGTAAAATCGGTCAGCTACACGCCCAAGAAGAATGTCACACCCCAACGTCGCTCAATGACTATGGACTTGTTAATAATGCTTTTTTTTTTATACAACTTAAAATGGCAAACAAGCTGACGGCCCATTTGATGGAAAATGGTAACTGTTACTTATGTCTATAAGCAGTACTATGGACATAAACGCACAACGGCCCAAATGAGAGGCTAAGTGCGGAAAACAGAGTCTTTCTTTCTTACTATGGACATAACAGAGTGTACTGTTTCACCTGTGATACCCTTCATGCGTTGCCATTCCTGAGGACTCGGGTGTTGTTCCTCTGTACCCTGTAAATTCACTACCATATCCCACCCTTCAAACCGAAACATAGCCATGCAAACACAACTGTTTCACAGTTGAAACGCAAATAGGACAGTGGTACACAAATAAACGACTTTTGTACAATCTAATGAAATACCGAATATTAATCGCATTCCTAGTAATATACTCAGTCAGATCGATCTCCACGTGGACCCCCCTGGTAACCAAAAGCTGAAATCGATATATATTCATCACGATGGCTGTCTGGATCTCCACCTATCACCATTCATTGGTACATTACTTGTGTATATTATACCATTTTCATCATTGAAAAAAATTCCTCTCTTAATTCAAATATTTTTTTTCCGTCCCTCGACGGTATCAAAATGTGGCGGTCTAAGCAGAGGTTCAAGCCGCTCTAGCGCCCTTGGTTCTACGCCGTCGATCCATCGGTAAGAGTCGACACTTTATCACTCCTCACGAGTATAGTGTCATCTACGCTCTTCCCTATATATACAGCAAATACAGCTCGAAAAGAAAACATTTATAGACAATCACAAACCGAATTTATAATAATTTCGATTTAAAACTTAGATATTTAATTCAAAATAGTCTTTAGGATAAAAATATCACTATAATATCAAATTGAACTTTTAATTTTAGAGACACGTCACCTCAGTATTGACCCTACTGTGTAATGGGTGACATATCAATATATACCTCATACACTGTAAATTATTCAATACATTCATTGATAATCTCACTTCATCTATGTATTATATTATTCTGATCTTTATTCCTTGGAGAAAATTATTAAATCTTATGAACACTACATAGATTAAGGACTGTACCTGTGGTAATACTATGAATCATTACAGATTGTTATACCTACCACTTTATGATATGCTTTATTTGTACATCTATTTTTTCCACACTACTATTACTCAAGTAATAAAAATTGAAAAACAAGATAAAGGTGTATTAAAAATACATTTTATTGCAAGTATGTAAACTACATTTTAGTGTCATTTATATACAAAAATTAAATACAATGTTTGATATAATAAACCAAATTGTGTAAATACTTTATAATACAGGACACTTATTACTAACAATTAAAGATAAAGTTAAATAATTATATAAATTCATAAAGAAACAAATGCCAAGTTAAAAGGTAACATATTAAAGACCTTTTGATTTATTAAAAAATTCACATATGTTATTAACACATATTTAAGTATAAACAATATTTATCCTTTCTTAACACTCATTAATTGTGACAAAGGGCCCATAGTTAATCATTATATTCTAAAAGACAAAAGTAAGTTAATAATTGGCAATAGTTAATTTGGCAGCAGCAAGCATAGGTATACATTTTCAGTCTGAATAAATAATTAATGCTTAATTATTATCAATTATTGATGGTGCAATGTGATTTGTTCTTAATAGTACATGTATGTTATTTGTGATGTCCTAGAGCATTTCTACAAATTGAAATTTATCTTCATTTCATTTATCTTTTATTGTATTTTATCAGTAAACTATTTTCAAGAAAAAAAAAAAAACATTGGAAATTTGTATATTATTATTTTGTAAATATAGATAGATATCTCTGTTAATGTTTTGAAATATAATGGACAGATATTAATGTAAGTAAATAATAGTTACAGGGACTGTATATATGTCATTTTTATTTTTGGGATGTATATTAAAATTTTCCTTTGCTTGTGTAACAAGAGACTCCAATTACTACACTTATATCATATACATTAAATAAAATCAAAATATATAAATATAGTAAAATAAAAGTTAATGTTTAACTTAAAAAATCCACTAATTTACAAAAAAGTGCAGTAGAGAAAATATAAATATTAAATGTATTAGTAAAGTGTTTATAGGTACATTATATCATTAATAAACAATAGAAATGTGTGCATGAAAGTATTTGATCCGAATTTTCTAATAATCTATCAATTTAAAATCGACTTATAAAATAGTAATAATACTCAGTAAGTACAACAATGCATTTTGACACTTTTCAATTGTACAATTTTGGCCATGCTGTATGGAGCTATACAATAACAATGGTCTTTGGTGAAGAGAAATCCTGTCTTAGTTAATGAAAAGATGATAAAGACTTATGTTAATTATTATTATATTATTATTTAACAAAATAAATCATTGTAAATTAAATGTTAATGTCATTCAATAAAATCAACATAAATAACTCATTATACTGAAGTAACTTTGTTCTAAGATTTTTTTGGTAAAATTTCATTTTAAGTACTAATATAACACCATCATCTAAGACTACTTGTGAAATAAAATACCTAACCTAATTTATATCTAGCAAAACTCGACTGACTTCCATGTGCCAACTACTAAAGACGAAAGTTACATTAAGAAAACTCTAAAGCAGTGCCTTGGTGAAATTAGCTAAATAACATTACACGACTAGCATTTAAAATGCTACATTACAGACAAAATATGCCATAGTTGTTATTTCAAAACGAAAATGTGATCAGTGAAACAAGACATTCACACATAGGTATGAACTATTAATCTTCACACAGATCCATTTTATGTGATCCAATGATAATTTACAAAGTATATATAATATAATTGTACGCACAGTGGCGAGAAATAAAATAATAATATGCTTATACTGCTTGTAAGTTATCAATATCAGTCCACTTTATCTTAATAATCTATTACAATTATTATTTTTTTCGGTCCCTTTTCATAATACTCGTTGAATCCTTTTAGCTTTTCAATTCATGCAGTTTTTGAACACATTCATACTTTTAAAAAATTTTCAGAGCTGCAAATGTTGTCACATGACAGTTCATATTGACACACGATACACTAATTATTAATTTTGTTACGTACATCTATACTACATGTTGTGTAAATGATATATATATTTTCCTAATCAATATTTCTACATTCAGTCTGTTTCTTGTATTTATGGAATGTTTCAATAGAAGTATGACAAATTTTGACATATTTTGAAACAGTTATTTGAACCATTTAGCTAAAATCGAAAAGCAACTATTTTTTAATAATTTACATTATAATAAAAAAAAAATATATCAAATTTATATAAATGTTGTTAATATTTTATAATACAATTTGGATATAAATTCATATTTTTTAAGAAACAGAATAATATTTAAAATAATAGTTAAATTGTGACTTGATAATTATGTCATAATACAAGTAGATTTTTTCAAAATGTATCATTCCACTGAAAAAAATATAAAGTGGAATTATATCTATAAGTAACAGCAAAATGAGATATTGGGGCATATGCACTGACCAGGTAATATCAATTTCTGTTATAGTTTGGAGGAATGTATAAAACTAACAAACAATAATTTTACAGATTTTATTTTTTACCAAAACTGCTTTTTAGTCACCTCACACTGAACTAACCAATATAAAAATATTTGGATAATAATTTAGATGACTCGGAATATTTTTATACATTTTATATGCTTGGCATATTTACAATCTTGGCATTTTTTTATCAAAATAACACTACATAAAATTTTATGTAGTGTTTCAATAATAGGAATTCAGTGTTAGTTCATTATGTATGTACTATTGTGTATATATTTTATTTTATATTTAATCGATGAATCGATAAAATAACATACATATGCAATAATTCATATATGTTAAGTATAAAAATTATAAGCAAACAACATAAGATAGTCTTATCTCATTTTTCATTATGTAATACGAAACTCCCTAATTAATTATCACTAATTATATCAGAACGGAACGATTGCAGAACACTTGGCTCATGTACAGACAGGACTTCTAAATAGTCACGTAATAATTTCCTAGAACACCTAAAGTTACAAAAGGGTGATACTCTTTTATAACTTTAGGGTGATGTGGATGTGATGTGATCAGAGAATATGTCAAGATGTAACACTGTAGCGCTGAGACGTTAATGTATGTAATGTAATGGCCTGGCTAGCAACAACCTGGTTGACACAATTTCTTTTATTTTTTACGTATTAGACTGTTCCATATACAGAATGATGAAAATAAGAACATAATGACATTGATTGGGTTTAAATCGATCAACAGAGATTAAACATAGGGTCGCGTCCATCTGACATTTAATTTCGATTTGACTGAAATTGAATTGTACGTCAAAATTTATTTTGACGCGTAAATCGTTTGATAGACCAGTTACTTACTTGAGTTTGAGCACATTAGCTGTTACTAGTTCAATAATCATCTTAATAATGATATTCATGTTACGACTTTTTCGATATTAATATTAAACCCCACAGCCAACTGAATGAAGAAAACATTTACACACAAGTCAGTAAGCTATGGAGCAAAAGCCACGTTCGGTTTGCGTGCAATATGTCGATTATATGCTTTATACATTCTGGTAGTAACGAATCGGTACATTTATCACCCATTTATTATATCGCAAACTTATCGATCAATGAGAAAAGACAATGACTTACGGATATTATATCCTTGGAAAATACCTAGCGAATTTTTCCCGCAAACTGAGAATCTGCACGTACTGAGGGAAAAAACCGCGTGGATCGGTCCAATATTTTTTGTAGTTTTAAAATTGTTTATCTATTTTATTTAGTGAAATTGGGTGTGAATTTAAACTGCCGCAGCGTTACAATCACTCTAGGAGCATAGGCGCCCTCTGATGTGAGGAGAGCTGAGCGGCCAGCTGGCGCTGCTGCAGCAGGCAGTACAGTATGCCGGCCTGGGCCATGGCGTCGACGGTGCCGGCAGCGAGTAGGTCGGTGCGCTGCTTACCGGCCGCCGCCGCGCCCGCTGGTCGCAGCAACGTCGGCCCGAACACCGTCGCCAGGTTATGCAGTGACATCTTGTTCTCACGCTCGTGCTGGTTCACTCTACGTACATGGACAAATTGATAGATAATATTTATTGGTATAAAACATATAATTAAAGTCTAATCTTTGGTATAGGAGTATATACAAAAGGTATATGATGAACGTGAAGAATGAGGTCGGTTCTGAGGTCCCTTTTCTCTAAACCTATCTTTTAATATTTTAATTTGATAGTTCCGACGAAATCGAGCCCACTGTATGCAATAATAGAGACTGTTGGCTCTCTCGTTTTACCCCATTTAACTATATACCAGAATGTGCATAAATACTACAAAATATAAAAGTAGTACTAGAGCATTTATATCCGATTTAATAAACGATTTCATTATCAGTTACGGTCGTGTTGCATATGAAAACATTTTATACATATAAATAAAAATTACTAAATATACCATGACTTTAAATTCCTCAAACACTACTTGACCAATCAAATTAAATAGTTTACTCACTTGACAAAATGATTAAGAAGAAAGTCGATACAATTCTTGTTTAGATCTGGTAATTGGGCATAGCATTTCAGAAGAGCGTGTCGCCGCGTATGCGCCGGTCCAGAATCCATCGATGTGCCCACGCCCTAAAAACATTTCATAAAAATTATATTCATCTGCACTTTAAAATAGTAATTATCCATTCACATTTTGAAAATATTACTTGCCCTTAATAGGGATAAGTTTCTATTGTTTCTAAAGAATTAAAAAATAAACTTATTTTATATCAGATATGAAATCCATGTGTTCCATATTACACCCCTCTCAAATGGAAACAGAGCTATGGCGGCGGAAAGATACTTACTAGTACCTAAACAGACAACTTTTTTACAAATCCCTCTGGTCTGGATAATTTATAATAAATTATGTTGATCACTACTTATAAAATTATCAAAGACAAACAGCTACATTAAAAAAATGAATTTCACCTGTGTGGCACCCCAAGCACGCAGCAGTTCAGGGTAAAGGGCATCTGTAAATAACGCTTCTGGTAACTCGCGTAAATATAACTTCAGCACGCCCGTCACTGAATGAATATCCACTTCCTTCAGCAGCTGTTCAGCTTCGTAAGCATCTACAAATTTATTAAATAATGTTAAATACATATAAATTAATTATGTCAACTTCGGGTATTTATTATTTATTTATTTATTCGTGATTGTATAATAAAATTTATACAAATGGCAAACTTAATGCCATATGACATTCTCTACCAGCTAATCATTAAGTCACAACAGCGTTTGAAACTGGTGATGAACATACAAAAAAAAAAAACCTACATAGATACAGAATAAAAAAAGCCAACCAAAAATTTTGCAATTACTATGTCTCTGTTTATTATATACTATTTAAGTAAATTAAATTATACTAACTAGTTTCAAAGCTTTTTTTGAGCTTGTTGAGGTCAGAGGCACTGCCGGAAACTCTGTAGATCCCCACCTCTAGTATGCCGCGACGTTCTACTTCTCGCACGCACGCACTTATTATAAATGGAATGCTTCGTTTTTCTCGCCTATAGAAAGAAATCATTTACATAGTTCGAATCAATAACTGCAGTTAGTATTGAAGTATTTTTAATCTGAGCGAATTTTCGTCTTTTTCTTTCGACTCCTATCAAAGACAGCATTAAAGGTAATTTTTCATGTGTCCACACGTGGCTTAGATCGATTGATACAGGATAGAGTTCATATAGTAATAATAATTACAGGATTATAGTATAATAAGTTTACGACTAGTAAATATCTATAGGCGATGGTTACCACTTTCCATCAGGTGGGCCGTCAGCTTGTTTGCCATTCTAAGTCGTATAAAAAAAAAAATAGAAATAATCAAGTATCAATAATAATAGAAATAATAAAAAATAGACATAGTTGTGAGATCATTTCCATTTTAAGCGTGTATAAGTGTTGTGGGTGCGATACTGGTATGTGAGGAGACGTACTTGGCGACGTGCGTGATCTTGGCGCCGAAGAGTGCGCCGGGCTTGGTGCTGGGCACGCGGCGCGCCGAGCGCTCGCACGGCAGCAGCCGCAGCCGCAGCGGCAGCGAGCCGCCGCCCAGCGACACGGCGCGCGGCACGCCCGCGCCCGCGCCCACGCCCGCGCCGCCACCGGCGCCCGCGCCTGCGCCCTCCGCTATCCACTCGCGGGACAGCTGCCCGCCATATCCCAGGGGGGAAGAGATTGTCAGTAATGTGGACTGCCAGTCCCTAGCTGGTGCTAGCAATATATCCTGTCAGCTTGACCACCATGTGGTTCACATTGGAAACCACTGACTGAATTCCAGGTGTATTCACCACGATGGCTTAATTGACTTGCCTTTTCATTTTGACCTGTCATCCCTCACTGGCGGCTCGTCAGCGTATACCATTAGTACAGGCGAGGTTACCATTTCATAATCATCCCATTAAAAAAACCATACGATTCCTCCAGGGAGGATTTATTTAATTGATGAAATTGAATAGTACACCCACCTCTGTTAATAGTTTACAATGGAGGGGTACCGGTGGAGGCTGAAGTCAAGTCAGTTTTTCTAATGTGGTGAATTTACTAGGAATTAAGCATGACAGTTTATATGGGAACCACGTGGATTTCGATCGCAGGTATATATTGCTAGCAATAGAGATTAGTATGAATAACTCCTTTTTTTTTTCTTTTTAACGTCTGGAAAATGCTTTATGCAGACTCATACACCTTGTGGGAGGTGAATGGGTACTGTGGGAATCCCCCCGTAAGGTGGGGGTGTACCCACCAAAAACCAAACGATATACCCTCGAGGTGCCATATGTCGGAGACATGGGTTCGCTTTCGCACTCACCACATCTCCGACGGCAGCGACCCGCCCCCTGATGGTAAGGGCAGGTCTCCTCTCTCAAGATAGGGTGGATGGCGTGCTCACCCTACCACTCGGGGGATGCGCCGGTATATTAGCACATACCCCAGGACCATTGAGTATGAATAACTCCTGCTAAAATCATCTGTATGAGCCAATTAAACCTATACTTAATATATATATTCTTTATTGCACTTGTAAGTTACATATAAAATAATCTATTTATAAATGTTGTGAGCAAGGGTGGACTTATCTCTGACAGAGATCTCTTCCAGTCAACCCAGTACAGTAAGAAAGCATTTCGTTAGCGGACAGCTGAAGTGCTACAACTATTAATACATAAACAAATATACAGTTAAATAAAATATTAAAATATATAATAAAATATTACATAAATACATACACTATAAATATATACAATACCTACCTACTTATATAGTATATGTTAAAATAAATTAATATACTACATACATTAGAAATTTCGTTTAATGATTTTAAGATTTGAGAGTTCAATTAGAAAAATACAAAAAAAAAAAAATATATTACTCAAGGGAAAGAAAATGTGATTTTAACATCTTCTTGAAAGAGGTAATAGAGGGACTCTCTTGTATGTGGGAAGGGAGTTTGTTCCATAACTGGACAGCTCGATACGAGAAAGAGTTGCCCATAAAGTGTCCTACACACAGGAAGTTCAAGCATCCTGGATTGCAGTTGACAGGAGCGTTTAGGACGGACTGGTGGTGGTAATAATTTAAACCGGGAGCGGAGGTACGATGGAGAATTGGGGTTATTGAGTATGTTATAAAGGAAAGAAAGGATGTGCATATCACGTCGAAGTCGGATAGGGAGCCACTTTAACTGGTTGCGAAAGGCAGACACGTGATCGTATTTACGAAGACCAAAGATGAACCTAATAGCTAGGTTTTGTAAACGTTCCAGCTTGTTTAGAAGCTCCTCAGTCACATCCAAAAAACAGACGTCGGCATAGTCAAGTATTGGGAGTAGTAGAGATTGTGCGAGCATAATTTTTGTGTTTACCGGGAGAAAGTATTGGAGTCGCTTGAGAGAGTGAAATGAAAAGTACATGCGTTTACTGAGTTCATTTATATGACATGCCCAAGACAAAGTGCCGTCCATTATGAGACCAAGGTTCTTAACTTTCTCGGCATAAGCCACTGGAACTCCATCATAATAAAGTGCCGGTATCTCGGACCAATTCAACTTGCATCTCATCCTGCTGCTGCCAATAATGATGGCTTGTGATTTAATAGGATTTATGAGAAGTCCAAATGTATCAGCCCACGATTGTATTGCACATAAATCAGTATTTAAGGCAGCAATGGCATCAGACAATCCAGGCAATGCGAAGTGTCTGTAGAGTTGTAGATCATCCGCATACAGATGGTAGGGAGAATTAATATAACGAGAGATATTGTTTATAAAAATTGAAAAAAGTAAAGGAGAAAGCACGCCACCTTGAGGTACACCGGCAGTGAGCGAAGACCAATCCGATGAAGCATCATTGGCTCTTACACACTGCCGGCGACCGAAAAGATAGGAAGAAAACCATTCAATAGCAGAAGAGGATACGTTTATTGCTCGGAGCACGGCAAGCAAAATGTCAAAATCTACTGAGTTAAAGGCACTAGTAAAGTCAAGAAGAACAATAGCTGTGAGATTGGTGTCCTCCATGGCTCGCCGAATGTCCTCAGTGATATTAAGTAGTGCTCCAGTAGTGCTATGGGAAGGACGGAAACCTGATTGGAAAGGGCATAACAGGTGATTGACCGTGAGATACTGATGTAATTGATTGTGAACTACTGATTCAAGGACCTTAGAGAGAATGGGGAGAATGGATATGGGGCGGAATTGGGAGAAGCTGGTCGGATTCGGAGTTTTGGGAATTGGAATAATAAAAGCCTTTTTCCACTGTATTGGGAAAACATTGCATTTCAGCGAGTAATTTATAATGTGTGTAATTACGGGCAATATCTCATCCAACACAGGCAGAATCATATCGAGGCTTAAGTTGTCACTGCCAATGGCTTTGGTAGATATGGAACAGATAATCTTTCTGTCAGCGTCTGTGGACACCATACGGAAAGTAAAAGGAGAGCAATCAGGCACTTCGGCATTAGAAAGATATAAAAGAGAGTTGACCTTAACAGAATTACTTAAAGAAGAGGGAGGAGTGGAAAAGTGAGTATTCAAACCATTAAGGTCCAAGTTGTTAAGAGATTGATTAGAGGATTTGCCTATGCCTAAAGATTGCAGAAATTTCCAGACTTGTGGCTGGGAAAGGTTTTGAATGGTAGAATGGATATAGCGACGTTTGGCATCCCTACACATTCTGTTGCAGATGTTACGTAGTTTCTTATAAGCTCCGAAATTAACCTGAGATTTATCGTGCTTATACCGGGCCTTAGCTCTATCCCGCTTAGCCATAGTTCTTCTAATTACTGGGGATAGCCACGGAGCCGGTGCATGCCTAATACGAACAGGACGAACTGGAGCATGAGCATCATACAGTTTCAGTAATTCCAGATTTAAGATCTCTACCATCATGTCTACGCTATCAGCCGAGAGCAAACTCGACCAATCCATGCGTCTCACATCCTCTCTCAAACGACTCAAATCCATATGCTGAAAGTCACGAAGCAGACGAACCTTGCCTTTAGTCTTAGGAGGGCGTACCCTATAAGAAAGATATACTAGATCGTGATAAGAGAAAGGAGAGCACATTTGCCCATGATAAATGGCCATATAGGGATCAGAAACAATCATGAGATCAATAAAGGAAGGGTTACTGTTAGGGAAATAATGTGTCGGATTTGGCAATGTCAGTATTTGAAGATTTAGCGCAGTAGTTAATCTCTTAAGTTTACTCGCTCTGTTGTCATCCCTCAACAAGCAGGTATTTAAATCTCCCATAAGAATGACATGATCATACTGAGTCACTAAATTTTCTAGTAGATGCTCTAAGGTGTCAAAGTAATCAATCCTGTTGGAAGGACAATACAAAACACCAAGTAAGATCTTTTTATGGTGAATTTCCAAAGAAAGAAACAAGTATTCGAGAGAACCACTATATTCTGACTGAGATGCGCAAACCACATTCGCAGCAATGTGATTGCGAAGGTAGATCCCTACTCCACCTCCACCTGTAGGTGTCCGATCATTGCGAAAGAATTTGTATCCCGGAATGGCACAACTGACAGATGGTAGTGAGGGTTTTAGCCATGTTTCGGATACAAGTATACAATCAACTATGCCAGCGCTGAAGGATGTGAGAATATCAGTGTAATGAGCTATAATACTCTGAGCGTTAATATGCACTAGGGAAAGGAATTTGGAATGGTCATTAAAGGCAATACGCAATTTATTTTCAAGAGGGTCACTATCACATAACGAAGAGTCATGACTAGATACAGTATCAAAATCATCAGAGGAAGAACAAGAAAAGTAATCGTCATGTATATTCATAAATACTTGCTAAATGTATAAAAATAACAATATATTAATAAATAAATATTAGTAAATATATATTATTTTACTAAATATATCTGCAATAATAAATAAAAAAAAAATTGCTTAATTACTGCATAGGTTGACGCAACGAGTCAAGTTCATACTTACTACAAAAAAAAATCACACAAAAAAAAAGATATTAAAAAAGAAAGAAACGTATTACATTTACAGCATATACGAAATAAATATAGTATATATGAAAATTTACAGCATAAATTGAAAATAGTGGGTACGCAATCCAGAATAGCAATAACGAAACGCAACACTATATTTGATAGCCACTGACAATTGGCAGTTCAGACGAGTAACATTACAAACAAAAAAACGGTTTACAATATTTTTTATATCATATAAAATTTGTAACTAACCTCAAGCAAATTATTAAAGTGAGAAAGGAATTGCGAATGTGATAAATAAATAACATTTTCAGTGTTATTACGCTTACAAAGATACTACCAAAGAAATGCAGTACCCACAGTTTTTCTAATGTTTTTTTTTTTTTTACATTCTAAAAAGTACCTCACACAATGTTTAAAAAAAAAGTATTTTATGTAAGGATGTAAAATTGTACAGAGTTTAGCAAAAGAGTTATACAGAATCAGCCGCGGGATTTTTGGGATACAGAGAGATCATATGCTGTAACTCAGCCATTGAAGCAATTTTCCTACGATTTTTATTAGGAAGAAGGATCACTACAATACCGTCTGAAGACCAGCACTTCTTCATCCCAAAGTGATTTCGAGCTGCGACGAAGACTTCTTGCCGTAGTTTAGTTAGGAATTCCGATACGCTTGCTTTGGAACCTTTCAATGTGGTTTTTGCCTTCCATACTGTAGATCGGAGGTGCACTGAAGAAAATCGGACGAGAATAGGTCGGGCTGTCTCCTTCTTGAGACCCAATCTATGACAGGTTTCTATAGCTTCGGAATTCACACCACTCAACTTCATGCGATCTGATAAGAGTGTTAAAAGCTTATTACGGGTATTCTCATCATCCTCCTCCTTGATTCCATGGAAGAGCAAGACTTTCCTACGTGAATGAGTCTCCAATCTATCCAAGCCCAACAAAAGTAGTTCAACCTGCGACTTGATCATTCCCAATGACTTCCATATAAAACCTTTAAATGATGCGTAATCTGCAGCTAAAGTTTTCACTGTAGTTCCCGAAGAAACTGATCCTGGCTGCTGGCACCCTTTCTCATACTCCTCCATCCTACCCTTGAACATAGAGGCCAGATCGTTAATGCTCTTCATAAGCTGCTCTGCTGTAGTATCCATGGTGACGTAAGTTTTGTGAAAGTTTGTGAAAAAGTGTGTTATGAGCCAACCAAGTGCAGATTAGTTTAATTTTAACACATGTATATTTTTTCTATTTTATTTAACAAAATTTTGGGAGCACGTAAAATTTACAACCACTTCTTACTGCGCCTACCCGCAAATCTTAAACACATCCTTAACTGTTATCTCTCATTAGCACTCTACTAGCATAAATTGTGCGGTCACTATTCCAGTTTATATATTAAAAAAACCGTATAACTCCTCTATGCGAAAGTGTTAACATTGCAGGGATGTATACAACTTAGATCTAATCAACATATACAATATATAGAAAATTAAGTTAAAAATATATAATAATATATAGTACATAATCCGATTTAACAAGTCTTTAAAATCAACATTTACAATATCTAACTCACAATTATTATAATGGGATATCAAGTAATTTTGAATGACTTTGGTTGAGACAAATGACCTTGACATATTTGGACTCAGTTATTATCAATTTCGCAGACAATTATATAAAATAATGTAATATTTAGAAATTTCTTAAATAATTTTGTTTTGTTTTTTATTTAACTTTCTCTATGTTTATGTTTATTTTTATGTTTAAAATTTTCACTAATAGTTGCAACCTAATGGCTTTGTTGCAGTCGCATTTATTATTGGATCATGCTGTGTGCACATGTTGTGGCAAGTTTACCTGATCAATACATTTATGTACTTGCATGTTATAATTTAAGTTTGTATTTGTAAACTTCTGTTATGTGCGCCTAATAAATAAAATAAAATAAAAATAAATAAGACAAATGGGATAGGATAGTTACTAGGTTGTTTTCATTTAATATGCATTTGCAATTTGATCTCATACTCATTTCGCCAAATTAGATATCGATGTATATTGCACATATAAATCGATTTCTATTTAAAATAGTTAAGATAAAATTATTTTAAAACATGTTACAAACCTTGAGAGTACACTTGCCCCTAAGTACAGGCCTAGCGGCGTCTTCGTACAATAATAGCCTCAAGTTTTGCGAACCCTCGAGATCTAGAGTAAAGCTCTCATTCCAGCGCGGCTGCGAACTGCGACATACTAATTTTGACTTTGCTTTTCGAAAATAGTGTCCATAAGAATCCACCTCCACGACAATGTAGTAATCTGTAAGGTAAGTCACATTTTAACATACAACACATCTATTAGCCTTCTGCATATAGGATTAGAGAAACATTCTATTTGGACATATTAACATCCTAACTTCCTTATGACTGTCTGTGGAGAGACCTATGTTCGTTCAGCAGTGGATAGGTAGTGACTGAGATGACAATAATGATGAATATCCTAACACAACCTAATATCCTGGTCACGATATCAACTTGTAACATACTGTCGATCTTATTAAAAACTAGCGATTCGCCTCAGCTTAAAAGATAAAATAGTATTTCACATTAGCTTTGATAAGCAAATTTTTCATATCTTGGGTTATTGTAGTTTTCATATGAATCTCTAATTTTTTTAATATAATATATAGCATAAGTTACTCGCTGAGACTGCAACTTTCTATATGTGAAAGAATTTAAAAAATCAGTTAAATTTATATATTAGTATAATTTGACTGTACCTGCGACGGCATCGAGAGGTGCAGTCATGCCACCTATGTAGAGCTGTAGATCACCAAGCAGTAAGGATTCATCGCGTCCACTGCGCAGTAGATACGACCCCATGTCAGTCTGTAAGAAACTGCGGCAAGCGGTCACCCATGCTTGTAATTCCAACATTGACACCGTGCTTGCCCCAGCAGGTGGAGCAGATGACGCCTACAATGTAATAATAAAGAATATTAATTTGTTTATAAGTAAATTAAAGTAAAATTGTAGTTTAAATATAGAATTCAAGAGAATACTTATACTTTTCAAGAATTTGTTCACTGATATTTATATTCGTTGTGCGGTCCCACATGTATATTATTTGTATTTATTCTAATGTTAGGTACATATTTAACATATATGTATAAGATTGGACATTGTATATAGTTAATAATTTTATTTTTTAAATCAAATAAAGATTATATAATTATTTTCCTTAAAATTTAATGCTGTTAACTTTCGTAATTATACAATACTATCATAAAAAATTGCTCTCAGCAATAAGACCACCTTGCTGTACTTATACCATTGTATCGTTATATTTATTAATTGCCTTGCTTATTTTCTATATTGTATAATATGCAAATAAAGTATACTCATTCTATCATCCATTCATGTATACAATGTATTACCTGCAGAGCATGTATGGAGTCGATCCACTGCGTGCGTTCGAATTCTGAGCTGAGGAAGAAGACGTGCTGTCGCTGCAGCGCGGCGGCGGTGGGCGGCCGCGCGCCCACTCGGAACACCAAATTGGGCGACGCCAGCACCAACTGCTCCTCCAACTCGAACAGCTTTTTGCGCAACTTCTCGCCAGCTCCGCGTCCGCCGATACGAATTTTCTGTAATAATTAACTCAAAGTTAAAGATCAAATCTACAATTTTTCCCCTACTATCCTTGCATATGAAGATTAAAATATTGAACTATAGATATATGTATGTATATAGACACGATAAACAAGCGTAGAAAGCGGTATGTTGTACAACAAGCAATAGTGTTGCCGATCTGATGCCTGAAACTGAACGGTCCACGGTGATGTGGCAATACAGGATGCTTAAAACGCTATTTGTGCTAAAGACATGCCTTGAAGAAAGGACGCCCGGTATGGATAAGTGAAAATTAATTTCCGTAATTTCACACTTACCCCCCAGTGGGGAAACGTTGGTAAAGACAAGTGGAACTGATCGATCCGTCAATGAAACATCAAATTTTCTGAGTAGTGCTTACACTTATCACTTATGATAATAACAAATTATATGCAATCGTCATTCATCATTCATCACATTAGACATAAAGACAATAATCCTATTAATATTATAAATGAGAAAATTTGTAACGGTGGATGCATGAATGATTGGATGTTTGTCACTCTTACAGGTAACTATTGAATGGATTTGAATGAAATTCGGGAAAAAAGATAGGTTATATTCTAACTTAGCACATAAGGTACTTTATATACCTACTGATCGACACGAACAAAACCGCAAGATATAGTTGGTCTGAAATAATAACTCTTAAATAATTTAACAGACCTTGTCATCCTGCGCCGCCCGCTCCTCCGCGAGTATCTGGTCCCTGACGGTGGAGGCCTGCGACTTCAGCGCGACGATGTTAGCAGGCGAAGTTTCACGCGTGTCCCCCGCGCTGCCCGCCCCCTCCTCCTCCACCACCACGATGTCCGGCAGCGGGATGTACCACTTCAGCTCGAATGTAAACTTGTCACGTCCAGAAGCCTGTGATCACATGGTAAGTATTCCTTCAATAATCTACATACACATTCCACTACATATACATGCAGTCAGCCACATAGTCCTTGCGCTCAATCGTACAGCAGAATTGATATTATACATTTAAATTTATGCACTTTTATATTATCTGTGAAACTAGCAAGTTTTATGAAATAAAAATTAAATAGGCAACGAAGTCGACGAGTCACTTGTCGAATCATGATATGTCATTTTATAATGACATGTATTTTCAACTAAATTGTCTTACTTAATAAAAATCATTTAATCTGTAAATATTACAAACTATATCACCCACCAAATCAATGTCGTTTTAAGTAGCAAAGAACAAAATAAAATAATTTCTGTGTACTCTTCATTCTATAGTTTCTTTTAAAAGAAATGAATGAAAATGAAGTTTATCATAATTATCACAGAAATACTGAATAAATAAAATTGGTAACAAATCGAAACATTCAATCATTTGATATTTTATCATTTGTCTTATGATCGACTCAATTGTTCGTTTATATTTTTATTAAATTCTATTAAAACAGACTAAAGTTAGTGCATACAATCTAACAATTTACCTTATATTTAGCACAAGCAATAGCATCATTGAAAAGAAAAAGATGTCTTAATTTTCTATGTCCATCTGATAATTCTACGATAAAAGAATTCTTGACGAGTCTTCTTTGCGCTCTATCCGCATTCTGTCAAAAAAAAATTATAGTGTTACAACATTGTCTAATATAATATATAATGTTTATTCCAAATTTTTATAACCATAGTAACTCACCGGAAACATCGATTTGGTCTGTATGATATTGAACTCGTCTAGAAAATGTTGAGTCATATTGAGGGCATCTGTTAACATAGCATGATCTGGATGGCTCGCTGGCGTGTATTTGATGAGATCCTGTAAATAATGTTTTCATTATTATAATCATCAATAAAAAGCTATTCTACACATACATATAATACTATAAATACGCTTACTAATTCTATATTGATTGATTGTTAATTGATACTGAAGTATCAATACTAATTATTAAATACTAAACAAAAATATTAATAAATTAGATTTTAATTTATACTATTATTGATATTATTCCTATGCCTATTTAAAATTATATAAACATATAATTTGAACAGAGTGCACTCATCATCATCATCATCACTACATAGTATAAAACAAAATCGCTTCCCGTCTGTCTGTGCCTATATATGCTTAGATATTTAAAACCACGTAATGTATTTTGATGCAGTTTTCTTTTTAGATAGATAAGAGTGATATATATATATATATATATATATATATATATAATATATATATATATATATGTATACAATATATATATATATATATATATAATACATTCATAATATAGTAGAGAACCACTAATAATTTTATCGAACTTTTAAGTATGTTACGATAAATTACAAAAATATATATTCGAAAATGTATTCGAAGCCAGGGCGGGTCGCTAGTTTAATATAAATTAATTTGAAGACACTTGCTTTTAACTCGAGAAATCGTCAGACGATATCACGGTTAAAACTAGTATTGTTATAAACGTATTACTTGAAAATAAACTTATGTCAGGATGTTCTGAATTGTATACGCAGATGTTCAATGTTTAATTTCTCAGTAAATAAGATTATGCTAGTTTGGAAACCAGAACATTTGCGTAATTTTATACACACAATTAACCCTTTGCACTCCATTGTCACCGTATTTGCGACATTAAAATGCTAACATTAAATCCACTGTCGCGGCTACGGTAACACGCTTGTTTTACTAACTCGGCGCCCGTAACACTTAGGTAAGCGAAATCGTCTGTTTATTAATTTATTTTTTTAATTTAATACTTTATTGTACACACTAATTATACATAAATATATGACAGACGTAATCAAATGTACAGAGGCGAGTTTAACTCTAAAAGAGTTTTCTTTCAGCAAACCTAAATTGAAAAGGAGCATTAATGGTAGCGGCTAGATTGGTATACAATATTGTGAAAATTTTCAAACAAAGGAACTAGACAAACTTGAATTTATCTTATAGTGTTTATATGTTTATACTAGCGACCCGTACCGCCTTCGCACGGGTGCAATGCTGATACTAAATATACCTACCTACTACAGAATGCTGCTATCTCCCTGCATTTTAAATCTGTAATATCTTCGGAAATATTCATTTAAATTACATGCTGTATAGGGCCATATTGATCTATATTAAATGGACAATGTATTTAAGGTACTTAATTGGATAAAAAATAATGCTGTATTGCTTAAAATTACTTCGTAAATAAGCCATTTTTTTCCTGTAAAATGTAAAGAATAAAAAATGATTATTGTGGGTTATCCTTAAGAGATAGATATATGCCATCACCGACTGTTTTGTTGATCTTTTTAAGGTGTACAAAACTGTAGTACATTATTTAGATTTATCTCGTGGTGTTCAGCCAGCATTTGCAATGTAAGCGCAAAAAAATGTGTTTATTTACGACATCACATTTGAAACCTCTAAATTTATCAGTGTTTCTCTACAATATTATACATGTATTCTATATATAAACCTTCTTCTTGAATCACTCTTATCTATTAAAAAAATCCGCTGTAAAATCCGATGCGTAGTTTTGATTTAAGCATACATATTACAGGGACGGACAAATATAGCGACTTTGTTTTATACTATGTAATGATTATAATAAATTAATGAGTTATTGGTATCATCTATGAGTTACTAGGCTGGAGTGCAAAGGGTTAAATATAACTTATGTTTTTATTCTTTTCACTTAAAAGTATAAGGCTAATGTGTAGAACTTTGTGATGACGTCTGTGGAAGAGATTATGAATAAATGATTATAAACTTGTACTGACGTGTAGGACGAGGGCGTTCTTCAATCAATAAATGGCGACGTCTCCTTATATAGTCGAGCGAGCACGGCTGAGGCATAACTATGGCGCGCGTCATGTTTGCGAATTATTTTTATCGGTAAATATATACAAAAATAATTGTGCAGAAATGCGCCGTAAATATTTATATTCTCCGCCTGCACGGATATATACATATATATCTAATCAGTATAAGCAGTTGTACAATGGTTTTATTATATTATCTATAATTACAAGCTCACTGTAATCATCCGATAGTCTTGTTTGTTTGTCTAATATTACAGGTATTTGCTAATTGACCAAAATATAAGCGAATTTAAAGTAACAGTAACATAATTTTATTATTTATAATTTTTCATAAATGTACTTGATTAACAAAAACATGTCGTTTAGACAATCACACTTGACTGGTTTATAAACCAGTCAAGCCGCACCCCAATGATGAGCCATGAATAGCGTGTTCTTTGCTTATTACATAAAATTTTAAAGCAAAAGTTAAAGTAATTTCAATCAGTAAATGCATGTATCCTTATGTAGTGACTGAGATAACTCCAATGTTTATTATTATTATTCGTAAATCTATACAAAAATAAATTATACACGAAAGTCAAAGTGATGAAAATAATAATAAAAAAAAATGATTGCATAATATTTATCATTAAAAAATATTTAAGAAAAAATATATATTCAAAATATAACTAACCATTTTCTTAAAATGAATGCCAACGGATAATGGCTCCTCCCAGCTGGCTACAGCCGATTTGAGACCTTCCAAAAAGTTCTTGTGTAATTCATGAAGCTCTGATATTTTATAGAATATTGTGTTGAATTCTTCTTCAGTTATAACCGGTTGAGATGTCGATAGCGTAGCTTTGATTGCGTTCATATACTGAAAGAGTTTTAGTCATTTGTTTTTTTATATTTTACTATACCTATGTTTAGTAATTTTACTATAGCTTTGGCTAAATTTCATTATCATCATTTCAGTTAACTGTTCATTGTTGAACATAGATTACCTACATAGAATGCCATAGCGAACGGTCTCGAATCACTTGCATACACCAAATCCTTACAATGTATTTGAAGCCGTTCCTCTATCTACTGTGTTGTCAAACTACACTGTTTGGGTCGCCACTCGAGGATCATTTTTCTCCGTCAAATCAGTTCTTTTAACTTTTTAGCCGGCGGATTGCTACATTAACTTGTTTAACCTTTGAGGTACATATATCGATCATATTCCTTCTTCTACGGATATCCTAATTTTGGATTCTATCACTCAGTGAAACTCTGAGCATATAGAATATCTTGAGCTTCTATCTACGACTAGCAGTGAGACCATAATTTAGTAAGTCATTACTGATTGCCAGTATATGCACTGGCAATCAGTACTTTCAATAAAAAAAAAATTGAGAAGCTTTATGGAACCAGTTGAAAAGAATATAATAGCAGCTAATATAAGCTAGAAGAAAATAATTACCTTTTCCATAACATAAAGACATTCCACATAGACTGTTTCACTTTCTATAATGCTCTTAACAATACAACGATGCATCGTCAGACGTTCTGCCTCCGCATTGTTGGTATCCTGAAAATATACAAAATAATTTAGAAGTGCAGCTTTTTAATAACTGAAATCAAAGAAAATTATATTGATTAAATTGGGTGGGTGACCATACATTGAGATATTACATAAAATGCTAATTAGGACTAGTCAAAATAACAATAGGAATGGATCCGTAATCTGATCATCATTTTATTAATTTAATAAGCTCAAAAGCAATTTGAGTTTAATTCTCTTTTAGAGGGTTTTGTGCTCATTTGTCTTCCTATATTTTCCTACTTTTTTGCCATACACCATTAACTTATAGCATGGCAATTTGTAGCTGTTTTTTAGGCATAAAGTAAATAATCTGGGTAAAAGTGACACTTATGTCATTTCATTTGTTATTGCATCCATATCGACAAAATACTTTCTCTTACATATAGGGTTGTTACAAATTTATACTCATTTATTAAATTACTTTATCATACATGAATAATAAAAAGCAGTCCGTTTATAATATTAAAATAGTTGTAGATTCATACGTGGCGACATTATACAGGCAAACGTAGCATAGAGCGACCCTATCAGTAGAAATGAAAACGATACATACAATGCTACAACTTATATGTTTACGACATGAATAAAGTTGAGTAATATCCAATACGAAGCATAACAGCTTAGTTACCTACAGTGAGAAAGCGTTAAACATTATCGTGATTTCGCCCGCACGCACCCGCTTTCCTGGTATTTTAAGTAATTTCTACACAGCTACATCATAAGAGGAAGCTATAGAAAAAAATTCAAGTTTCGAAGTCCAGCACTCCAAAAGTAAGTTGGCTCGTTACCTATATACATATATAACTAGAAAGTAACGAACTCACTGTTTCGTTAATTTCCCGTTATATATGTATATAGACATCAAATAAAAAAATCTAAATAAAAAAAATATCTGAAAGAATAAATATTTTCCGATGATGCGTATATTTGGCCAGCATTTATAATTAATATAAATTTTATTGAGTTATTATCGTATTATAAAAAAATAAAAGTATTCATAGGGGTACTAGTAACTGTGATACAGGTAACATGCATGATTATAATCAACGACTTTCATAATTAGACCCACAAAGAGTATAACAATTCGATTATGGTTCTATTGTTTGGTGCACCAAACACCATAACAGTATAAACAATTTGGGTAACATTAGTGCAATAAGAGTAATATTAATCATTCCATGTTTCAACTTCAGACTAAAGCACAATATGAAAAAGTTAATCATTGCTTGCTTATTTGTTTTGAAATTTATTCGTTGCCACGACTCGAAAAGTAAGTATTGATATTGCTAATAACATATGTGTTATAATTTATTTAAATTAAAATTATTATCCATCTCGTAACAGGTTCTGAAGGAAATCGAATTGAAACGGCGCCGTTTTATGAGACCATCATATTTAGTGATATAGCAGACGTTATCAATGAGTTTGATAATAATATTGTAAGTGTACATAAGATATATCATTAGTCTGTATTATATATATATATATATATATATATATATATATATATATATATATATGTGTGTGTGTGTGTGTGTGTGTATAAATATTATTGTATAAGAAAATATTTATTGTTATAGAATGCACCATTCGATGTCGTTACAAATAGCGAAAACGAAAGCGATGAAAATATAGAAGATCTATTATCGGAATATCAAAATTACTTAGAAAAAGCACACAAACAAAGAAAAGATTATATTGAAAAAATTGGCAACAAAAATAAAGTTCCCCTTGTTCGTCGAGAAAAATTTATCAAAGGATATCCTAGTAGTATACAACGGAACAATTATTACCATAATAGTAATAAAGACTTATTCAATCCTACCAATATATTCTTACAAAATTTGAATAGTCCACTAGATTTATTAATACCGCTTAACACTAAAGCAAAGCAGTTGAATGACGCACAAGATATCCAATTTGAAAACCAATTATCGACGTCTGACAAAATTATTTATAACAATAGAAAAAATACGGATTTGTCACCCAGTATTCTAAAACATAGAGACGAAGCCATTAATACTTCTTGCTTTTGTAAGAATAGACGATTGCCGTGTAAATGCAATTGTAAACAATGTCTGATACCATTTGAACCAATTTCCCAAATCTATAACAAAGAAAACTTATTATTTTTTGATACTGAGGATATAAAAAATCCAAGATCTTCACATTCAACAAAGAAAACAGAATTTAATTTGGTCAATTCATTTAATGACGTCATCGAAAATTCTATTAATGTAAGGATAAAAATTGATGTTCAGGTACCGAAAATACGAGACGGTTTAAGAAAATATTATAAAAACCTAAATCGTGACAAAATAACGAAACATGAGGAAAGTAATTCTAAAGAACATGCGTTAATCGTCAATTTACCCTATTTTAATTTTCCCATACCATTGGATCTAGTTGAATATACAAAATCTAGCTCTAATAAACATGATTCTAATCATCATATGTCTATGCACAAGAAAAAAAAGTTAAGGCCAAGCAGTATTAACAAAAAACAAAGAAAAAAAATTATAGCATTTAACGATATAAAAATTACGCCACCTCTTCCACTTATTAGTATAGAAGATAATTACTCTAATAGTACTGACAATGTGCCTAAATATAACATAAATAAAACCAACGATATTATTCAGCTACGCTACGGTAACGATACAAACAATATTAACAATACCAGTACCATTTTAAGAAATACTACAAACGAAAATACACACAGGAATGATACACATTTAGAAGAAACTGTTTATTTCTTGGTAAATATATCAAATAGTAACACCAGAGATGATTTTCATAAAATGGAAAACAGCATTGAAGCCGATTATGCAAAAACAAATCAACTTAATTTTACCACAAAAAAAATTATACCACGCACAAAACGAGAACCAACTTATTCAACGATATTTATCACAAACAATACTATTTTAGAACAAAACATTACGAAAGTGATAATAAAACCTAAAACAAATGAAAAAAATACAGCGATTGATTCAGATTTATTATACTGGCCGAATATACCAAAAAATAATTCTATAGAGAGCTTCAAGAATATTACTACAATGATATTTGAAAGAGAATATAAAAAGGCTAAATTAAACATTAGCAAAGAGACAATACGTCTTAATCATACTATAGCACTAGAGCGAGCTATATTTGGCCAAGTAGATTGGAATGATGTGGATACTGTGGTACCTACATTCATATCATTTGTAGGGAAATACATAAAGGGTATGTTGACATTCTGTTCCTCTACTACATGCTATTCAATGAGATGTGCTGAAAAAACATGCGTTCATAGAACTTGCCGTCCCGAAGATAGATTGAATCAAAGAGGACATTGTGGTGGATCTAATACAACGGGTAAGGTTTACACAATATTTATGGTTGTATTTATACAAAACACGACAGTATGTATATCTAAAAACTGATAACCAATAGAAAGAAAGTTCCTTAGGAATATGAAAGAAAATAAAATTTAATTCTGAGACACTTTCTAAATAATTTATTGCTATCCTGCGAAATTCGATAACTTTACAAATCAATATGTCCAAATAAATCCAAATACATTCATGACATCGTTAAACAGAATCAATGCCAGTGGAAGAAGACCTGTTTTGTTGCTCCGTTCTTCTCCACGGAAAATAGAAAAGTCCCTTCGATGTAATCGAGCATAATTAGTAGGCACTCGTTGCCAGTATAGTCTGAAGGCCTACCATGAAATGTTTTCCGAAATTTCGGGTCCGAACGAAACACAAATTTGATGTTAAAATTACATAATACATGCCATTTGGAAATATCAAAAATGTTAAAATATTGTTCCTTTGGATTTTTATGATAGGATGTATGACGAACGAAATGTTCAACTCCATTTATTGGTCCGATTTTAGTATAAACAAAAACACGAAATTGAGTCCGAAATTTCGGAATTTTATTTCATGGTAGACCCGCTGATTATATTTATGATTAAAGGCTTTTGAAATATATTCAATTAAAGCTGGCTACCGTCTCACTTCAAGTGAATCGTATCTTAACATTCCCTTATATAGCATATACGCAACATATGTAATATCCATACTGTTTTTGATACAACCACCTTATAAATTTCCTTAGAATTTTTACCACCATGAGTATATGCTTTGACTCACATGGATTCCATATAATTTCTTTACTCTTTAACTTACTGCAGATAAAGGCGTTATATAACATTTTAATGGCCTGTATACAATCTAACATGTGTAATTGACACAACACAAATCCAAAGGTTCAAATGTAATAATATGGTTTCTGAAGCATAGATCTTCAAACATCAAAACCCCTAAATCTCTTACCAGTGCTACCCTCGGTGTAACTATGTTTCCCAACTGGTAATTATACTTTATGACCTTATAAGCCCTACTGAAGATTATGAAGGACCATTTGGTGTCATTGAACACTATTTTTCAACCCAACCTAGAATATTATTAATATCACGTTGTAGGAGCTCACAGTCAGAGAACTTTAAAAAATAACGGTTAAACAATTTTTTTTTTTAATTAGAAATATACAACTTTACTCTTACAACAGTTACTTTTAATCTAAAAACTAAAAAAACTACTGAACAGATTTTGTTAAAACTTCTATGGGATCAATCTGTAAGCATATCCTTTCAGATAAAAGAGCTTCCCAAATCGGTTTGAACTGACGGACTTATGAAGTAACAAACATAAAAAATAAGAAAATATAATCAAATTAAGAATCTCCTACTTTTTTAAATTCAGTTGAAAAAGCATAATCTTGTTTGCATTTTCATAATATCGTCAGAACAGACTTAATTATTATTTTTATTATCAAAACAGAGATGTGTTGATAAACAATCCTATAGTTACTTTAATTAATTTAATGACAGATAATCAATATCTAAATATATACTTTCAGATAGCAAGGCTTCAATGGAATCTATTATGGATTTGCCGTCAAATATTGCTTTCGAAATCATTGATATCTTGCAAGACAAAATGTTGGGAAAATTATTTGGTAAAGTGACACTTTGCATAACTGCTAAATGCATTAGTTTTATAGCAGCTAAAAAAAATTTCTTGAAGTCTAAATGCTTGTTAAAAGAATTGAATAAAACGGGTCATTGTCCAAATTTAAAAAATGTAAAAATTATGTAAGAAATGCTTTGTTTAGAAAATTTGTAAAGTAAAAATTACCTGTGTGTAACATTATTTTGAAAATAAATGAAAAAGAAACAATGTATGTTTATAAACAGCCTCCTTATATAGTTCTGATAATAAGCGATTATGGTAGTTACTTAAAAAACTTGAGATGAACTCAGTATTGGAATTTCATATTGAAATGTTATTTCTTTTAATTATAAACGTATTAGCTTCTATTTTAACTTTGCTTTCAACAGCTGCGCCTGCAGTAAGTATTACGTAAATGAAATGGTATATATTAAACAATAGGAACTGAATAATGGAACAATATTCGTTCAAATATTTCAACTATAAGCAGTTACTTAAACATAAACGAATAATTCAATAGTCGAACACTTAATTCGGATTAAGATTTGACGATAGGAGTTTATATATTAAAGTGTTCGATTACGATTCAAAAATAGAATCGAACTACGTATTTTTGAAGTAGCTAATTTTTAATTTAATTATTTATTTTGGATTCCAGATAACTATGTGCAGTACACATTTTGAGACAAAGTCGCATTTTATGGATTATTTGGTCGTGATTGCATGCACATGTATTATTAGCAAATTACGAATACATAATTTGTCTTATTTTATAATACTAGATAATCCTATAAATGTTCTTTTGCACTATTAAAGACGAGTAATCGTCGACCTACATATATTGCAAAACAAATAGGTATATAAATATTTATATTTTCTACGCTAGAGAGTCCAAAAAGGCACTCTAAATTTAAAATTGATTCTACTAATCCAAACATAAGAAAAAAAATCATTTGTTCATTCTAAAATAGTTTTTAGTATTTTATAAGTGAAATAATTACAGTTTATGTTTACTCACGTAAACATAAACTGTAATTATTTCAATATATTTATATTAAGAATAATAAAAAAATAAAACGATGTTTCTAAATGCAGTAGTTTTAGAGAATTTATAGAAAAATCTCCAAACAAATTTTATTTCCCTTGTTTACCGTTTAGCTGTAGGTGTTCCCTTTCTATGAATATATAAAAATGCATATACTATACGAATATTATAAGGAAAATAAAATGATGTAACTAGCACAGTTTTTAAGATATAAGTAAAAAAACTAGTCAATCTTTCATATTGGAGCAAAAAGATTATTTACAAAATATCATTAAAATCGGTTTAGTAGTTTCAGAGATTAACGTGAACAAACATTACACAGTATTCTTATATATTACTAGCGGCCCATCCCGGCTTCGCACGGGTGGACATTTTTACAACATTTTAAAAAGTGGTTATTGTGACATAACGATAATATAGTTGGACGTATAGTATTACAAAATTTTTGTAATAATTGATCAATATTGTAGAACAGACTTTTGTTCTATCACTAGAAGTTTTCGCAGCGCATGCGACAAACGATATTTTATAGCATTTTTTTACACCTTGAGTTACGTTTAGTACCTAAAGTTTTAGTAAGGATCACTAATCTTTTCTAGCAATGAATATAACCTATGTTACTCAGGGTGAATGTAGCTTTTTAATGGTAAAAGAAGTTTTGAAATCGGCAAAGTAGTTTTTGAGTTTATTCATTACAAACGTAAATACACACAAAAATACAAATCTTTCCTCTTCATAATATCGTCATAGTCGTAGAATACTGACGAATCAGACAAAGATTACATATAAAGATCCGTCAGTATTCTACGACTATGACGATAGTAGTGTTACAAAATATCATTAAAATCGGTTTAGTAGTTTCGGAGATAATCTTGTTTATAATATTTTTATATCACAATTTTAATATTTTACGATATTTAAAAAATATTTCTAGGAAAGTGAAGGCATATTTTTAAGTCCTTGGACCATTATAAAAAAACCTATTCCAAAAATAATCGACTTCAACTCTAACGGTGAATATTTACTTAGGAATGTAAAACATGAAAGAATCGTTAGTTCACAAAAAATATTACGAGCTGTTGGACAGAAAATAAATTTAAAAGATTTCTTTCGTAACGAAGATAATTCACAGTGGCAATCAAACTTTGTGATTAACGAGATCCGAAATTTACTTAAAGGCATGTTTGTAACATTAAAGCCAAAGAGAAAATTGAAAATATTAACGAATTGCAATAAACCAATGGGTATTTGTAGATTCCTAACATGCCCCAATATAAAGGATTTTTGTTTGTTATGTGAAGTAAATACGAATGAAGAGAAAAAAAATTCAACAAGTTGCGAAAAAATATCCACACGATTTTTAGTGACACACAGATAAAAAAAAATAGCATGCGCTATATTACCTATAAATGTTACAAGTAATTAAATCAGTATACAAATAAAGAATTTTGAGTTTTTCTGTTTCAAACGCAGTAGATATAATTATCACATCAAGTTATCTTGTTTGCTTTTTGGATACAAGTAAAAACCAAGATGCCCGTAAAATTAAAAGCTTGTTGGTATGGTCGTTTATTGCTCATTAAGTAAACATTCCGGAATAAGCCTTATCTCGGCCCAGATAGGGACGTACCTAACAGAGGTCCATATATAAAGCTAAGGTGGGAGAATACAAACATTGTTTTCGTGAAGGTGTAGAGCTCTTAACGTAATCATGCTATATCCTAAATGGGTCTTGTCATTTTTACTTTTGTGTTGCGTTTGTGACATCATCTGCAAACCTACTGACCGTGAGTATAATATAAATATTTTTTTCTATACACATTAGATTAATTTTTAAATAATGAAAGGCATAATAATCACTAACATCGCTTGCAGATGACGTAACACAGGGCCGGGGAATTAGTTCTACTGTATGGGGTTGGATAACATACCCTTTCTCGTGGTGGAGTTCAGAAGAAGCAAAACCACCTGTCAATGATATGCTCATTGGTTTACCCACACAGATACCTCCTAACAGTATAGAAGTGAGTACTCACAATGTTACGGTGTGGTGTAACGATCAGCTATGTACAACTATGAGATGTTTCAATATTGGGTGCAAGTACACTATCTGCAATATTTACGATACTGATTTAAATGGGGAATGTCGGGAGTATGTTACAAAACCTCAAGAAACCACATCTTCGAAACCTACTGAACCTACTTCCAAGTCAACAGCACATGACCAAAAAACAGAAGCAACTACGATGTCCTCTCAAACAATTATTGCAATAACGCCCATTCCGAACAGCAGTCAAGCAATAAACGAGCGTCCCTTAGCACTTGAAGCCGCATTATCTTCTACAGTGATCGATAGTGATAAACCAAATCCAAACGAACCTGCTAAAAATCAATTTTATAATGATAAGGTAATATTTTCAATATGCATATTAAACTAACAAAACAATAACTAACCAGATGTTAAATAAATAACAAACATTAATATTTTCGTAACATATAAAAACGTATTATTTGATTTCAGGTGTAAGCATTGCAGAACCTGAACCAGGCTCGTCGTTGTTGCATGAAACAAACATATTTATATCAAATTATATTCAATCAATAATGGAAGATTATGCAACCACACTGACAAACAAATTAATACAACATTTAAATATAGATTCGGTTTGTGTTAAAGGCGTTTGTTATTACACTGTTTGTGAAAGTGACAATTGCAAATTACGTCACTGTAAATACTATTTATTAACGAATCAAGAGATGTGTACTATTAGAGTATCAAATCCAATTGAAGTGATGCTAACCAAAAATAAAGTTGCTAGTGTCAAGCAGAACAAGAATAACATTACTAATAATAATGAAAGTAATGAAATACAAATTATAAATAAAATTCTTAACAAATAACTGGCTGTATTTAAAATTTTGTTCTAATGCGTTGAGTAAGTCACGTCATTAAGTCAACATAATGTTTACTTATCTGTAACAATCCTGATAAGAAGCTAAATAATTTATTATCACAGTTACACATTAACGGTCTTACCACACAATATTTAAAACTGTTTCTCTAAACAGTACAGTATCTAAACAGTAGTAAGAAAACTCTATCTAGGGTATAAAATATTACTTAGTCAGTATAATAATGTTTATTTGTAATCTTATGTGTGAAAATCTATAAATTATTATTATAATAATAAAATTTACTACTTTAAAGACTTTTATTTTTAGGCATAAACTTACTTTAAACATTATTATTACAAACACTACTATAGTAAGTCATCTTAAACATGTTTTTAACACCTGTCTATCACAAGATCCACTTTTCTGTGGTAAGACGGAGTGAATACACAATATAATTTTTAATTTAATTATTTACAAATTACTTGTATTCAATACAGTGAAACTCTTACAAATATTATTTCATACATAGGTAAATTGTTGTAGAAAAAGTCCCCACATTATTGTATTATTAGCTTTATTAATGAATTTCTTTTTCAAATAATTATAATAATGTCATTAACATATATAATGCCGCAATATGATATGGGACTTAAATTATAAGATACGAAGACATAGTTAGGAGAGAAATTTATTGTTAGTAATGTGGATCTAACAGCCCCATTGCTAGCAATATACTCTATTAGGTCGACCACCATGCGGTTCCCCATGGAATCCATTTTGGTTATTTTTTAAGAATTTGTCACTTGGGTTTTTCTTTTTGTTTTCTGTACTCTGTGTTATTTCAGTATTCGTACATAAGTACGAGTACAGAACATAGAAAATAGAAAAATGTTACAAGTAACATACCTGATGATGAAGCTTCCTAAGTACCGGAGGTGTAGCGCTAGCATCGGTTTCTGACGATGTCGTTCTTAAAAATAGAGGTATGTCGCTTGAATCTCCCAATTCTGTACTCGGCTCGCTGGGTTCAGCGTCTTCACCTTGTCTATGAAATACGTCAATATTATGTATATAAATTACTATATACAAAAGTGGATGACACAAGAGATATGTATAAGGTTTGTCGCTATAAAAGGAGACTTGCCACTTGGTTCTCTGTATTATTCAAGAAAAACGGCAACAAATATTTCAAATATGTAATTTTTAATAAACACTTTCTAATTGCGTTCACGTTATTAAATTAAAAGATACCAGTTATAGTTGTTACCTTTGTTATTTTTTATTAAATTATATATATTGTATAATATTTTAGCTATTGAAGAGTTTTATCCTTCCTCTTTATACTTATTTTTAATTTGAAACAAAGTAACACTTTAATAGCAAAAATAAGTTTGTTTAGGATAAGGAGGGACTGTAATGGAAAAAGATTTACATTAACACAAAGTTTTGTTTCTTTCTTATATACTACGGAGGTGCCAAATAAGCATAACCCGTCTGATGGTGAACGGTCACTTCAGCTTACGGATGCCTTAAAGAACAATATATGACAGAGTAAAAAAAAGAAAAACCAGAATTAAAACCCTGTATGCCGTCTGGAAAGCGTGGTGAAGATTAATGTCTTCTTAAGGGAAGCAGGTATTTCTTCCTACGCCCAGCACTGAGACATGAGGGAGGGAAGGGATTGTTAGTAATGAGGACTAAAGATTCCATTTTGTGCACTATACTCAATCAGGTCGACCTCCATGCGGTCACTCCTGGAAACCATCGTATTTAATTCCTATTAAATTTATTATGATGAGTCGACTGACCGAGTTTTATCCTCATCTATCATCCGTCACTGGTGCTTCGCCAGCGTAAGTAATAGCGCAGGCGTGGTTACATTCAATTTCCACCCATTAAAAAATGAGCACTGCACTGAGACATGAAAAACTAGATTAGAGATAAATTACTCACTGTATAAAGTAATGTATGTTGACGTAGTTGGGGGCAGTAGCACAAAGCGGCGAGTCCGGAGCCCGCGGGGCGGTGGGAGCAGTGTTAGAGGACGAGGACGTGGAAGCGGAAGTGGCGACGGGAGCCGGCGGAGCGCTCGCTGCGCTCAGCGGCAGCGTACTTGTACCACTCGAACCATCCTCTGTGCTCGAACCCGTGCCACCTATGTGATTTAAATGGAAAGCCATCTTAAGTCGAGAAAGAAAATTAACTAAACAATATTACCGATTTGTAATAATAATGTATCGTATCACAATCCAATTATCCGCATGTGCAGAAAATATAACAATGTATGTAAGGACCTTGATATCTTCCAACAATCCTTGCAATGTTACATCAAGGCTGCCAATTTGTTACTTTAAATTTATAGCCGTCATTCTTTTAATGTATATAATATTGAATATTATGCAGAGCAATTATTGGAGAGCAAATTTAATGCCGTTTTATGTAATACTTATAAATGTATTAATTTGTAATCTGTTGCCTTGCTATAAATAAATTATCAATAAGCTATCTATATTACAGTAAAAGTGAAGTAAACTAACTACCAAGACGTAGTGAGTGAAATAATATACATAGCTGAATATAACCGAATGACTGGAATTTCATTTGAAAATAATTTAAAAAACATTGTGTAAAAATGTAAAAAGACTTCTGAAAATTACAAGATGTATAATAGTATAGCTTAGTCAAAGTAAATATGTATATGAATATATTTTATCTTTAATATTTAACGTACCTGCTTGAATATATACATATTCTCCATCATTAATATCGGCGGGTACTTGATCATAATATGGCTCATCTTCAGCAATGGGCATAACAGCAGGTAGACTCTCTAGCGACAGTGGCGCTGACTTGTCCTCACCCTCAGGCAGGTCAGGCGTTGTAGACGTCACCTCCTCATCAATTGATCTAGGAGTTGCTGCACCACCTGATCTTTTACGTTCGGACGACAGTGAATTTATAGACTCGTAGCTTTTAACCTAAAATATTCAAATCAATATTTACTTATAACTTGTTTGTCTTTTTAAGTTGTATAAAAAAAAACTTGTTGATGTTTATGATGGATAAAAAATACAAAATAGGATATTTGTTATTTTAAAACTAGAACTGCTTAAATGGGAATAGTCCCCCAAATTACGCATAGAAAACCACACTTAACGCTAACTAGTTAATGATAGCTAAGTATGATATATTCAAGACGTTTTAATTCCATCTTACCCTTTCACTAATGGATGGTGTTGACGCTCTACTAGCAATAGATTCTCTTGATTCTGCATTGCGCATTCGTCGACCCAGTGAGGACGGTGGACTGTCTTCTGATAATCCAGATTCTGGTAATGACGCGCCGCGCTTATTGAATACTTTCGGTGGAGGCCTAAAAAAATAAATACAATTACACGAGGTAATGATATATAAATACAGCAGTATAACGATATACAAAATTTGCAAAATATTATCTACCGTTTGTGCTTTATTTCTAATATTCATATTTCTTACAATAAAAAGGTTGACTGGGCGAGAACGCTATAAAGTATTAAGTCCATCTTTTGTACCAGACATTTTTTTGAAATGTGGTCAATAAAGAATAAATAAATAAATATGTCTAAACTTTTTAACTAAAGAACTAAGTATTCTTGACTAAAATACACGTATGTCAATACGGAACACATGGTCTTGCTATCGAAGGTTCGTTCTGAAATTTTAAGTGCCCTTTTTGGACCCCCTAGCTGATAAAATAAAAATATCTTTTCAATTACTTCCATTGCAATATTCATGCACCAATAATATATGAAACTATTTCGAATTTCATCTTGACACCATTTGTAATTCAGATATACAGCTGTGACAGATGAATGAATGAAGTCGCACTCTAAGGGTTCCTTTATACCTTTGTAATGTGGTACCCCAAAATAAGACAATATTTGCTGGATCAAATAGGTATATATTTGTATAAGGACTAAATGTAAGAACGCAGTTTATTGCGTAAAGATATTCTATTAACATAAAACTAAAATTGTTCACCATTCTAGATACTTACTTTGGTGGTACTTTCTTCTTAGTTGCTGCTGTTGGATCCACTGGACTGCTTTCGGATGATTGAGGGGACTCGTCTGATTTCTTGGATGCATTTTCAGCTAACTTCAGACCATTTACTTCGATGACTGTTACAAAGTCAGCAGTTTGTGACGTTGGACGGTTTTTTGCTTGGATTGGACTTGTTTGTTCTACTACTGTTATATGAAACACATAGCATTTTGAGCGCCTACGCTCACCAATAGTACATATATACAGTAAGACATTTCTAAATGCAGATTTCAAATTGATAGCGTCAAAAGTTAATGTTTAACATGACGTTATTTGAGTTATTACGTTTATAAATACCTTGTGCAGTAGGTGATTGTCCTATTTTACTTGATATTTTTATTGACAAAAATAAGAAAATAACAAATATAATAAATTAAATTACTTTACATTTAACTTTATTATGATTGTATTTTAACGATTTACTCAACAAACACGTCTTTAATATTACTTATTTAAAAAATATACTCATTAAAAGTGTTAGTGTCAAATAGGAGATTCACAATTTGCCTATATTTTAACCGACATCAAAAAAAGGTTTCACAATACGATTGTATTTTTTTACGTTTGTCACCTCATACCTCTGTCATTTATAAACCGATTTGAAAAATTCTGCTTTTATCTAAAAGTATATATAATATTTTTGACTATTTTCATAGAAATTTTATTAAAATCGGTTCAGTAATTAAGTTAAAAAAACAAAATTGGTGTCTTTTTTCGACCAAAATCTTATTTACCTCTGTTGCTCAATACGTCTATAAATTTTGAACCCAATTTGATATTATTTTTGTATTACTATAGAGTTTGTTGGTCTCGACATTTCGTCACATCAGAAAGCGAGACTTTTTCGACACAGTGTTATAAATAAAAATATAATTACCACTAGAGTCTTGACTATCAGTTCTTTGTACAACTTCACTGTGACATCTTCTGCGAGCAGCTTCAGATACCAAATTAGATGAGAGCTCATTAATGCATTGGTTCACCGAGTTTCTTTCACCAAGTGGTTTATTTCTCAGTAGTACTTCTTCACTTTCAACTGTTTCAGTGGTTGAATCAATACTGCTTGTAAGACTGATCTCACTCTTTTTAGATAACGAATTTGTATTTGAACCCTGCAACCAAATTGTTTACACTAATTTATTATGGCTATAAAAGCATTAATTTATAATACAAGAAGACCAAATGGGTCCAAAACAAACGTATTTTTGAAGTTGATACCAACTATACAAATAGACGTAAGGGAGTGCCCGGTAGGCCGTGCCCACATCAGAATTGTCTGATGTCCATCCGAGGATGCGAGGTGAGATCTCAATTATGCACAAATAACAAATATGTCTGAGACTACATTTAAGGGCCTTTTTTAATGGGCCAGATCCACTGAATGATGCTCACGCTCTAAAAATTTCATTAAAATAGGTTGAGTGGTTTCGAAAATCAGCATGTAGATAGGTGCTATGAACGTGAGATAACATATTTTATATAATACTCAAATTTACAAGAAAACATTAATAAATAAGCACACGAATATTTAACCGCAAGATTATTAATTAAAAATAAAATTAAAAATAATACTTTAAAAATATAATTAATTTCATCATTATGAATATTCTGAAGGATATACCTGCTTCACAAGATTTATTTATGATGTTACACTAAATATAGGGTCTCTCAGCTAAAACAAGGCGGAATACGTACAATTGTCAGGGATCATTAAAAACTCTATTGTAATTTATTACTAGCAAGCATAACAGTGTCGACCGGCATTAATTTTATTAGCAACATCAGTATGACTAACTTCCAAGGGCATGATGGTCCATAATATAATTTACATATTATCAATAGATTGTTGAATATATTTTAGATTTTAAGTACTCATTATGCATAAGTTATTATTATTTACTAACATCATATATACATACAATATATATATTAAAAAAATCCATAGCAAGCCATTTTAAAACATAGTCCAACTTGGTTGTCACTGCTCGTTTCTAAATGATATAACACAATGAAAGATGAACAATTTATCTGGCTTTTTGTGTTGATAAGAAAAAAATTTACAGAAAACAAAATATATATATAATACTAGCTGACCCCGTAAACGTTGTTTTACCACGTCTTTCTTTCTTTCTTTCTTTCTAATATAAAAATCGCAATTAAAATACAGGGGTTGATCGTAAAACGATGAAAATTTAAAGTTGTATGTATTTTTCAATGCTAAATCATAATAAAATAAAAATGGAAAAATTTGTCAAAAAAATAAAAAAAAAAATTGGGGAGGGTCACCCTTATCATTGAGGGATATAAAAAATAGATGTTGGCCGATTCTCAGACCTACTCAATATGCACACAAAATTTCATAAAAATCAGTAAAGCCGTTTCGGAGGAGTTTGGTAACAAACACCGTGACACGAGAATTTTATATATAAGATAATATCATAATAATCCAAATTCCTGTTTTAGCCGTTATTTGACTATGAAGCCTAAGTTCAATGTTTTTAAAAACATGTATATATAAATAAAATATTTTTGATTTATTTTGATGAAAATTAATGTTAATAAATCTAAAGAATCAGAAATGTCATAACGAAAAATTAATAAAATTATCAGATAACATTCATGGAATTGGTCATACTTCTAATTGAGTGGTGTTGACTTATAGCACATGTACCCAAACCGAACTTCCTGTTTTCACAAGTTGGACAAATAACATCTAACCAAATTGTATGCGTATTATATTTACTTATTCAAATCCTATCAATATAATAAATAGGAAGTTTGTAACGATGGATGCATGTTTATCACTTTTTCACGCAAAAACTACTAAAAGAAAATGAATTAAATTTAGTATACGAGTAGATTACATCCTAACTTAGCACATAAGATAATAATTCAAGAGAGTGAAATCCCGCGGCTTATATTTATATAAAACTATTGAAGTTGTTAGTTAATATTACAAATAGATTAACATGTGTCCAGCTGTGGGATGAAGAAATAAATGGTATTGTATAAGTATATAAATATACCAAATTCAAAATATCCTTATGATATAATATGATATGTTTCATTGCCATATCTTCGCCTTATCTGAACCAATTTTGATAGTGCTTTCTACAATCAACATACATTAGGTGATGATGTTAGAAAAGTGTTAGAAAACTTATCAGCTTATAATATTCCTTCTGTGGTGTAATTTGGAACTAAATCTAACTAAATAGATGGAATTCGAGTCCTATAGGGTCGAGTCATCGGATCTACTTTTTCAACCTGATAATTTGCAACTTGTATGTCTGAAATTCATATTATTAAAACGCAGTTTACATAAAAAAAATTAAAAAATTACTTTGTTTTTCTAAAAATTTATATTTGTGTAAAATTATTATTGTGTATTATTGTATTAATGAAATTATTTTTTCAGTACCGGCGATAAAATAGGCCACCCCTTCCTTTCACAAATGTGTCGTAAGAGGCGACTAAGAGAACTTAATGGTCGAGGAATTGACAACAGCATCCCTCTTAAAACATCACCAAAATTTAAGTCAGTTGCTAACCCGCCTGCCAATCCGAGGGGGGTTGGCGTGAAGAAGACCTATGTTCAGCAGTGGACAGTTTTTTTTTAATGAATGATAATGGAATGGTAACCCTGCCTGTGCTAACGGGATACGCTAGCGGGACACCAGTCAGGGATGATAGGTAAGACTAAAAAGCAGGTCAGTTAGCCTAATGTGATGAATACATCTGGAATTCAACACGATGGTTTCCAGAGGGGATCACGTGGGGGTCGACCTGACAGGGTATATTGCTAGCACTGGAACTTATAGTCTGCATTACTTACAATCCCTTCCCCTCCCCCCACAGTGAACAGTTAAAGGCTAATGCTGATGATGACTCATACACAAGGCCTTGCAGCAAAGCTGAATTCTGCAGCTTTTGCAGTATGCAAGGTCAGACAGTATAGATAGATAAATACATATTTCCTCCAAAAGATTACAGTAGTAAACTTATTAAAAATACTGACAAAACATGTATATGCGGGCTTATTGTTAAGAGCGATCTCTTTTAGGCAACCTCTAGATAGAGAAGAATAGTTATAAACAGTTTGATGCAGTACAAAACTGTTCAATTTTAAATACATATACAGATATCACTACATAGTATAAAACAAAGTCGCTGTCGCTGTCTATCCGTGCCTATATATGCTTAAATCTTTAAAACTATGCAACGGATTTTGAAGTGGTTTTTTTAATAGATAAAGTGATTCAAGAGGAAGGTTTTAATGTATAATACATGTATAATATTGTAGAGAAACTTAGAGGTTTCTAATGTGATGTCGTAAATAAACACATTTTTTTGCTTTTACAATGCAAATGCTGGCTAAACCCTTAAAATTAAATTAAAAAAAAATCTCATTATCCTAATTGATACTGAAGCTTCCTGGCTGTAAAACCCATTTTGATTTTGGAATAAACTTTCAGTGAGTATTCAGAATAGCCTGTCTAGCAGTTCCTTCAAAAAAAGATTAAAATCATACTATCTTTCCAATTTTGTTTAAATATAAAAAATGATTAGAAGACATCATTGTGCTCTCTTTTATTTGATATTTATATGTTGTATTTAACATATGTATATATGTATGTATGTGTGTATATATGTGTGTGTATGAGTGTGTGTATGTGTATATATATATGTATATATATTCTTATTTATGTAGGTTTATATTCATATGTATGTTTTAATATTGTATCTTTCAAATATATATGTGTATATATATATATATATATATGTAATGATTTATTATTTACGTAAATATTTATTTTAATTTCTGTTTAGCACTGTTACTGCCCACTCACTACTTCCTATGCCACTGTGTTAGGTTGACTGGAAGGGATCTCTTTTAGAGATAAGATCACCTTTGCTAACATTGTTATTAACTTATTGTTGTTACTGTATGTTTTAGTGCAATAAAGAATATATATTAAACATATATGATACTTTGTATACACAGGAGCAAAGTAATGGAAAACAGCTAATTAAATATTTAGGACAACCATAAATTTTTTACTCTAAAAATGGGCTAACTTTAGTTGTGTAATCTTATAATATGGGAGATTCAAAATTTTCTCCATTGAATTTGGCTTAAAATTAGAATTATGGACTCAATTTAACATAAATTAATTTTACAGTATAATAAAAAAAATTTAAAACAAAGCAATACTTCTGAACATTATAAATGTGAAAGCAGGTTTATTTGTTTGTTAGATTTTTAGCACTTAAAGTGCATTGGTACAACAATTGTCATATAATTTGATATACACATAATGTGCCACTATTAATCCTAGTTGATCAACTTGGGAATAGGTTGTTATATTGACAAAGATGCAATAAAAAAAAATACAGAATATTATTATTCTATCTTTATTTTTGATAACTCCTGTTTCAGTTTATTATGAAATATATTTCAAAATTTCTATTAAAATTTATTTCTAAGTTTTAATGTATAAATAAATAATATATTAATTGCTTAATCTTATTTAAATCCTAATATAAGGCAACATAATATTATACATTTATACAAAATGATATTTAGTATTTCATAGAATAAAATAAAGAATGAAATTGGGAAAGTATGCACAAGTATCATCTTAACATAAACCTATACATTATACACAATAACTGTGCTTTTCACATGATTTACAGTTCTTGTAGTGCATCCAACAGTTACAAATAAATATTAATCAGAAGAATCATTGTGTAATAATAAGCATAATGAATACACTACATAACACAATGTAAGAAAAACAATTATTGCACTGAAATATATATATTTGTCATTATTTACTAAATTGACACAAGATACTAACAATAATTTTACTATTACATTAAAATATTCAATAACATTAATATCAAATAATTTTTCACATTATGAGATATAGTGTTAATGAGTATTTAGTTACCTGTTTGTTATCTGAAGTCTTGTCGTCTAGCTCACTCACGTCAGGCCCCGAGGGCGCCGCCCTATTGCCTTGAGAAGTTGCTTTATGTTTTTCCACATCTGATAACAATGTTTCTAAGTACGACACATAGAATTCCTCCTTCTCCAATTCTTCTCTAAGAATAGCCACTTTCTGTTTGTGTTTAGCCAAATTGGCCCTGACATCTTCCTCCCAAGCGGCTGGCAATGTACTATCTGGAAAACGTTGGACCCAAACACGCTGAAAATCTCCAAAGACACTCATCTCTCACAAAACGATTTCATGACCAATTTATGTTATAATTTATATGCAAAACCAACAGATACAACACTTTACTAATATAAAAAAATGTATCTGAAATTCTGTCATCGCAAATTCTTCATTTTTTACTTTCCCCCCAGCTAGGCACACACACGCAGTGTTGCGAAATGCCTAATAATCGATTTAAATCGATTATTAGCCACCTAAAATGAGTATATAAGAGGAAACATAAGAGTAACGCCAACAATAGAAAAGTTTTACATATGAATGTGGATAGTTGTTGTTGAAGTAGGTTTTATATGTTCATATTAATTTATGGAGCCCACACGTTGCTAGTATACATTTTGTTAATGTTTTTTGCTGTTTAATAAATAAAATATAGTATGGTTGTTTCGAGTGATCTTTATTATTTACATAAATAAATTACTGCTTTTAATTATTATGCTATATAGATCCTTCCCCTCTTTTTTATTAAGTTATGGCCCAAGAAAACTGAAGTAGTAAAATGATGCAGGCCCCAACTATAAAAAAGTAAATCGGCCAATCCAATCATTTACATTGCAAATATTTTTGAGTAACTTCGATTTATGTGAGTGCGTTATTAATGAAAATTTTATATCGGACAATGCAGAAAGAGCAAGTTGGATGGAAAAACAAGGGAAAAAATTTGTGTTGTCAAACAAATATGCATTGTTATCGGCAAAACGAGCAAGGATGATACTGCACTCTCCCTTGAGGAGCTCGTCTCCCAATGTGGGGGTGTCATCCGTATACGTCGCGAGGGGTGTTGATGAAATACAGCTGTTTTGCAAGACTCCGGCGGCAATTGAGTGGACGATAGAGTGCACGTCCTCGACCGAAACAAAGAAACTCCGACCGTGAAGGAAACTGTGTATTACCCGCACATAGGCTCGTAGCATGTCTGTATGAATCAATTGTTTGTATACTAGGCCGCCGTGCTACACGTGGTTAAACGCTTTCTCGATATCGAGAAATACACCGACTGCCTTAAATATATCGATCGCAGTTATTCTCGATGGCTAAGTGATGCAACACGCATGCTAGCTGAAGCTTTGTTAAGTAGCCGCTCCGAATTGCTCTACCCGCGAGGTGAAATACGGATCGAGTAGCCGGAGCAGCACGCGTTCAAAGGTCTTAACTACGTGCGGGAGCAGTGTTATCAGCCGGTAACAGGCCAGGAGTCGTAGGTCATTAATCTTTTCCCGTTTCGGGAAGACTAAGACCCTATCGAATTTCGACTCGTCGGGGAAGTGGCCGGTCCGAGGTATACCGTTGTAGAGTTCAGTAAAATAAACTAAGCTTTTACGGAGCAGCTGAGTGAGCGCTGTAGTAGGTAGGCGCTCGATGGTACACCTAACTTCGTCGGGCCAAACTAATTTGATTTTCGTCAAATCCGATGACGGAGCTGAGTGAAACTCGCCAACACGACGTGCAACGTGTTCATGGTGCTCGACAACAGTGCGAAGTGCGTCCGCGATAACTGAATTGGCTGTGAATTGCCGTTTTAGGTGACTAACTAGAATCTCTATTCGGTCAATAGCTGCTCAACGACATCTTTCCGTTTAATCGAGCAACTGGTATACAGGAGATTGTGCATTGGGAAGTTATCGGTTCAGTGCATAGAGACTCGTGCAGTCCTCTCCAATCCGGGAGATGACGTCTTTCCAGGAGGAACCGCGTCAGTCATGAACCCTTTCCGACAACTCGGCAGCGAGGCAGTTGAGTTCACGCTTGACCCACGGACAGCGAATGCGGGCCCATATGCGGCGGAGTTCTCTCTTGCGCGACAGCTTATCATGTAAATGAGTCAGTAATTTCATTCGACCACGAGCATTTGAGTGAATAGTGGTAGTGGCTGTCTCTAAAGCGTTCTGTATACGCTTTTTGATAGTAACAGAGGCAGCCTCAATGCCCTCAGACATAGTGAAATCGCCGTCAAGGGGAAATGGAAGAAGATAACACATTACGCCAACCCCAAATAGATATAGGAAAAGGGCAGGGAAGGAAAGTTTAATATTAATATTTTTCTTTGACATGCTATGTTCTTTTTTTTTTTTTTGTATGACAACAGTACTAATACTTTATATCACACAGCACATTATGTCAAATTTGTCATTGACAGAATTAATCTTAAGGCATATCTGTGATATATTCCTTTCTTTTGTGATTGATTTGATCGTCCCGCGTCATGATTTTGTAAAACTTATTTGCTTACCTGTTATATTTATAGTGATTTAAGTGACTGTAATAATTTTATATTAAAAAAAAGTATGAATACTTTGTAAAGTAGTGTACATCTCATAAAATGGACAAACATTATGTGAAATTGGCCGTTGAAGGCCTTAAATCTTCCTCTTCCAGTCGTGTTCAAGAAGCTCTTCTAAAAATAAGGAGTAAAATAACCATAAATGACGCCGGAATTAAACTATTTAGACAATGCAAGGGCTTGGATCATTTACTACCACATTTGCGTAAACCGAATGAAAAAATCCTCGATATAACATTAAGTATACTTGGGAATTGTTGTTTAGAAGAAGAGAGCAGTCTAGTTGTACGTTATAATATTACAAAATAATAATTCGTTATCCATTTTTTTATCTATTATATAAATAAGTTAATGTAAGCACCAGTTGCCAATAAACTGAACAGTCTACAGTAAATAACAAGCTTGTAATTACAGATGCCATGAGTACTAGACCAGAAGTGGCTTTAAACATATTACAGTACTTAATAATGTATCTGTATTGTAATACCTTACCCCTCTTCATACAGGAAAAGACTAAAGTCAGCATGCTTCAAATTAGTTGCCATAACTGGGAAGAACTCATTGCAATCACTGATGCTCAAAACCCTTGAAGAACTAACAATGAGTAATCCCATTCTAAGAATGCCAGAAGATGACATGATCTCAGAATGCAATTTTGATAATAATTAAAAAATTTAAATATCTGAAAGAGACAAATGGAGTAAAATCTACCTACCATCTCACTCCTATGACCTATTTTGGTTCATAGATGGGTCCAAAACATGAAAATGTGGGATATGGTATCCATGATATTGGGCCAATAGTCCACACATCTTTAAACTTACATAAGTATGCCACAATCTTTCAAGCAAAAATTGTGGTCATAATAAGATGTGTAGAAAAAAATAAATTTTTTCATTACATACATAATAAGATATTTCTTTACTCGGATAATCAAGCTAGTACTTGACTTACTGCTATAAAAATTGCATAATGTTATTAAACAACTTGGGTAGTAGAAATAACATTATCTTGAGATGGATCCCTGGTCACTCAAACATTTATGGAAATGTAACAGCTGACCAAATAACAATGAAAGAGACAAAAACTGCCCAAATAGGACTAAAACCTTACTGTGCTATATCTTGAAGTCCAAAGCTTAGACATCTGAAACTAGAAAATTCAAAAGCAGCAAATACTGCTGGCTTTTATTGCCAGGATGAAACCACTTGAAAACCCTGACTACAGGGTTTCAAGAAAATTACTCCAAGAAATTGACTCTTACAAGGGCTCTCACTGGATACTGCAAACTAAATATAGTCCAACTAGACTTATGCCCAAAAACTGTTTGCAGGTTTTGTCATGATGAGGAAAAAATGCCACAGCTGATAATTTGTAGCTGCAGGCCACTTATATACAAACAATACATCTCCTTTGGAAAGTATACTTCATATTCTGAGGAGATAAATAAACATCACTGCTAAGAACATCTGTAGATTTTTATCACCAATAGGAATTAGCAGTGAACTTTAAAACAGGGTGAGCACAATAGATCACAGAGATTGCAGTGTTATAGGTTTTTCTGCCTGACAAAGCCTATCATTCATCATTTCAGCCATTAACTGTCCACTTTTGTACATGAGCCTTCCTCGTATGAGGAGATTTGCCAGTAGTTGCCATACTTGGCATGGCGGTTGGCAACTGCAGATAGGCTTTAGAGATGTTTTAAGTGAGATGCTGTTGCCCATCCCTTGGTCATTAACTTCCCTTAGTCACCTCTTATAACACGAAAAGGAAGAAGTGGCTTATTCTCAATAATAATAATGTCCACTTATCATTGAAAAAAAATTAAAACTTGTATAGGTACAACTTATGTGTGACTTTGTCCACGAAATTAAAATTAGATATTTTACAACCTAAAGTTTACATTAATAAGTTATAAAATACTGTTGAAAGCAAAGTGACAGTTTTGATGTAGGTATCATAGGAGACCTAGACTAACATATTATGATCAGATGAACCATGTTTTATCTGACATAGTCTAAGGTATCCAAAACCTGCATCCATACATGAGTAGTGCATGTAACAAGAGTGGTATATGAAGATAGATTTCACAGTCTGTTATAACTGCCTACACTGATGAATGATATCATTTTTAACATGCTTAGAAAATCACTTTATTATCATTGTTCATATCAATTTAAAAATATATATTGTATGGAACATCTCTCTATGCTCGACACAACAAGCAAATGGGGTGTAACAACTCTATTGCTAGCAATATATGGTACACCCCATTTCAGTCAGTCAGGTCTACCTCCATGTGGTTCTCCCTAGAAACCACCATAGTTAATTCTTGTCGAATTAATTATGGTGGTTTCGATGGGCCAACTGACCAGCTTTCATTCTCACCTAGCATTACTCTTTGGTGCTCGATCAATGCATACCTATAATACAGACAGGGTTACCATTCCATTTTAACCCATGGTATTGGAGGAAGTGATTGTAAGTAATGGGAGTATAACAACCCTATTACTAGCATATGTACCTTATCAGGTCGACTGCCACAGGGTTCCCCCTAGAAACCATCGTGGTTAATTCTCATTTAATTCTTCAAGATCGGTCCATCTCTATCCTAAACGAATACCACATTATTATTATTATATCTTAATTACTTTAACCTGCTCAGGAAATCGGGTAGTTATACTTACTGTGTTTAAATTTTGTTCATTTATTTAATAAAATTATTCTAGGTGGGAAAACTAAATAGTTTTGGCCCATTGGTGTCTATACTTAAAACTGTTTGTCGAGATAGTATTGTGGGAAGAGCATGTCGTGTTATTGGTAATCTATCTCAGAGGACCACCAATGCAGAGGCACTACACAATCATGGTGTTGTTACAGCACTTGTTACACTTATTGAGAACAGAGATAAAAACACATCATATCCTACACTTACAATGGCTGTCAGGGCTATCAGGTAATCCATTTCTATAAAATATACATCAGAAATGAGAGCTATTCTATTTTAAATGGAGAATACTCCATTTTTAAATGGGATAGTATGAGTAATTATATATATTGTGATGAAAGTAATATGTAGCTAGCTAGCATTTTTTTATTATTTTATAAATTTAATATTTTATGTATGAAATTGATTTTGATTTAATATTAGTCTAGATTTGTTATTGTGCCTAAAAATGCTGTTTAAGTTATGATTGAAAATTTTTATCAGTCATATACCGTATATAATATGTCTATACCAAATTTGATGGTGATTAGTTAAGCTGTTATTAAAATTCTATAAGATAACAAATACAGATTTCACATTTATTATATTGTTAAGGACTTATTATTTAGTATGTATGTATTTTAAAATTATGGAATATATATTTTTTTGTACCACTACTATGTAGTATATTATTAGGGCTTTCTTAATTTGTTAGTAGTATATGATGAAAAGAGGTAATTTTGACTAAAACCATGAGCAGTTAGATGAGTCAGGCTATTCAAAGGAACTATATTATTTTTCTTTCTTTTTCAGACAACTGTGGATGATTGTAGACAAAAGAGAAGAAATGCTCAGTGTAAATGCTGTTCGTTGTGTTGCTATATTACTTACAACAGAATGTGAATCGGCTGGCATTATAAAATCTACCAATCCCAATAGAGAAACTGAGGGCATCAGAAAGAGTCAAGAAGAGTTGATTGTTGGCATTTTAAAATGTTTAGGATATTTTACAACACATGCAACTTTGCAGTGTGCAGAACAGGTAAAATAAATATTACTTTTAACCTAAAATACAAATAGTTACTTAATAAATTTATTAAATAGCTTTTACTTGGTATTTCATCCATATGAGATAATATTCACTGGAATATTATCTGGAATAAAAAGTAACTTATGTCCTTTACCATCTCACATAGTATATGTATAGTAAATTTTATAGTGATTGGTTAAGCAGCTAAGGTACTAAAAGGCGACAAATAAAAAAAACTCACTTTTACATTTACAATATTAAATAAGGATATGGAGTGAGTTTGTTTGTTACCTCTTAGCACTTTAATTGCACCAAACACTTTGAAATTTGGTATATACATACTATATAGGATGGAGAAGGATATTACTTTTTACTCCTGTTAGTAAACATATACCAGTCACACAGAGGAAGTCGGGTAAATAAAAAAAAATATACATAAGTGCCACACAATCACACTAATTGCTGGCCCTCATATTAAAATACCCTGTGTTCTGTGAATGAATGAACAATGAATATCTAAGGGTACAATCAATAAACTTAAATGTGACTCAATTCTGAACAATTTGCTTTTTATGTTATTAATTACCAAGAATTGAACCAGTGTATCATTTACACAAGGCAACATTCTCACCATTACATCACAAAGGTTGCAATCAAATAAGTTGTGTACCAAACTTATTTTGGGAGGAGAAAAAGGATATTACTTAAGGACAGTAAATTAAATGCAGTCAGTTCATATAAATCTTTCAGAAATGACATTTATAAGAAATTCATTTATCCATGATTTTCAGATTCAAGGTGATGGTAGAGGTTACCAATGCCTAGTTGCACTTACTAAGACATATGAGTCAACAGCATTAAAGTGTCTCATGAATTTATGTTACCTTTCACAATGTAGACCGCTACTTGGCACTGCAGGCTTAGTGGAGTGTCTTGTTGGTATATTGCAGAAGATTTCAGGTAACAAAATTCGATTTTATTATATAATATTTTCTTCTTTTATATTAAAAAACATAATGAATGCTTTGTAATCTGTATAGAGGTGACATGGTGGCCGGAAGGTGGAGCTCGTGCCCTCGCCCAACTCAGTGGCGAGTCAGTGAACCGTTCTCGTCTACGACATTGCGGCGGGCTGCCCTTGCTAGTAGCTGCGGCACGGGTTCATCCGTCTGCCATGCATGCTCTTTTACAATACGTTTTTGATGACACATGTAAGTTTATACTTTTTTTAATTAAAACTATTATTACGCTATATTTACGCTTCATATTTATGTCTAAATTCTATTTGATCTTAAAATTTTAACTTCTATTTAGGTATACATATATAATCATATTGAATCAACTTTAATAGCTTTAACTTTTTTCATTAAAGCATTAATTTGTAGCACTATTGAATTAATATTAGTTTAATTGTTTTTACAGCGTTTCAAATTCTTGTCAATGAAGGCCTTATTAGTTTATTAACTGATGAATTAACAAAATATCTGACTACAATGAATTATGAACACAGCAATATGGAAAATGCAGAGATGTTGAGTGAAACTACTAATTTACTAAAGGTAAAAGAGAATACAGAGAACAGCATAAAATTGGATAGTCCATCGCAAGCGGGCAGTTCAGCTACTAATAGCTCAGAAACTAAAGGCAGCCTGTTCATGCGACGAAAAAGCCAATTGCTATCTAAAAATGAAGACGAATTAAAAGTAATAATTGAAAGAGATAATATGATTGTTGGGTTTGTTGATGCTGTAGATAGTGATGCCTCTGATGACAGTCAAAGCGAAGATGAGACACCTGTGCTGCACCGCAAATGTCTTAAGAGAGCGAGATCCGGGAGTCCTAAACTGGTGAAAAATATATGTATTAATAGTAATTTGTACACTGAAAATTGCATCAAATTACTGAAACAATAATTTCAATTATTAACTTAACCAAATAAGCAAATTTTTTATAAGAGAAAACAGAATTCATAACCTTTAGAAAAATTAATTAATGCTAGAATTATCATGACACAAGTACTATAGTATTATAATGTTTATATAAACTCACTTCAGATTTCACTTTTAATTGTAAAAATATGTATTTAAATTCTTATAACTGTCAGTTATAAAATACTGATAGTACAATCTGCTTCGTTTGGGACTAGATAGCACTGTTTATATGTCCACGACTATTATTTTTCATAAGATAAGCAATTTCAAAAAATTATGAAAAAAAATATTTATCACAATCTTTAGGTATTGCGTTAAGTCTACTCTATAGCAGCATGATTTTTATGGTAATAGTGCCTTACTGCTCATCATGTGGATGTGAATGTAAGCAAAGATCTGAAGACGCTGTCGATAATTGTTACTGCCTTGTTATTTTTTTTTTGTGTCAATGTTAAATTTATGAATGAATGAATGAAAATTTATTTGAATAATGCCATTTAATTAATTAATTTCATTTATTTCAAAAAAATAAGTATTATATAAATTTTAACATCTAATGCAAAACTCATATTTGAATCGCTATAATGCGGATATCAAAGGATTAAATCGTCAGTAGAAACTGTCCTGTATTCTATATATACAAGATAGTGACTGGTCTTATATCTAAGATGCTTATTATTTAAAAATTTTTATTTAAGTTGTTTTGTGAATTCTATTTCTCGGATTATGAATCTATCTTCACCATATCACTTTAAATTGAATCTAAAGTTTGCTTATTTGAGAAGAATGTTTATTAATGTTCCCATCAGTGTACGTATTATTATAATCATAATCATCATCTATATATCTTTCACTATCATCTATTTCCGGTTTGGTCTTTAATTCCCTCTGAATCCATCCATTAATTTACCTATATTATATAACAAACTCCTTTGTAACATTTCATTTTAGACCTTAAAGTGACATGATTTAGTGCAAGATCGGTAAAGTCGATTGGTTAGGCTGAACTCTTTTTATATGAAGCTGATTGATCAACACGTTAATTAGCAGGGTTTCTGCCCTATCCAATTGACTTTACTGGTCAATTCTTTGGCACAATAAACACTTTTAGGCTTAGTTGTCCTGTCCTGTTAATTAGTAAGTAGTAGTTAGTAGAATTTTATATAAAGACACTGGTCTAAATATTTTTATATATAACGGAGATTTTTTTTAAATGGGATTTATATGTTCAATGATTAAACAATGCAAATCGTGAACTCGTGTGTTTGTAGGGCAGTGTTTCAGTTTGAAGGGTGGGATAAGCCATTGTAATTAAAGGCATACTACCTTAATTTTCAGAAATGCATAATACGTATTTATATTTTTATTAAATCCGTTACTTTAGCCGGAAATAAAAATCTCTATACATCAATAGACTCTCTAATAAAGATCGTAATATATTTTTGCAAGAATATATTAATAATAATACATTATTATGTCGACTTTGTTCTTTTAAAAGTTTCTGCAATGTCTAATGAAATATAATCTTTCAAATAGATGGGGACACCTCATGTTGTGATATACTTTTTAGTCCCTATTATAAAAGTACCGTGGTATCTTACTGCTTTTAGTTATGTGCTACAATTTCCCATTTATTATAGGGTACTTTATTTTCTTTTTTTTTTATGCAACTTAGAATGGCAAACATGCTGAAAGCCCATCTAATACAAGATAATAATCGTCGCCTATAGTATAGACATAACCAGTACCATGGAAATAAATAATTTATTTCTAATTATTTATTTATTTGTTTCTACTATTTATTTTTAAATTCATTGTGCATTTCGAGACACATTTTTATCTGGGCTTTGCGTTATTTCCAGCATATATCACCCAAACATGCATTCCAGCATATGTCATTCATTAATTGCCCGCTGATGAAAAATATCTCTTATATTTCCAATACCCAATATTTTTATTATTTTCAGAAATCACAATTGATTAAGATGGCTAGTAAAGATTGGTCTGCTGGTGTTTATTGGGAGCCAAAGAGTCCTGAATGGCCATCTTCTACACAGCCATCAGGATCACGTGGCGCGTTGAGTCCAGATAGAGGAGATTACGGACCTCTTTCTCCATATTCAGATGGAAATCAGTCTGGTTTTAGTCCAGAATATCGGGGTTTTTCCAATAAACGACCTAAGTGGGATTGGAGTCCAGAGTCCGGAGTTAGTACCGGAGAAGGAAGTTCGGCGTCGCCATATTGGACCGAGTATCAGTGGAGTCCAAGTAGCTCAGGCAGTCCAACTTCTCCTTTTAGTGTTAATGAAGGTAGATCGTTTATTCGATTGCTTGTTACAAATCTCTTTACATGTTCGTTCTCTTCTGTATTCATTATATACAATAATTGTAACTGAATTTAAGATTCCTCATGTTAAAAACAATAATAAAAATTTAAATTAAACAAGTTTAATTTCATGAGTGCTATCTATCAATGGGCATAGTCATAATATAAAGAAAAATTACTGAAAATCGGGAAGAATTATAAAAAGGCATGTACATCTGTTTTTCATATCTCGCGGAGGAAACCGCTACTAGCGGCTACTTGTATAAATTCACATACAAATTCAGAATTGTTATTAAATTGTAATTTCCAGATAGTTCTGATTCGGAAATATCAGGTCGTTACTCTCCGGTGTGCAGTGAAACTGAGGGTGACGCAATAGACTTAGCCGTCGCCAAGAACGTGGCCGCAGAACTAGATGCCGCGCAGGTCGCCCAAGATTTGGATGAACTCATAATGGATGATGATGAGAGCGTCGATGAAGAGGTGCCTTTAGAAGGTACTAAATATTTTTATTGTAGTTTTTTTATATAAATATATATAGTATATGAATAACTAGTAACTGCTATTTCTTCATCTATCTTATATAGAAATAAAAAAGAAATCTTTACTATAATAAAAGTGTGAGGATTGAGGAGACAGTACAAGAATTTTATTGCTAAAATTTGCTAAGAGATGAAATAAGCAAGAAACTAAGTCAGTTTTAAAAATGATATCAGTCATTTTCTTAACATTTCACTTGAAAATTTTAAAATCATAATTGGTCAATTATATTATAGAATATAGCTTGAGTCTTTATTAAATGACGTCATGTAGAATATAGAGGTCTTTGTTAATTATAGTTTCAATTTAAAAAAAAAAAACTTCTAGATTATAAATTCTCGCATTATGTTTTACAAAACCACGCATATGTAGTCACCAATAATAATATATTGACTTTATTTCAGAAGGTGCAAATAAAACAGATATTAGTACAAAATCGTCTCCCATAGCTTGTGTACTGGTTCTATTGTTTCGCGTATCGCACGGTGCTTGTAACTACGGCGGCATTCGTGAGGACCCAGTGCCAAACCATACGCTAGAATTGCTTACAGGAAAGGAGTGCTTGAATGCATTGCTCGATTATATTGAAAGATGCAAACGGCCATTGGGTAGGGCAGCTCGTATTTTAGCCAGGGTGTTAAGGTAAATATGATTTCATAATATTGAATGCTACTTTCACATCTTATTAATATCAATTCTTCGTTTATACAAAACGATCCCTTAAAAATCGTTTAAAATTGATTCTTGTTATAGAAACCTCTGTGTAAACATAATCAAAATAATGACATTTTTTTTAATCGAATATAATAGCCATTGCTTTTTAATATTATTTAAATCGCATTAATAGCTTCATAACTAATAAATGGATTTAGTTATGTTATACATTCAACAGCATAACATATCGCTATGTTCAAGATTGTATTAAATTATATATAAACATGTTAATTGAACAGTAATCCAACATCTACCTCTGGATGTATTTATTGTTAAAAATAATTTATTTTATTATTTCAGCAATGCACTTTGTTTAATGAGCATATTGAAACATAGATTAGCTCTTAGATTACATAACATGTCAGTGAGTTCCAAGCATCCGCCTTTTAAATGTACACAATGCAAACAAGTAAGTATGTCTTATGTTATTTAAATTAGTTGACGTTAAACAACTCCAGCAATTATGCTGCGCCTAAATTATAGTTTATTTGAATAGAACTTTATGAAAAGGTAAGAAGAATTTATTATCACAGAAACTTTAAATGAAATTAATAACAAATCGAAGCATTAAATCGATTAATATATTATTTATTGGTATTAATATTTAATATCAGGTGACAGTTTATGGTTTTGGGTCAATTATTCGTTTTTTTTTTCACTGCCATTAATATCTATATAAATAGACTATAAATACATGTTTATTATACGTGTTATATTATAAACTCTCTTATGTCCTTGAAAGTTCCTTTTCCTACTTCTATCTTACTTTATTAACTCATCTTGACCATTCAATTAAAAAAAAATGCCTTAATTATTATTTATTATTAATAATAGTAAATAGTAAAAAAAAAAATTAATTTTCACTAAAAAAATGCGGTCAAGTGCGAGTCAAACTCGCGCAACAAGGGTTCCGTACATGACTAGCTCATTGCCAATATAATAAAATAGCATAGCAAAATTATAGGATGTTGTGTTACAGTATAGTAAGATAATCGATTCCTAAATTCAATTGAATATATTAGTTATTTAGGAATTTTTTTATTTTCTTTGAATAAATATAACAATCACATTTCAGATAGTAAGATTAAGTGCAAAATTATTGGCTCAGCTGACGATTCTTGCCGAATCCAGTTATGGTATTGGAGAAATTAGTTATCAGCTACTAAAAGGGAGTTCTGCTATGAAACAAACCCTTTCCCTTACACTGCCATACATTGTAAGGTACGTTGCATCAGAATGTTTTTGTTATTTTTTTTTTTTTCAGTGTACTCGTAAAATATATATTTAAATAGATTTATTTTATTTTTATTTGCATCAAAGGATACATATAACAGAGTTACTTATTTCTTTTTCAGAACCGAAAAGCCTTTGAAAAAATATTTCATTGATTGTAACGCGTTGAATTTTCTATTCGCAAATATTGCGGAATCAAAAGAAGATATTAAAGATTGTGTAACTGCATTAGTAAAATTGGCAACGAATGTGCAAATAAAAGATCCAAAAACACTTGAAAATCGATTTAAAGATAAACTTTGCGTTAGTTACGATCCCATACTGGACAATTTGGCGGTGGACGATATAGTTACATTCGAATTAGACGACTCATCAACCGTGAAGGCGAACAAATTATTTTTATGTCAAAATTCAGAATATTTTAGTGCTATGCTGATGGGTTGTTTTAAAGAATCAGTAGAGAGTTGCGTCCGTTTAACTGATGTAACAAAACCAGCTCTCGAATACCTATTTACACTTTTGCATTGTGGGTTAAATAATTCTAAAAGCGATGTACAAGTCTTCCCTATGGCCGAAAACTTAGAAACTAACTTAGAAGTACTTTTATTAGCTGATAGATATTTATTTGACAAGTTAAAAGAACTATTGAGTAGTGCCATATTACAATTTCAGTTAACTCCCGAAAATGTTGACAAAATTTATATATGGTCACTGAGTAAAGGGATGGGATTCTTATGCGTTGAGTCAGTTGCGTATTTACTAACTGGAAAAATGTGCGAGACAGTTCGTACACGGTCCTTCGAAACCATACTCAATTTAGAATACAGAGATCAGTGGTTGGATGATATTAAGGGAATGATTCGAAGACAGCTAGTAAAATAGATAATATTGTACCATCGGATTTTATTAGAAATATTCTTATATCGTTTTTCTGAGACTATTTCAGAACAGATTCAATAAATACGTATTTAAATGTGTATTGAGTCCCACATCACACAATACTCAAATGGAATATGTATCATATAACTTGTCTAAGATAGACATTAGTATATGAGACTACATTCCATGTTCAGTATTTTTTTTTACTACGATGATGATAAGCATACAGCCTGCTTATGGACATCCGCAACACCAACTGTGTTACATGCGTACTGCCAATCCTGAAGAAACCTCAATACGAATTATGAAGAATTGCATGCTATAGTCATTCACAATAAGAGCGTTCATGAGATGAAACTTTTCTAATATTGCACTAAACGCGATCATTTAGATACTAAGTTTGGAGAGGAAATTCCTTTAAAAACCATATTTAAAAGCGTAGTTTTATTGTTTTGAATCGCATTTAAATTTTATTAAAGTGAATTGTAAATTCCAATATTATGAAACTTACATTTTTTACTTAGATACGAGGTTTGTCCGGAAAGTACGTATAAAAGTTTTTTAAAAATTTTATTTTACAATTATTCAGGTAAATCAATTTTATCCCCTTCAAAGTACTCCCCCTGTGACATAATGCACTTGTGCCAACGCCGTTTCTACTGTGAGAAGGCTCCTTGAAAGTCCTCTGGTTGTAGGTTTCTCAGCTGCCCCGTCGTAGCTTTTTTTATCTCATTTATGTCCCCCAAATGCCGCCCCCGAAGTACCAATTTGGTTTTTGGGAACAAGAAGAAGTCACACGGGGCCAAATCCGGTGAATAGGGGGGGTGTTCGGTCACCGTAATGGAATTTTTACTCAAAAACTCACGGACAACAAGAGAGGTGTGGGCAGGGGCATTGTCGTGGTGAAGAATCCAACGCCCCTCTCGCGCCAATTCTGGACGAACTCGTGCCACACGAGCTTTGAGGCGTCTGAGCACATCGACGTAGAATTTTCCATCAACTGTCTGGCCTGGAGGGACGAATTCTTGATGGACAATCCCCCGAACATCGAAAAAAACAATCAACATTGTCTTGACATTTGAGCGGGATTTTCTTGATTTTTTTGTTCGTGGTTCCCCGGATGTCTTCCACTCTTTGCTTTGGGATTTTACTGTTCTGAGATCGGCAAAAATTTCATTCTTGCCGAGTTTCGAGAGAAACTTGATTACGACGCGCTGCTCTTCAACGGAAGCGGGCTCCATGCCGACGGGGTTTCGTTAAGAGGTAACTTCACAGATGGCGTGACAAGCCAGTTCGCACCGCACGGCGGTCAGACCAGAACTGAAGCATTGTTAGGGACATAAGGAAGGGGTCCTGCGCTTACCTGGCCTCCCCACTCCTCTTTCTCGCATTCCAGAACACTTTTATACGAACTTTCCGGACAGACCTCGTATAATTTTATATACAGCATTTTATGAAGTATTTATTTTCTTGTTATGTTTTTTTTTATTCGAAAAAACTAACATGAGTTCACTTAAAGATATTATACTTATTACTTATTCTCAATTGTTATGTTTATAATAACATTCCTTAGTTTTTTTTTAATGAACTTGTTATCATTCAGTTAACAATAAAAATAGTCAGGTACTATTACTATTATATATCTATTGATAATTGAGTTGTATTAGGACAAAATAATTTTAGTAATAAAAGAATGTATTCTAAAAATGTATTGTATATTGATAATGTAAACTGTTATAGAAAATATTATGTAAATATAACAGTAATTAAAAATTTTATATAAATTTCATTTCACACTTTCTTTAGTAATGATACCGTTAATTTAACGTCCCTATCCGGTACTAACACTAGCGAAGTGATTGCTTTCACATCTGCACTGTTGCTACATGTGAAATCGAAGTTGTTCACAATCTGAAAAAAAAAAAGTATTTTTATTTACGAGTTTATAAGTCATTCTATAACAATAAAACTAACTCTTGTTATGCATTTATTACATACTATATTATATAAGGGCCATAAAGACGGTTTTACCGTCTAATTTTAAGTGAAAATTAATAAATCTATACAAATATCGATAGGATCGCCGCATGCTATGTTTTGAAATATTTTGAATAGACAACGATCCATTCTGTGGATCAAAATATAGATTTAAATGTAGAACGTGATAACCAACCTATATAATATAATTACCCTTATTTATTATATTGGTATATACTACGTCTATGACCTAGTTACTGTTATGACCATAGATTATGACTAATGTCAGCATTTTTGTCATGAGCATATTTTTTAACCGACTTTTATCTTAATATAGCAAGTATTAATTATTAATTCATTATATAGATAAACTTATTAAAACCATCTTAAGTGTCAATGTGTTTATTACACATAATCTTATGTGTATCTTATATTTATGGTGCAATAAAGAGTTAAATAAATAAATAATCTGCCATTTATTAAAAAAGAAGTAGGTACATATTATTATGGCAAAATATCAAATTTACCTGATATATGAATTCAGTCATCTGTAACATGGCAATTTTTTTCCCTACACAGGATCTTGTGCCCAAAGCAAAAGGCACCGAAGCCGATTGGACGTGATTTAGTAGTTCTTTTTTTCGTGGGTCATTTCTATCCCAACGGTATGGCAGAAACATGTTAGCCTTGCTGAAATTTTGTTCATCCCGTCCAGATGTATAAATAGATGCTATAATTGGAGTCTGAAATAAAAGTATGGGTTTTCAGACTCTAAAATTGGGGGAAAGGGATTGTTAGTAATGCGGACTAGTCATCCCATTGCTAGCAATATACCCCGTCAGGTCGACCTCCACGTGGTCTCCCCGGGAAACGATCATACTGAATTCATTTCCATTCTCACCTATCAGCCCTTACTGGTGCCCCGCTAGCATATCCTAGTTACCATTTCATTATCATGCATTAAAAAACACTGTCATATAATAACCTCATTATCAATAGCCTCATTGCTAGCAATATACTCTGTCAGGTCGACCTCTACGTGGTCCCTCCTAGAAACCATCGTGATGGATTCCCAATGAATTCATCATAATGAGTCAACTAATCTAACTTCCTCCTCATTTATCTTTACTCACTAGTGAGGTCATATCTTATTTTTATAAGGGCCACAAAGATTTAAAAGTTATAGTGCCGCGGGCCATAGATGCTTATAAAAAACGTAATTCAAATTTATAGGAAATTAAAAATTACATATAAGAGCATATAACTCAAGGAAAAAAAAACACTAAACAAGTTACGTAAAACGACTCGGTCAGAAATATCTTACCAATGTAATCTACATAAAAAAAATCTTTTTTTTATACCACTGAGGTGGCAAACAAGCATACGGCCCACCTGATGGTAAGTGGTTACCGTAGCCTATGAACACCTGCAATACCAGAGGTATTACGCGTGCGTTGCTGACCCTGAAGAAACCTCTTTACCCCCTTTTTGAAAAACCCCATGCTGTAGTCTCTTGGGAAAATCTCGGCAGGGAGCTCATTCCACAACCTGAGTGTTCGTGGGAGGAAACATCTCTGAAACCGCACAGTACGCGACCATTGAAGTTGTAGGACATGAGGATGAACTTCCTGTCGATGGCGAGCCGTACGATGGTAGAAAGTAGCTGTGGGCATCATACTGAACAATTTCTCTGAGCACAATCCATTGTACAGGCGGTAGAACACGCAGAGTGACGCAAAATCTCTCCTAAAATCCTCTTTTTCTCGTTATTTTGACCAGCCTGATGTTCAAAATGAAAAATGGTGTGGTATGCGCCTCGTCTGCGCTAACGGTATATGCTGGCAAGACACCAGTGAGGGATGATAGGTGAATAATGAGAAAGCAGATCAGTTAACTCATCGTCATGAATACATCTGGAATTAACCAGTATGGTTTCCAGGGGGAACCACGTGGAGGTCGATCTGACAGGGCTATTACTAGCAATGGGATTGGTAGCCCGCATTACTAACAATTCCTTCCTCCATAGAATTTGTCAATATAATTTATATATAGTCGTAATTCCCATGTCAAAATAAAAAGAAATATGAAATACAAAGCTAAAACTGTTCTACAAAAATTTTACAACGCATTTGGCAGTATTTTTGTTTGTTAAGTTGGCACTATTTTTTGTGATGCCTATAGATTACTCTTTGAATTAACGAAATCGGACATTCCATTCCAAAAATATTATGGATTTTGTTGAGTATCAACCCCTTGCTTGCGACACCGGTAGCGACTGCGCGTGGTAGTGGGCGACGCGGCGAACATCTATGAAATAGGTACTCGCGCAGTTTATTTGAGCTGTCAGCTTCCTACGCATCAGACACTACCGTCATTAAATGTTTTGACTTTTCTAAAGAGTAAATGTCTATACATTTATCCCAAAATGTTTAAAAAATAAATGTCCATCTGTGCGAAGCTGGGCCAGGCCATTGGTGTATAAATAATCCAAATGTGAAATAACAAATAACAACAAACTAGTTTTAAAACATTATTTACTATGATTTCTTTGGTATAATTTTCTCAAGAGCATGTTTTATTTCTTTCTTCATATGATTGTACGGGTCTTCAAGTTCACTTGGAGCCTCTGGTATTCTTAATCTTCTCCTCACTGTTGGTGAGAGAAGACATAAGTTCTGGATAAGTCCAAATCCACTTGATGTCATCCAATAAAGACACATACATGAAGGCACACTGGCTGCAACAGGTATCATAACAACAGAAAATATCCTAAATACATTTGTGAAAGCATTATACACTTTAGAAGGTTGTCGAAGCTTTGACATTCTTTGTATTTCTATTATTGCTATATTGGTTAGTCCAAATGCCACTGGTAATATAAAAGAATGGTCTGGCTCTGTCAAATTAGGAAACCAACCAACTCCACCAGTTGACAGTTGCATAAAAGTCACTAAAGCTGCAGGATCACCTGATTGCATATAAACCAAGTTTCGAAGAGCAAATGACATGCAAATCCATATTGGAATTTGTAACCAAACCACCAAAGTTGACTTAAATGGATGACAATTCTCCCGTACAATAAGTTTATACCATTGTTTCTTTAGAGATCTTTTGTATAATACCATTGCTTGTTTATCAGTCAGGTTATATGCCTTCTTTGCCATTGCTGTCTCTCTCTTCAATTCATCTATTAAATCTTTTAACTCCAAGCTAATATTTTCAACTTTGGCAAGTATATTGTTTTGATATATTGTTAGTGGTAAAGTCATTAAACCTCTTATTAGGATAGTCGAAGTGATAACAGTAGCCCACCAGGATAGGCCTGATAAATCATGAAAGTATAGTAGTCCATTTTGCATTAAATTAACGAAATAGCTATTCGATATGCTAGTGTACGTCTGTTGCTGCCATTCTACAATACCTTCGTAAGATATATGTCTTCTATTATTAATATTAATCAAATCATTTTTTAATAATATTGGTTTATTCTGTTTGAGTTCGCAATTACAACTTATCGCACTAAATGACCGCATGTAAGATCCCCAACCATATTTATTTAATCTATTTAGTGTTTTACTATAAATCATTGCGTAATTTTGAACAATATTAGAGTTCAATTGAAATTTAAAAAAGTAATGTAATATACGTAGGTTTATATTTATTGTAATTTAGGTGATATTTTTCTTAAAGATATCGAATTTTGCTTGCCTAATAGGCAAGCCTGACTTTGACAATTATACTTTTTGACTTTGACATTTATGCAGTCAACCATAAACGGGTTTAAGAGTTCGCGGGATGAATAGAAAAGATTTTTTATTTTGAAAGCTGTAGTTTGTTTCTCGAGTGTATATATTTTAAGGGATGTAAGCAGTATATACGTACTTCTGAATATATAAGAGGAAACTTAATTATTGTTTAAAACAAATAAATTTATATTTATTACCATTATGTTTTTTTAATAAAGGGGCTGATAGAAACGGAAATGGGAAAATTGAAACGTCAAGGGGTGAATAGAAACGATTATGGGGTTTATAAGTTTTAGATTTTTTATTAAATCTACTTTTGCCAACTTTATAAAATGTTACTATATAATTATGTTATTAGTTGTCAAATTAAAAAACTTTGGTATACAAGTAAGAAAATTATTTTATTTTCATATATATTTTTTAATTCATTTTCAATGCATGCAAGACGTGTTTAGTAAATAAAAAAAAAATAAGGATTTTACTAAATACAGCAATTATTACCACTTTGGTAGATTTTTATAATATGAAATCCTGACTTCGAAAGGAAAGTTTTCTATTCGATTATTTGTTGAATTTTTTGAAATTTATGTTTCCATTTACTCTGCTTTCGATATCGAACTTAGATTGCAAGTGGCATCAGTGAATAATGGTAAGTAAAGGTGCAGACAGCTTGGTTGGTCCATCTTGACGAGTTTACCAGATATTAACCACGATGATTTCCAAATTGATCTAATTACAGGATATATTGTTACAGAGTAAACAACAATAGTAACTCCGAGTGTTAAACGAGATTTTATCGATTATCTTGCGTATTTACTTTATTTATTAAAGATGGGTCTGCTAAATCTCATTACTAACAATCCTTTCCTTCTCTGCTCTATATTTGTATTAGGTACAATTTAAATTATATGGACAAATAATTACATTATTATTAGTCATTATAAAAATATTATCAGTCTCAATCCTTTTGTTTGTTCAATATAAATTACTATATAATAAAGTACTTACATCTTGGTTTATTACATACGATCCCAATACACTTTGTTTGGGTAAGATTCTTGTCAAGAAAGGTGCTACTGGAAATAACCTCATTGTTTCTTTAATTACATTCTTTACGTAATTTTTATGTTTACCTCGAATATCATTTCTTACATCTTCGTTTTTAGCCAGCAGGAATAGAATCCACAAAGAGGTATACGCCGTCTATATAAAAATATTTTTTATTAATATAAAATTTTTATTTAATATTTTATCAACAAGCTAATATTAAACAAATAAGTATATACTACTAATATTATAAGTTTGTAAAGATATTTGTAATATTTAAATTTAGTAAAGGTTGACCATTCATAATTTATGCGAACATAACCACTTGCACAATAATTAATTTATTTCATATATATTAAATAGAATGTTTTGTTATCGATGTTATCACATATTCTGCAATATAAATAAGAATATAAGGAAGCTTTTATTTTTTCTTGCAGAGGAAAAAATCTCGTATTTAAAACTGATTTGTAAGTGGTCTTTTTTATGAATAAGTAAGTAAAAATAGAAACAAGTAGGTAATAAGACATTATATTTTATTCGAAATAGGGATTCTGGTAGGTAAGCACAATTAATCGATAGAAAATTATATAGGGTACCTGAATATTACTTTAAGTTATGTGATAACTACCTAAGAAGTCAATAAAACGTATAAAAAGTGAATTTAATTTTACTTACAGTATCTCCAGCTGCCATGACGAAGTCAGCAGCAATTCTTTTAATGTCTTCTTCAGAGACGTTTTCATTACACAATCTTTTAACTAATCCATTACTGTCATGATGATTATTCAGTATTTCTTGGACTATTTTTCGAGCTGAAACAGAATGTAATTTAGCATAATTAAATGCTATATATTTCTTTCTTTGATTGCATAATAGTGATTTACATGACAGCTGTAAAAATATATTAAAACAATATGTATAACTCACCTATTCCAATTGATAAATCCACACTTTCTTCGAAGTCTCTCCATATTTTTAAATTTAAATATCGGCATAATGAAACTGGTAATCCATATAGCTTAGTTGTAGTTTGAAAAACTTTTTTTACATTTTCAGAAAAAAAACCTAACAGCTCTTCAAAGTGTTTACTAGTTTTAATACTACTATTTGAGCCAAGTAATACATTGATAATTACTGAAAGACAAACAAAATTATTCATTTATTGTTTAAAAATATATTTTAAGCTACCCTGAAATTGGAGACGATGGTCACTAGGTAAATATTATATAACGACACACTAATAACATATTATTATAAATTAGCAATCATTATAAGATTACTTCACAATCTATTGGTTAATATAAAAAATAATAGTATTACCTAGAATGAATAATAATCAGATTTTTTTAATAGTTGATAATGGAATGGAAACCCCGCCTGTTCTATCAGTATACGCTGATGGAGCACCAAAAAGGTATGATAGATGAGGATGAAGCAGATCACTTGGATCGTCGTGACGAATTCATTGATTAATTAATCACGATTTTTTCTTAGGAAAACTGTGTGGAGGTTGACCTATATTATACACACATTACTAACTAATCCTTCTCTCCCTTCCTAATCAATGTAGATAGTTTTCTGCAGACTACTGGCTATCATTATTGATCATATTCACTTTTACATAATACGAAACATTAAAAGTACCTATAAGTATTGTATTGTAAATAATATCGTGTAATTAATATAATAAAATTTCATTATGAAGTCACATTATGCACAAGCAGGGAATAAGTACCTATAAAAAATTTAAGGAACACCATACCTTCTGTGGATAACCTATATAAATCCGATTCCAAGGCAGGAGTAAAACAACCAGTTATAGCTTTAGATTTCCATTTCTGTAAAAAATTATCTATAGTGCTTTTAATAGGATTTTCAAGCCATTTTTCTGAATCATCTTTTAGTACAAGTTTATTCATTATACTGCGATTCTTTGCCCATTCCTCGCCACTCATAAAGAATAAGCCTCGCTTGGATCCATTAATTTTTTCATATAAAATCCACGGATCTGGCAAAATGTGGGCAGGATATTTTCCTTCTAGATTTAAAAAGAGAGTTCTAATCATCGTTGGATGACTTATAAAAACTAGAGGTACATTTCCACCCAATTTTTCACAGAATATCGGTCCTAATTGTTTATGCCGTGAATCGATGTATTCATGTAAGCTGCAACATAAATAAAGAGCCTGGTAGTTTTCAGAGAATTAAGGAGAACAATTAAAAAATGCTATCATAAGTGTAAAGAAATTCTTAATTTGATGGATTTTTCCTTTGACGCGATTTTTACATGTCAAAAGTTACTAATTCTGAACTCATTTTTATAATTCTTTTATAATTGATAAAATAAAGAGGTACTATACATGCGATTTTACGTTCAAAATTAAAACATTTTCAACAAGGAACCCGGTGCAGCTTTATACGGGTGCTAGTAGATCACAAATGATAGTGAAATCTATATCAAAATCGATTGTGTGATTTTTAAGAAATAAGCGGGTAAACAAGGAGGGAAGGAATGGATGCAGGTGGCTCAGGACCGTTCTCTATGGCAATCTATGGTTGAAATGATGAAGCGCGTAAACAACTGGTGAACAGTTATTTTGTTTTATACTTTAACATCAAGAAATTATCTCCTCAACCATCAGTTCAATCCATTTAATTGTTTATATGTAATATACCTGCATAATTACAATTACATTACAATAATACTACTATTATTATATACTTAATATAAAAGTTTGTAGAGATGTTTCAAAGGATGAACAAATTTCCAAACAATCCATACATCATAGATTTTTTTTTGTATTTCAGCCGTTAACTGTCCACTGCTGGACATAAAGGCCAAGGCCTGCCTTCTTCACAAGGGGAGTTTGCCAGTAGTTATCACGCTTGGCAGACGGGTTGACAACCGCAATTACACTTTTAGAGATGTTTTAAGAGGGACGCTGCTGCCCATCCCTCGCCCTCATCATCACATCATAAATTACATATATGATACTATATTTTAATTTACTTATTTATTTATTTAACTTTTTATCATCACTAGGGCAATGGGCAATGGCAAACCCAACTTTTGATTAAAGGAGAATAGTTAGAAGTGGGTAGATGGCGCAAGAGTGAATTAATAATTTTTATATGCATAAAATATAAAAACCAATACTGCATAAAAATAGCAAATACATATTATTTAATAATACATATACATTCACATATAAATACATACATAGCATATACAAGGAAATATGATAAGTTCAGTAAAATATTACAGAAGAAAGGAAAAAAGTAACTACAATGAGAGAAAATGCGATTTAACTTGTCCTTTAAACGAAGCGAAGGATTTGTGCACTCAGTGTAGAAGGTGACAGCAAGTTCCATAGACACACAGCCTGAATGGATGAAAAAAGATTTTGTATAATGCACGGAGATATGTGAACTGCATTTCACAGAAATATAAATTGCTCTTTGAGGTAATAAGGTGTGAAAGAATTGAATAGAATATAATAAAGAAGAGAAAGTATGTGAACAGGAAACATTTAGTAGTATAATATTTGCCTACCTTCCATTCTTTAATCACCTATTCTAAAAAATGTATAATAAAAGAAAATTTAAATAAATAACTACAATTGGCTACATAAGAGGTTCACAGGAGTATGTACTTACTTTTTTCCGCTTCCAGCAGCCAATAAATCTAATTTTGTACCAACAAGAGGCAGTGATCTTGGTCGAGGCATATTTGCAATTGTTTGACATAACTTTCCAACAATTATGTTATTTCTTATTATAGGTTTTATTATTTGCTTATTTATCAAACATTTTTTAATGCAATACATATTTGCTATAACAGGTCAAAGAAATTTTAATTTTTTAACTTATTCCAGTAAAAATTTAAAAGGATAAACCAAGTTTTCTTTGTATGATTCTATTAACTAAACTCAAATGTTTCCAGCTACAAGATAGAACACCAACTGACTGTGGATATAATGATCTGAAACAAGATTCAATATTCTAATCGTTCTTTTGTTGTATTTCTGATCCTGTTTAACGTTAATAATTCGTTGAATTATGTGTGTTTTGCTCGTTGATACATAACATTATGGTAATCATATGAATAATTTATGACGCATTCAAAAACATTGTAGGTATATACTATGTATATTGTAAACTGTGGACCAAAGAAAGCTCTTCAGTATTTATACAAAATTATTTTTTAATATACTATGCAATTTTATACGTCTATATAATAATATCAATCAATCAATCGGTTCATATAATAAAATCCTTACTTCTATCTATCCTACTGTCTGTACATGGAAGATATATATAAGAAAACTTATATAGGAGGGTTATATGAACGCAACAGAACCCAAAACAATGATGCTTATAATTTTTTTTTTGTCTGTACATTTCTGCATGCTAATGTCAGAAACGTGTATTTTGAATGTGGTTTTTACTAATGTGTTGCAATTTACTCCACTTAATATTTAATGTTTGTTTTATTTCAATTGATTTACAAATAAAAAAGTTATATTAATCTAAAAAAATCACATATAAAATGCTTTAAAATAACCGATACGTTGAATTGGTTGAAACTGTTTTTATTATAAATTGATTTACGAAAATTTTGTTTTCTTGTGCGAATCCGGGTCGGATCGCTAGTGTAATACAAGCACCTACTATTATAAATCACGAAGGTAATAATTAAGAAATTGTAGTCTTGTAGTAGGGCTTTTAATTGTCTAATATATTCTTATTTATGTATAGCTACTAACAACAAGAAATTCGTAATGAGAACGCAAGAACATGTATATTTTATTATTTATAACGTAAGTAAAAATAAATATTAGGTTCAGATTATTACACACTGTATTTTTCAATATGATTTTACTCATATTATACTTACTGAATCAGTTCCTTACAGAAACGCAAGAAATTCAATCAGTTAAGTCATATTTTAATGGCCAGAAAGCAGATGTCTCATGATGCCATAGCAGATGCGTCTCATACTAATTTTCATACGAAAACTTCAATAATTTTTATGTTTTTTTTAGCAACTATATAAGCCTGTACAAGTACTAGTATTGTAGAGTTTTTAAGCACACCTTTTATAAATATTTTAACGTTAGAATATGTTCATGTACACCTGCTCATAAATTGAGTTTTTTTTTTATTTTAAATATTAAAAGTTTTAAATATAAACCTTTTTATTCAATTTGGAATGGGCAACAAGCTGACGATCTATAATTTATTTATTTATTTATCTATTCATTAGTACAGATATGTGTACATGGCGGACTTAATGCTAAAAGCATTCTCTCCCAGTCAACCATAGGGAAGTGTCGGAATACTCGAATGCGGTACTACTAATTATTGATATACATACATACTAAAATTACATATATAAACGAATAAATATATATAAATAACAAATATACTTACACATATATGACATATACTATATTATACACGAAATTGAGAATAATATAAAGTACTTACTGCTCGGATAAAAATAAAAAGTGAGCGTGAACGCTTTTTTTGAGAGACGGTTTAGTCGATAGTCTCTTAATGGCATCAGGAAGCGCGTTCCAGAGTTGTGAAGAATGTAGGAGAAAAGAGTTTGAAGCGTAACCAGTACGGTGAGAGGGGAAAGATAATTGAAGAGTATTATTGGAACGAAGGTTACGTTCGTGAGTTTCAAAAAGATAATGGAATTTACATCTTAAGTAGTTAGGAGACTGGGGGTTTCGAAGAAGAGTGTAGTGAGTACAAAGAGTTCTAACGTTTCTGCGTTGACGAATGGAAAGCCACTTGAACTGAGACCGATATAAGGAAATGTGATCGAATTTGCGGAGGTTGAAGATAAAGCGTATGGCTTGGTTGAGGAGACGGTCCAGCTTATCGAGAAGATCTTCATTAAGATCTGGATAACACACATCAGCATAATCAATAATCGGAATAATAATATAATGAAATGTTTTAAAAAATATCGATATATAAAATAGTAGTTTTTTTTTATTTTTTATGAGGGGCACCCAGACGCCGCAGTGACTTGTCAAAATTGTAAAACTCATTGTAATCTGTGAATTGAGAAATTATAAATACATATTTTAATTCATTTCTAATACTGAAAAAATCTAAAAGGGAAATAAAATGACAGTCAAAAATAAAAATGAAGAACCCAAGAAAGAAAAAGCTGAACCTGTAGCTGCACCTAGTGATGATTTGGCAAGTATTCTAATTATTAATAATGTGCTTTTTGGTACATATCAAATTATAATGAATTATCTAACTAAATTAAATCTAATTTTTACAGTCTGAAGAAGATAAACGCCTCCAAGAGGAGCTCAACATGCTTGTTGAGAAGCTTGTGGTATTTTTTTTTAATTAATATTTAATTTTACAATGGGAATATTAGAAACGCAACCTAACTCGCACGTCCTCTTATTTTTCAGGGGAATGATGTGGAATTATACTTTCCTGCACTACAAATGTTGAGTAATCTTATCAGAACATCTACAACATCAATGACTTCTGTACCTAAACCACTTAAATTTTTGAGAGAACATTATCCAGCTCTTAAATTAGTATATGAAAAAATTCAAGATGCGAAAACAAAAAAATTTTGTGCTGATGTTGTCTCAGTTCTTGCTATGGGTGTCAGTGGCTCGCCAGTAAGTAAACTCTTCTACTCCTTCGTTTTTATGTATTCAGTTTATATCTTAATGTATAAAAATCTCTTGTCATTATGTTTATTCATTCATTCATTTATAAAACTACTGGACTGATTGTTATGATTTTTTTTAAATCTATTGTTTATATTATATACCAAAGAGCTAAAATCACCTAAAACTATACCGATGATATCTCAGATATCAGTCCTGCAAGCAGATTGAAATGGTTTTCAAACAGCTTAAAAACTGCATGGCATGGGGGGAGGATGGAATTACAGCAGAGCTTCTGTGAACAGGTGGAAAACTAGTACTTGTAGTCCTTCAGAGGTAGATCATAAAAAAGTTTGTGGCCAGAGTGATTGCATGCTACAAGAATACATATTTTAGTGAGTATATAATAGGTGACAATACTCTATTAAAGAACTATAGACTGATATTCCTTCTGAATTGTGTCTATGTACAGTTTTTGAGAGTCCTGACCAATCAACTTACAACTCACACTAAAAGCTTTTGATTCGATGGAAATATGGGCAGTAGAACAGTCCCTCCAGCAGTGCCAGATTGACTAAAGGTTTATCAATGTGTTGAGTGTATATATAGTAAATCTATGATGTCTATCCAAGTAAAGAACTAGAGTATGAAACCCATCCCAGTTCAGAAAGGTGTAAGACAGGGTGATGTCATATCCCCGAAACTCATCACAGCTGCATTGGAAGATGTTTTCAAACTCTTGGACCAGAAAAGATATGGTATAAACATCAATGGCAAATACATCACTCACCTTCGATTTGCCGATTATATAGTAAAATTATAAAAAAATTAAATTATTAAAAAAATTATATGGCAAAATCTCTGGAAGATCTGAGTACTATGCTCAATAACCTCAATGGTGTTTCTCAACAAGTAGGTCTTAAAATGATCATGGACAAGACTAAATTTATATCTAAGGTCTATGTCACACAATCGATTATGATTGAGAACACTATGCTTGAAGTTGTCTATAGGTATGTATACCTGAGATAAGTTATCCGAATAGGTAAGTCCATCTTCGACTGAGAGGTCAACCAACAAATCCAACTCGGCAGGCACTATATATATATGTATGTATATATATATATATGTATATATATATATATATATATATATATATATATATATATATATATATATGTATATATATATATATATATATATATATATATATATATATATATATATATATATATATATACGGACAAATCACACATTGAGCTAGCCCCAAAGTAAGTTCGAGACTTGTGTTATCAACGATACTATATTTATAATAAATACATATATAGATAAACATCCAAGACAATGACTGAAATGATGATAATGATTATATCCTTTGTAACAACTTGAGAAATAACAATATTCAGATGGATGTGATAAATGGCAATTGGTTGCCAGATCAGCTATTAAAGTTATAAAATGAAAGTTTTATAATAATAAAGTTATTTTTATTTAAAAAAAAAATCACAGGATGCTGCAGAGAAAAGAGAATGCCTCAAGTATTGTCTTCTTGGAACTCTGTCCAATGTGGGTGACTGGGGACATGAATATGTTAGGTAAGTCTTTTTCAATCAAATGATATGTCACCATATGGTTCCAGTATAGAATGGGCCACACCTTCCTTTCCTATGGGTGCCATAAGAGGTGATTAAGGCCTCTTTAAACATCATCAAGACCTAACTTTGGTTATCAGTCCACTTACCAAATGTGGCAACTACTAGTAAAACCCCTCTTATGAAGGATGCCTATGTTCATTACTGGACAGTTAGAGGCTGATACATATAATTATTATAAGCATAAGAATGAAAATATATTCTGAATACAGACTAGTTTTGCAGAGTACTAACAATTGTTTCCCCATTTAATAGAGATTATATAGCTTTCCTTTATTCATTTTCCTAGGCAGTTGGAGGGTGAGATAGCAGAAGAATGGAATGTAGAAAATATGGATACATTGCTACCACTTGTACGAGATGTGGTTGCTTTCGACATGCAGCATTCGGCTGAAATTCAGGCTTGTGATCTTTTGATGGAAATAGACCGTCTTGATCTTCTCACACAGCATATGGATCAAAGCAATTATCCCCGAGTCTGCCTTTATTTGATTGGGTAATGTTGTTTGAATCTATTTGTACTTTTTATATTTAAAAATATATAATTACAAAAAGATTTTGGTTTGTCAGTAAGATAACATATATGTGTGGTGACAGAATAAAAATACTGTATGCTAGCATTTTTTTCATCTCAGGATATTTTAAGAACTACCTATCCATCACACCAGCCTATAAAGTTTAATAGTCATTATTGGTTTAATTAAAATTTCATTTTCATCCTATAAAAATATATATAAGTATAAATATATATAAATAAATAAAAAATATTACTATGAATTCAGAATTCAACTCATGTACCACGGTATCACATCACTAGTATAGTTTATGTGATATTGTCCATCATATCACACTCAGATATTGATTACGATCATAAGAATAATTAATGTACTATAACCCTATTAAGTTTATGTTACACATAATGTTTGTTTGTTATTGTTGCTATTACAAGTAGAATCAAGTATCAAGTATGAATATATATATAATGAGATGAAAATCTTAAATTAATTGTGTTGTCCTTAAGATTTTATATTTATGAAAGTATTTTAAGGAAGTTATGTTCAAAATACAATTTTCATATTAGCTTGTCTTGTTCTTAACGTAATTAAAAGCAACTAATATTTATTTAAATGTAATTGCAGTTGTGCCAGTTATGTTGTGGAACCGGAATCAACACAGATACTCCAAGGTGTATTGGATACATATTTACGTTTTGGAGAGTACCCTCGGGCGTTACTCGTTGCTATGCAATTGCATGATAAAGTTAAAAGTGAAGAGGTCTTCAATGCATGCAATGATCCGTAAGTAATAAAGTTTTAATTGAACCCATAAATTTTGATAACCCATTACTAAGTTTCTAAAATATAAGTTTGTATTGTAGTTATTTATATTGTATTTACTTACATATTAAGTTTGGGAATACTCAAATATTATTATTTTTTAATACTATGCCTAAGTACGAGTACATTAAGATAATGTACAAATTCCTTTCTGCAAAAAGAAAAGTACTGCAAAAAAATAAGTCTAATATATTTAATAATTTTATAGATTGATTAAGAAACAGCTGTGCTACATGCTCGCCAGACAGTATATACCTCTTGATTTGGAGGATGAAGATCTTCGCACCATTCTTCTTAATGCACACATCAATGATCATTATTTGAGTTTAGCAAGAGAGGTAAGTCTAATCTTTTCTAAAATTTGGTATTCGCCTAATTATTAATTTCTAGTATAATAATTATATTACTCGTAATTACTACTTTGTATCTTAATATCATTTGATATCAAAAAGTCGTTGATTTAAATTCACAACTTTTTGATCAAATGATATTAAGCGAAGTTACGAGTATATGCATCATAATATATAAGATTATTACATTTTATTCACTGGACAAAACAATGGAAGAGGATAAAGTTATTAAACTATTTTAAAAACCCTTGAGCATAATCATAAGAAATTACATAAATGTTCATAACTTCATCTAAATAAAATTATTTGTATTCTATCGTAGCTTGACATAATGGAACCCAAAACTCCTGAAGAGGTGTACAAAACTTGGTTGGAATCTGCTGGGTCTGCACTCCGCCCGTCGTTACTAGCCGAACATCCTGTAGATTCTGCACGACAAAATCTTTCAGCAACATTTGTAAACGCATTTGTGAACGCAGGCTTTGGCCGCGATAAATTGGTCACAACTGAGGATGGCAATAAGTGGATGTACAAGAACAAAGACCATGGTAAGTTTATTCTTTTATTTTTTATACACATGCGAAAAATTTCAATGTTTTATTGTATTTTTTTATTTAACTTTTATTTGACTTTCATTTAAATTATGATTTTAAAAATTATGGTTAATTTTTAACTCTTCCAAGCATTGCAGGGATTTTTCTAGTTTTGACTATTGTCAGCTAATTATGTCAATTTTTACAAATATATATAAATCTATACATATAAAATTTAAAGATCAACTAATCAGTTGATGTTGTTAAATCTAACAACTCTTATTTACTAAGAACAGATGATTTGAATTCTAATGAGAAAAATTTTTTGCAGGTAAGTAGTACTTACCAACCTCGTATATATGTATAGTCCTATAGTCCTTTCATAACCACGTCGTGATGCAATCTAAGTTGAAACGTCGGCAATAAAGAAGCAGATCGTAGGTACTATGTACCTGCAAAAAAAATTTCATCACGTTAAGTTCCGATAGTGTATTTAAAATAGGTGTAAACAACGCGAAAGTTTAAAATTAACTAATATGACTGTTGTCCGCAGGTATGCTATCAGCGGCAGCGTCGCTCGGCATGATTCACTTGTGGGACGTTGACGGCGGCCTGACGCCCATCGACAAGTACTTGTACACGGCGGACGAGCACATCAAGGCGGGGGCGCTGCTTGCTCTTGGACTCGTTAACTGCGGCGTCCGGAACGAATGCGATCCCGCGCTGGCGCTGCTCTCCGACTATGTACTGCATTCCAGCTCCAATCTTAGGATTGGCAGTGTTCTAGGTAATATTATACTTATAAGTACAAGAATGAAACACCTATAACTTTGTTGTTTTATTCGTGTGTTAATTTTTTTTCAGCTAATATAATAAAATATATGTATATTTTATTATGGTTTTTGTTTAAGTGGGTAGTTAATACACCTGGGTGAATATGCAAGCTTCATAGGGAATGTCTAAATGTTAGGTTTATCGTGTCAATTCGTTAGGGATACCTTTACCCACAGATATAGACGTGTGGCATTACGACTGTTATCTTGGAAAATGACATTGCTGTTACCATTATATAAAGGCATTGCCCTAGAATTTGCTGTCTCAGATTGCAAATCTGACCACATTCCACCAGTAAATGTAAAATGTCTTCTATTTTATTGTAGTATGTACAATTTGGCGATTGCTTAACTCCCATAAGATAATAAAGATATTTTTGCTCAAAATTAATTAAAATTAAAAAAAAATTAATTCTTCTCATTTTTTTAAAAACTTATTGTTGTTAAGAATCTTTTAATAAAATATAATCTTTAGACAAAATAAATTTGTTCACTAAGATATGGTCACAACATCTTTAAATATAATATCTGCTATGTAAATTTTATGTATATGAATGTTAAACAAATCTTTACCAATATAAATGTTGTTTATCTGTTGGTGCTTTAACGGCTTAACCAATCATTATAAAATTTGAAGTATAGATATTATATGAGATGGAGAATAACATAGGCAATTTTTCTCCCGGTCAATAAACATATCTCGATCACGTAAATAAGTAAATAAATAAAGACGTGGACGTACACCCACAGGCCTGGGGATCGCGTACGCGGGCACGCAGCGCGAGGAAGTGCTGTCGCACCTGTTGCCCGTGCTAGCGGACACGGCCGCACCACCCGAGATCTGCGCCTTGGCCGCCATCTCCTGCGGACTTATCGCCGTCGGTTCTTGTAATGGAGACGTACGTATCGTATCCCAGTATGTAACTTCTCATCAATTCATTCCCATGTAGTTATTGCTGCGTCATGATGTCAGAATCATCAAATACGAGTACACCACTGCAGGAGAAGAAAAATACCGAAAAATCCTTCTCTTATGGGGCAGATTCATAGTGTGTCATCAGCCATTATCTATTCTGTTTAGGTTTTCCCCGTAGACAGTGATGTAAACTATGCACCAAATATAATAATCATTTTAACTAAATTATATTATTTAACCAGTCATGTTTACATTCGCACAGCCTCGTAATTGAGCCATTATGCATGAGAGTATGGTTTTAATCTTTTAATAAATGATAATGAGATTGTAGCCACGTTTGCGGTAATGATATACGCTGGTGCGACTCCAGTGAGGGACGATAGGCTAGAATGAAAAGACAGGTCAGTTAGCCCATTGTAACGAATACATCTGGAGTTTAGCACGATGGTTTCCAGGGGGACCTGGTATGGTATATGTTGCTTGTAATGGGACTGATAGTTCGCATTACTAACAATCCCTTCCCTCATGATAGTATGAGTAATCTTTATATATACTAGATTGAAAACCTACAATCCACTGAAAATTACACAGAAACAATCCACTACCAATGTAATGCGCTTAATTAAATGTGTTTCCTAATACTATATTGTTATATTTTTGCAGGTCACATGTGCCATCATACAGCGTCTTATTGACGACAATAAGGACTTGCATTCATCCACATACGCCAGATTCTTACATTTAGGACTTGGATTATGTTTCTTAGGTAATATTCTGTTCATTGAGTTGAGTATTTGTTGTAGTTTGTTACTATATAACAAAATATACACAATAATCGTGTGAAATTTACTAATAATAATAGTGCATTCCGTCGTGAATGACCAGTGATCGAAAATCAGCCTAAAGTGGCACTAGCCCTAAAGTACGGATCTACCGCGTGCAGGTTGTAAGGAGCGCACAGAGGCAACGATGGCGGCGCTGGAGGTTCTCCCTGAGCCGCAGCAATCTCTCTGCCAAACTACGCTTTCCATGTGCGCTTACGCGGGCACCGGTGATGTGCTCGTCGTACAGCAGATGCTGCACATCTGCTCCAAGCACTATGAGACTGAGGTAATATTGCTCTTTGTACTGTTTAAATATTAATAAATATTATCCTAGACCTCATCATCAAATGTCATCAGCTGAGGTGATATTAAGCGCCCAAACCCATATAGTAAAAAATAATGTTTTTAATAAATTTATTTCCTTCTTTGTATCACATTTATTTCTCCATAGACAAAAAAATGCTATTTTTACAAATACAAATAGCTTTATTTTGTTTGAAAATTGATATAAAGGATGGTATATAATATTTAAATATTTTTCACACTTTTCACCAAAATCTGGCATACAAAATTTATTTAATTGTGCTACTATGCTATGTTATTACTATTTTACTTATATCGTCATATAAATGTCTACATATTTACATATTAATAATAAATTATATAGGTTACAAATTACAATCAATTAATTGAGTCACATATTTAAGCGTTAAAATAATTAAAATATTCATTAAGTAAAAACATTTTTCTATCAGCTACCTTTTTAGTTTCTTTTTAAATATATTCAAGGGTAGTATTTTCATTGCGTCCATTAGTTTATTATAAATACTTATTGTCATACAGTAGGCATTTCTGCTATACAAAGCAAAAATTCAATTGATAATTAATTATATTGTCTTTGTATACAACAGTTTTATTTGTATAGGTTTTTAAGCAGCAGATTAGGAAATATTTAAATAGATAATTAAAAAAAATATATAATATATTTATTTCAGAATGAACAATCGTCAGCTGAAGATACTGCTTTTAAGAAACAAGACAAAAAAGATCCTAAGGAAGGTACCAGTTCCAGTAGCTCAAAGGACGATAAAAACAAAAGTATGTATTATGATTAAAGATATACGAAATATTTATTATACCCAAATCATAAACAACTAAATTTATGTTACTTAAAACTCAGTTTTTTTATGTACATTAAAAAAAGTAAAAATTTGTAATTTTAGTTACTACTATTTTTTTTTATTTACTTAGTTTATTTTACGCACTTGTTTCAATATAAGGACATAGTATATAGTGAACAAAAGTATAGGTTTTATTAAATTATCATTATCTAGAATTTTGGAAATATACATTACTTAAATTATGGAAACAGGCAAGTCTTCAAAAGACAGCAAAAATAAAGAAAAAGAAAAGGAGAAAGAAGCGAACAAGGAGTTGTCATCGGTGCAAGCGGTGGCCACGCTCGGCGTTGCCGTCATCGCGCTTGCAGAGGAAACCGGCGCCGAGATGTGTACGCGCATATTTGGACAGCTCGTACGTATTAATACAAAGTTAATTAATTTATTAAAATTTTAATTTTATTATATATATATTCTATCCGTATTTTTAATGAAGATAAGAGAAGATGGCTAGAGAAAATTTACTAACTTTTATAAGAATGAGTGTGTTTACCATTTCTTTGTCTTCAATAAGTGGAGTAAACAAATAATCATACAGTTTATTTAGAAAATGTCTTATAAATAAATATTTATCAATGTTAGAGATTTGATTAAATGAATTGAATTACAAATTTTTAAATTAATTATGATTCTTAGATATTTGGATAATTTTTAAAAACTTTCTACTAATATTTTTTTACACATAATTGAGTGTAATATTGATGTAAATAATTGTGATTTTGGTTGATTTGTGTTATTAACATTAAATAAATCTGTTGAACATGTATAATTTTCATAAATTATTTTTTAATTTTGCCTTAAATTTATACAGGGCCGTTATGGAGAACCCGCAGTTCGCCGCGCGGTGCCACTAGCGATCGCTCTTTGCTCAATCTCCAACCCGCAACTGGCCGTCATTGATGTGCTCAACAAATACTCTCATGACTCCGATAATGACGTCGCATACAATGCTATCTTTGCTATGGGACTCGTAGGCGCTGGCACCAATAACGCAAGGTTATCTCTTCAACCTACTTTCTCTATTTTCTTTAAGTAAGAGATTGTCCAACTAATACAATCCTTTTGTACCTATTGTATATCTTAATTTTTCTACACATAGTATTTATTGTGAATTTTTATATTTTAATAATTTACGGTTAAGCTTGCATAGGTGTCTACACTTTTTCAGTTTCGATTGTGCAGAATTGATATAATGATACTACCTATACATGAGAGATCTGTTCTAGCCTTGGGACTAATCTACTCTAGATGTCAAAGCACTTATTGAATGTGCCAAGTATGTTGTTCAAATAAATGATAATGGAATGGTAATCCTGTCTACATTATCAGTATATTTTGACGGGGCACCATTGAAAGATGATAGGTGAGGATGAAAACAGGTGAAAATAAATTAGCTCTTTATGATGAATATACCTGGAATTCAGTATGATAATTTTTAGTGTGGACCATGGGGAGATCGATCTGGCAGTGTATATTGCTAGCAATGGGGCTGGTAGTCCACATTATTGAATTATGAGTATGCATAATATGTTATGTACATATGGTGCATGTTGTGCAGGCTGGCGACGATGCTGCGCGCGCTGGCTCTGTACCATGGCAAATCGCCTGTGCACCTGTTCATGGTGCGACTGGCGCAAGGCCTGTGTCACGCGGGCAAGGGCACGGTCACGCTGTGCCCTGCGCACGCTGACCGCCGTCTGCTCAACCAGCCCGCGCTCGCCGGCCTGCTCGTCGTGCTCACCGCCTTCCTCGACTGCAAGAATAGTTAGTGCTCCTTCTGTTTTATTCATCTTGTTAAATATATAAATAAATAATTCAATGTTTGTTGACATAATCGTGATTTACCAATTTCAACAGACTAATAAAAGGAAGGTTCTCTTTTTTATCTGAAAGGATATACTTACAAATTGGTCCCATAGAAATTTTATCAAAATTAGTCCAGGACTTTTTTTAAACCAAAATAATTTATTTTTCCACAATGTAAGTCAGTATTTTTTTGTACAACACAATCTTAAATTATTTTTTCCCCATTTCTTTGTCATAATGAACAATTGAAATTTGAACTAATTTTAGTCCAAGATATTTACTAACATTATAAGTGTAGCAGTGAATTTGTTTATTTGTTACCCATAATGGCTCAACCAATAGTCATAGAGTATATTTCAGATGGGGAATGGCCTATAAAAGATATACATAGAATACTTTTTGTCCCAGTCATGCAGATAAATACTACTAATTATACAATATATATAGACAGTAAAACATCCAAAAGTAATAAATAAATTATGATTCTATCTACAAAAATTAATAAGTAGTAAATACTTTTTAAATATATATGAGGTAACTATTTATTTATTTACCTTTGAAGAATCCCATACTGTATGCCAAAGAGAACCACAATTAGATTATTTTTGTTGTCCAATTGCATTAGTTTTAATTATTTTTATTACAGTAATTCTGGGCAAATCTCATTACTTATTGTATGTGTTGGCGACTGCTATGCAACCTCGGTGGCTCGTCACCCTTGATGAAAACCTTCAGCCTCTGAACGTCAGTGTACGCGTTGGTCAGGTATGAAAACATTTTGTTAAAAAAAGGTTTTTTTATCTTTTTTTTTTTTTTGTTTATTCACGACTAACAACTTGAAAAAAAAAACTATAGACAATAAAGCTTGTGCATTAAATTTTTATGCGTGGAAGTCACTGAACAGGTGATCTTTTATTTCAGTCAGGCACAAGTTACTTGCCGGTATCAATAAAAAAAAATTCTGATATTAGACATTTTTCAGTTTAGATAACACTTGTTATAACAAAACTTAATTCTATTAGTTTGTATTCTAATGATGTATGAAATTACCAGCTTCAAACTGCTTTTGATAATTAAAGTTCAAATTTTAAACTTGTGTTAAAAAAAAATTTCAGGCTGTTGACGTAATCGGCAAAGCTGGTACTCCAAAGACCATAGCCGGCTCCCACACGCATACTACCCCAGTTTTGCTGTCATTTGGCGAGCGCGCAGAACTCGCTACCGATGAGTATATCCCATTGTCGCCCGTCATGGAAGGCTTCGTCATATTAAAAAAGAACGAAGACAGTGTCATGGCCTCTGTCCAATAGAAGCTAAATAATTAACTCGCATTATACGTGTATTATTTTTGTTTTTAAAATAAATTAATTATAATTAATAATAAAATTGTGTTTACTCCAATTTCTATTGTTGTGTAGTCAAAATGTTAGACTTAAAAAGCGCAATGAAAAAAAAAAGAGTACAAGAACAGATAACCGAATTCCAATATAATCATGAAGAAAATACTATTTGAAAATATACTGTTTAGTAGCTCTGTTATAATATTATTGTAGCAATGTCCCATATACTGTTAAAAACTGTTTGTCCCGTATACTGCTACAGTTTTATAGTTCACAGATAATTTAGTAAAAATAAGATCATATCCATCTCTGTAAATGTGTAATGACATTCTCTAAACTGATATATTTTTTCAATTATAACCCATTAAACAGACAAAACCGATCACGTTTTATTTTTTTCTTATTTTAACTTCGACTTTTTAGGGTAGCCATTAGCCATTTTCAAGTTTAATTTAAAAGCAGGGAAATCAACACGGAATAAAGTGGCAGAAAATTTAGGGATAGAATTACAGGATTAGGAAAGTTGAACGAGAAGTATTTAATCGTAGAATAATAAATTAATATTGTAGTGTCCGGGCCGTCCGTGACACCGTGTGAATAAAAATACAATTAAATAATCAAACATCTTTTCTATATTTTTTAAAAAAATGCAATTTAACACGTTCGGTGCGAGTGTCGAGTATGCCTCGACGGAGCTTATCCCTTCCCCCGGCCTACCGCCGAGGGTGCCTCGACGCTGGGTTTTTCATTTCAAATATATCCCACCGCTTGTAGCGCGCACAAACGGTGGGATATATTTGAAAGCGTGTGCCGACTACGCCTCGACAAAGCTTTTTTTAATTGAAAAACGTAATTATAATTTTTTTAAATATTTTATATGTGTATTTGGGTGCAGAAAGAATATTTTAAGAAAAAAAAAAGTGCTCGCATTTCGGAAGACCCCGGCAAATACAGTGCCGCACCGAACGTGTTAACTTGTTTTACAAAACCACTTAATATTATAATAATTAACCAACAACCAAAATTAACTTCGTTCTACCATAGATTTATAATTTCTTCTTGCCATAGATTCAATATTTATTCTTACCATAGATAAATTATCTGTCTATTATAAACATCATTTTAAATATACATCAAATATAGTAAATGAATATAAATTTATATATAGAATATTATGTAAACAGAATAGATATAAAACTATCATCATCATTTCAGCCATTATCCATCCACTGCTGGACATAAGCCTCCCCCATAGACTCCATAGTCATTAATAACAATAAACTGCTGACTCCCTGCAATGCATTTCAGGTTGTCACTCCATCTAGTGGGTGGTCGTTCTACACTATGTTTACCCGTACGCAGTCGTTACTCTAGAACCTTTCTTCCCTATCGGTTGTCAGTTCTTCGAACTATGTGACCAGCCCATTGCCAATTTAGCTTGCTTATCCTTCAGACTATGTCGGTTATTTTAGTTCTTCTGCGGATATCCTAGTTTCGGATTCTATTACGCAAAGAGACTGAGCATAACCCCCTCCATAGCCCGCTGAGTAACTTGAAGTTTTTGCATACGGGCAATCGTGTAAGACTATGTTTCAGTTCTTTAAGTTGTCACTGGCAACATGCATTGGTTAAAGATCTTCGTCTTCAAATTGTGTAGATGAAAAGATGTGGCTTAGTTTCCCGAACGCTGCCCAGCCAAGTTGGATTCGTCGGTTGATCTCTCGGTTGAAGATGTACTTACTCATTCAGACAACTTGTCCCAGGTATACATACTCATCGACAACTTCGAGAGTAGTGTTCTCAATCATAATCGGTATAGGTATGGCATGGACGTTAGATATGATTTTAGTCTTGTCCATGTTCATCTTAAGACCCTCCTGTTGAGAAACATCATTTAGCTCATTGAGTATAGTACTGAGATCCTCCAGGGATTTCGCCATAATTACTATGTCATCGGCAAATCGAAGGTGAGTGATGATGTTTATACCATATCTTTTCCAGTCCAAAAGTTTGAAAACATCTTCCAAAGCAGCTGTGACGAGTTTCGGGGATATGACGTCACCCTGTCTTACACCTTTCTGTACTGGGATGGGTTTCGTACTCGGATAGACATCGTAACCTTACTGTACATACACTTCAATATACCTATAGTCAATCTGGCATCGCTGGAGGGACTGTAGTACCGCCCATGTCTCGACCGAATCAAAGACTTTCATAGTCTACGCCAGACATAGTGGCAGATTATACTCTTCGGTCTTCTATGTAATTTACCGTAGCATATATATGTAGTCTATGGTACCAAAGCCTTTTTGGAAGTCGGCTTATTCGGGTGGCTGGAAGTCGTCGAGTTTGCGCGTAAGACGATTGGTCAGGGCTCTAGAAAACAGTATATAGACGCGATTCAGTAGGGATATCGGTATATAGTTCTTCAATAGGGTATTGTCACCCTTCTTGAAGAGCAGGACTACCGCACTTCTCTACACCTCTGGCATAACAATGTTATGGATGACGAAATTAAATAGCCTCTAAAGGACTAGAAGTACAGGTTTTCCACTCTCTCTCAAAAGCTCTGCTATTATTCCGTCCTTCCCGTTGTTAAGCTGTTTCAAAGCCATTTCAATCTTCTACAAACTGACGTCCAGGATATCATCGGTATAGTGTCGGGTTACTTTAGATCGTTATTTGTATTGGTATGTGGTGTTAACGACGTTGTGTATAGCTGCCAATAGAACTTCTAAATATATTCTATATAACTATATATAATTTTATATATTTATATCATTATTTACTATAAAATCAAAATGGATTCTGTAAAATGATAAGTTGCAATAGTTCTTCTTCTTTCAATTTAAATGGCTGCCACCAATTTTGATTAGTGATTCCGCCAACATCATGGTCTAATGCACGGTGAGATATTCTTGTTTCTGTGGTTCTTGAATCTGGCCGGTAGTGAACAGTATGGCTTGGTGTTGAGATTGAATGCTAAAAACGAATACAATACAGAATATTAGTACCAATAAGGGTGAATTGACAAGTGTTAGTACAGGTAACATTAATAATAAAGAGACGATACCTGTAAGAGGGACAACATGAAAGGCCAATGCGACTTTAGGGAGTCTACTATAATTTCAAATTATTTAGGGCAACAAATTTTGCTAGTATTTTGACTGATGGAGAGTGGACTAACGTTAAAAGATATGGAATATTGATAGGACGGGGTATCTCATGGGGTAACAGTTTTGAGCAGTCAAAAAACAGATGTTCCAGCGTTCCTTCGTCTAAACCACATTCACATAAAGAGTGGTCACGTACTATAATCTTGTGTAAGAATGTAGGGGTACAAGCATGCCCTAAACGAAGGCGGCATATTACCGATGTAACCCATTTCCGCACCCATCTCCATCATGTTTACAATGGAGATGGGTCACATATATATATATATACTCAAATACTTACACTGCCACCAAATCGGGACAAAAGCACAAAATCTCAGCACAATTAGAAGCTTAAAACAGTAAAAAAATGCGAACATGTGCCAAACTAACACACTTCCGAAGGCAGAATCTTGCAATAGTTTAATAAGACATTAATATTTGTTACGGGACGGAGACTTTAGGAATATTAAGGGATTGCGAATGATTGTAGAGATAGGATAAAAAAATATAATTTAAATTTTCCATGTTATAAAAGATGATCTATAATAACCTAGTAATTACTTGCTCCGTGGCTATATTCATGCATATCTAATTATTATCTGAAAGGAAGGTAGTTTTAAAATATTTCTATTTTAATAAATTCTTGGCGCCTAACCAACGCACTGGAATAATTTTGGCATAAAAATGTTTGAATTATGGGAAATTCTTGTGATAGTTGCAGCTACATTAGTAGTTATTGCCATTTTGGTTTTAGGGTATGTACCTTATTTTGTATCTTGAGAAAGTATATAATCTTGCTTACAAGATCAACATAAATTTTTTATGTGTTAACAAATAAAAAAAAAAGTATAAATTTAATAAAATCTGTAGATACACGACCAAGATGGGAATAATCCTGAAAAACCATTAAAAAAGAATAAAAAAAATTGTTGAAGTTGAAAAGCCTACTTATATATGGACAAATCTAATATATATATTGAGCACTTCCATTATTATTGAAGTCTGTTGGAAAATAAAAACTACATCAATAAGGACCGTAAATAATTCAGTCCCGATCTTTAACTAGTAGACAAGTATAGTACACCTAATGCTTATTTTGTGAAATTTAGAATTGTTTCGCAAAATTGATAATTTTTCATAAAAATATTAATGAGATTTTATTTCTTAACAGAATTATTATTTTGCCTTGTTGTACGCGCAGCAATGGCCACTTACCTACACGACCTTGGTGGCAAAGCTCATCACAATTGGGTGAGCATGTCTCTTCCGGATCAATACCACCTATTCCCCTTTATCTCTTTAAGTAATTAATTCTCTATATAGTATCTATTTGTGTCTGTTTATTTTTTTCCTTTTAATACAGTCTCGATATATATATGTGTGTTTTTATGTTGGGATGGCCTAAAAAAAAGATCTACAAATACAGGAATGACATAATGTAATTTTATATAAATATTTAATTTTATTTAAATACCTACACAATTGGGACTTAAACCGATTACCTTTGCAAGAAAATAGTACCGTTAGTTGAATAATGTAGGTAACAAGAAATTATGTATGTAAAAGAGTGACGAACAATATTAGAGTGTTATTGAATAAATACTCAATAAAAACTGTATACACACTACTCTCAAAAATCGCGAAACTTCTGCACTCACTTAAAGGTACGCCTCAATAACAAATACTAGGCGTTTAAAAGATAGACTGTAGCTGTGGTAGCTCGTATATAGGCCAAACTAAACGGACCATAGCTGAAAGGGTCAATGAACACATAGGTAGCGGCAGTCAAAAACAGGCAAACAAATAAATCGGCGATCGCATAACATTTATTAAATAGCTCTACTAATCACTGGATTGAGCTGCATGACCCGAAGTTATATTCGGATAATACGTAAAACAATTGAAATTAGAAAAAAATCAATAGGGAAAATGGATAAAGGCTTTTAACAGCATGGGACCAGGACCCAGTGATTAATACACTAAAAACACGCGATAATTTTTATAAACGCAGTATGGGTACCGTGAGGTTTGTAGGATGGATCTAGATAATAAAAGTGACATTATGAGGATGCCAAGGCTGCGCGGGCTGCTAGACGAAGACACCGCTCACTTCAGTCCTGTCGTGACCACGACGTGGTGCAATCCACGTCGAAACGTCGGTAATAAAGAAACAGGTATGTAGGTACTATATACCTGCAAAGGTTATTCATTGCGTTAAGTCATTTAAAATATGTGTAAACAACGCGAAATTATTAACTTATTACTCAAATGAAAAAACCAAACCTTTTATAAAACAAATTAAGTGTATTTATTTTGTGATATCTCAAAGATTCTTTTATTCTAATACAACTGTTGTTTCTTCTTTTTCTTCTGCTGCCTTGTGTTTATTGCTTTCACTGTCTTCTTGTGTTTTACCTTCTTCTTCCTCTTCACTACTGCTATCTGACTGGGAAGATACTGTTTGTTTAGTATCATCTAGTTTTCGTATTTTGCCTTTTACTTTAGCTTTACTTTTTTTCTTTAATCTTTTTGCCCTTTTCTTTGCTGTTTTCTCTTCAGCAATTTTTTTATTTTCCTCAATCTTTCTGTGATATTCTTCATCAAGTTTTTCCTATAAATTAGAAAAAAGTTAAAATTAATTTGAATATAAATAATATAACTATACTATTGTAGATATGTTTTATAGTTATATTTAACATTTTTATTAAATATGTGAACATTGTTTTGCCATTAGATTGAATTATGTTGAACTTTAGTGATATCTAGTTTTTGATTATCATCATCATTATCACTATATAGTATAAAACAAAGTCGGTGTCGCTGTGTCTGTCCCTATGTATGCTTAAATCTTTACAACTTTTTAAAGCGGATTTTTTTAAAAGATAGAGTGACTCAAGAGGATGGTTTATATGTATAATACATGCATAATATTGTAGAGAAACATTGATAAATTTAGAGGTTTCTAATGTGATATCGTAAATAAACACATTTTTTGGGCTTACATTGCAAACGCTAGCTGAATCCCACGAGATACATCAAAATAATGTACTACAGTATTGTACACCTTAAAAAGGTCAACAAATAATTCCGCGATGACATATGCTTATCTCTTAAGGATAACCCACAATAACCATTTTTTATCCTTTACATTTTACGGGAAAATAGCTTATTCATGAAGTAATTTTAAGCAATACAGCATTAATTTTTATCCAATTAAGTACCTTAAATACATTGTCTATTTAATAAAGATCATTATGGTTCTTTACAGCATGTGATTTACATGAATATTTCCGAAGATATTACAGATTTAAAATGCAGGAATATAGTGGTGCGGCGGTACCGGCCCGGCCGGCGGCGTGAGATTATAAAAAGTGGGTCGAAGGCCGCACTTCGCCCTATTGCACTTTGTCATGTTTGTATTGGCTAATAACAAAAAAAAGCGGAGGGGGGGAGGGATTGTAAGCAATGGAGTTTCACAGGCCTATTGCTAGCAATATGCCTTATTAGGTCGACCTCCACGTGGTTCCCCTTGGAAACCATCATGAACAATTCTTATTGAATTCATCATAATGGGCTAGCTAACCTACTTCATCCTCATCTATCATCCTTCACTGGTGCCCCGCAGGTGAATACTGATAGCGCGGGTGGGGTTACCACTCCATTATCACCCATTAAAAAAAACAACAAACAAGCTGTAAACATTGTTTATAAGGGCATTCTGTAGTAGATAGGTATATTTAGTATCCATTATTACATTGCACCCATGGGAAGCTGGGGTGGGTGGCTATTTATTAATACAATCTTTTTTTATGACTAGAAAAACAAATACCTTAGATTTTCTAGTCATAATTAAGAATATGTAATATGGATATACTGTTAATAAATTGCTGATAATAGTATTATAAATAGGATAAGTAAGCTAAAGTGGCAATGGGCTATTGACATAGCTAAAAAAATCAATGAACTATGGGGAATAAAGGTTCTTGAGTAGTGACCTCATATAGGCAAATGCAGTGTAGGATGACTCTCCACTAGATGAAGTGACACCTTTAAATGCATTGCAGGAAGTCAGTGGATGCAAACGGCTTAGGACCGTTCCTTATAACAGTCTATGGGGATGGCCTATGTTCAGCAGTGGATGGCTGAATTGATGATGATAGGAGCAATTTATTGTACATTTAATAATAGTAATTTAATTCCTATAATCTGGACACAGAACTTAATAAAAATGTAAATAAACAAATAATTAAGTTGAACATAAGACAATACTGATGACCAAATATAGTACAAATAAAAAATAATTCATTTAATGTTTCTATAATTTGAACAAAACTTTGTTAACTTTTTTTTTAATGGGTGAATATAGAATGGTGCCAGTGACAGATGGTAGATGGAGATAAAAGCAGGTCAGTTAAGTCATTGTGATGGATTTTACAAGAATTAATCATGATGGCCTCCAGAGGAAACCACATGAAAGTCGACCTGACAAGGTACATTGTTAGCAATAGGAATTATGTCCTCATTCCTAATAATCCCGTCTCACTAATGTTACTATTAAGATATACAATGGGGCTATAAGTAAGAACTAGTTGTATCCCACTGCTCCTCCTACATTAATCCATATATAAAGTATCTTATATGCTAGGATAAAATAGTTTGTATTTATCTGTGTACCAAATTTCATTAAAATGCGTTTAGTAGTTTTTGGGTTATAGTATAATAAGAATACATCCTCAAAAACTTTCATATTATAATAATACAGTAGGATTAATAAAGAATTACATTACCTTTTCACTTTTTTCTTGTATAAATTTTTGCCTAGCATACTCTTTTCTTCTTAAATGTCGATAAACATGAAATTCTCCAGAACCAGCCCCTGCACTGGATCCCATAACGTTGCGGACGAAATCTGGCGCAGAAGGCAAAGATTTTGGCTTTGGCGGATCAGGTATTACTACTGGTTTTTCCTTAAAAATATAATAACATTAAAATTCATGTCGATGAATACCAAAATGATTGAAAATTATTAATCGTAATATAAGTATCGACTTACAGGGTTTTTCATCAGTTTTTCTAATTTCAGCCTTTGAAGGTCAGTAGCATTTTTTATTACAATTGGTTTTTTAACTTCACCATTTTCTTCTTTATCATTATCAACCATTTTTATATGTTACTAGATTTTTATTAAATTATAGTAAATAAATAAATGTCAGTCTGAACTTCGAAAAAGCAACATGCATTTTATAAGTTCGTAGACTATTGCAACTCTCACAACATAGTGATTATTTATTCTGTGGTATCGTCATTTGTTCAGATCGTTAATCGATTTTAGGCATAGATATATAATACTAATATTAAGATTGACTTGACGTAATACGAATACAAAGGTTGGCAAAATGTTATTATATTAAGCATAGAAAACACATAATAATACTTTTTTAATTAATTTTAATAAACTACACATTTTAATAATTTGTTATAGTGATTTATAAAAAATTTTTAACCGTATGGACCCTGAACAATATGGGTTTCCTTTTTCTTATCTCTTCCTTTCCAGTGGATGTCGTAAGAGGCGACTAAAAGAATGAGAAATGGTCGAGGAATGAGCATCAGCATTCCTCTTAAAACATTACCAACAGCCTAACCGCGGTTGCCGACCCTCTTATCAAGTGTGACAACTACCGGCAAAACTTTTCTTTATGAAGAAGGCCTATATTCAGCAGTGGACAATTAAGACTGATATAATGATGATTTTGTTAAAAGATATGCTACTTCTTGTTCTTAAATTTTCACCAATTTTCGTGCATTTGATTTAGCGGATATCGGACTTTAGCGGTTTTTCTCTAAACTAATTTCACCTTGTGAAGGTCAAAACAGTGTAGCTGACATCTATCACGACCAATCACAATCAGCAAACTGTTGGTAGTTGTATGATAAGGATAACCTTTTGCTGCTTGACGAATTTGAGACTCTTTTTACTAATAATTTGTGGTAAGTAAATTTATTTAATATATTAAAAATTATCAAACACTATTCTTCATTCACCATATAATTGAATCGATTAATGAATTTTTAATATAATATATTGTAATTTAAATTCTCAGTAATATTTTCAGCCCAAGTTAGTATAACTTTTTTGTAAATGGAAATTTCTCTATTATGTCTTTAGAAATATAACGCAACGTATGCATTGTAATTAAATAGATACTTAGTAACTGATACTAGGGTTCAGAAAAAATTAAAGTTACACCCTTGTTTGACCTTGCGTAAGTCACCGGTTCTCTAAGCACTATTTTATAATTTCGAGTGATTACTATTAAAATACAAGTAAATCGTACTTATAATAAAGTGATATAGTTTTTTATAAATTGAATATACTATCTAATTATTATAGACTATGTATTATAACAACTATTTAATATGACTATTACAATGTACTATTCTACAATGTTGATTATTTGTTAAATTTGTTATTTAGACTGTTTTAATCATGAAATTTAAAAAGGCAATATTTGTTGGTATTTATTAGGAAAAAAAAATATGGAAATCTGATAGTGATGATGTAGTGTAATAGATTATGTATATTTGGTCCTAGTATTGTCCTTATGGTTTGCCTTATGGTTGTCCCTTATGACAAGTGATTAGTACATTCGTTATATTTTTATTTATTTTTTATTAGCACTTTATTAAAAAAAAATTTGTTATAAAAAGCTATTTAATGGAATTTTTTAATAATTTGAATGAATTGAATTTGGTATTACACCAAATCAAATTAATCTGTAGCAGTACTTCTACTAAAAATACTATTATATTTGAAGATGAATTTGTTATTGGTATATTTTAGAAATCATCACCCTTTTAAAGGAGTATTTTACTAGTGACACTGAAACATTATTCATATTCATATTTCATAAACTAGAAAAAAGTATATTTTATTGTATTATTGTTGCAGCTGTTAAAATACTAGATAAAAAATGCCGATCAAGTCAATAAAGGCTCGTCAAATCTTTGATTCCCGTGGTAATCCTACTGTTGAAGTGGACTTGGTAAGTTGGCAAATGTTAAATATTTTGCAATGTCTGATAGAAACTGGGTTTCACAACCGGAACCAATTTTCTATTTTAGTTCTGGCTGATACCAAAATGGAAACATCTTACCATACTCGATCTTATTTTTTTCTTTCTTTTGTACAATAGAATAAAATAACAAAATCACGGGCACCATAGATATTCCATAGGATGAAGTGGCTAAGAAAATTAGTTCTTGGATGTTTTTAGTTTAATCCTTACTAATGTTATAAATGTGAAATGAGTTTGTTTGTTACTTTTAATACATTCATGGCTTTTTTTTTTGATAGATGAAAATGAAATGGTAACCCCGGTTTTGCTAACGGGATATACTGGCGGAGCACCAATAAAGGATGTTAGATGAGAATGAAAACAGGCCAGTTAGCCCATCATGATGAATTCATCAGGAATTAACCATGATAATTTCCAGGGGGGACTGCGAGAAGGTCAACCTGGTTGGGTTTTTTTTCTAGCAATGGGATTTTCAGTCTCCATTACTAATTCCCTTTCCCCCCCATTTATGGCTTAACACTATGAAATTTGTTATACACATACTATATAGGATGGAGAAGGATATTGGCTATTTTTTATCCTGATCACATGGACAAAATATTTTTTTGATAACACTAAAATGGCAAACAAGCATACGGCCGACTTGATAACAGCTACCATAGCCTATGAGAGCTTACAAAACCAGTGGCATTATGTGAATGTTACTGATTCCTTTTTTGAAGAACCTTTACAGGGAGTTCATTCCATAACCTGTGTGTTTATGGGAGGAAACATCTCCAAAACTACACTGTTTGCAAACAACTGGGCTCTAAGGCATGGGGGTGAACTCCCTGTCGATGAAATCGCGTGTCAAAATTAGTATTTTATGAAACATCTAAAAATTTTACCGAAATTCGCAAAAAACAAAAGCAAAACTCCAGTTGGGTGCTATCATTTTGCATTCATATTGCATATTTCAGTTATTTTTGAATATGAAATTTGAAATAACCAACAAGTTGATGACCCACCACAGTCACAGAATACACTATGATGTCCATCATTCCATACCATTTTTAAGGACTAATATGTCTGTATACTGTATGGTATTTTAATTGTATTATAATCTGTTTCTATACCTTCTCTCACACTCACCATTTATCCTATAGCCCATCATATTCGTGCGCAGTACCGCTGCCGAATGATATGTGTAAGGTCTTTATTATGGCAGAAAGGTGTCCCCCATATACTCTCTTGCTTTTCCTGCTGAACTATCCAAACTCCCATAAACATCTTGTATTCACACTCACCCTCTTCATAAACTTCAAACTTGAAGGGCTATAGAACCATCAAATTAAATTTCTCTTGTTACTGAGATTTCTTCTAAGAAAGGATTACTTATTATTATGAAATTCAGAATAGGAATGGATGAATTCAAACTCTTCAAGGGTATTTCATTATACAGGGTGGAACAGAGTTTGACCAAAATGAAACTAGCTGATTCAAATGAATGGTCTGAATATGTGATAGATTACATGATTTTAAAAAATAAAAAAGACAGGACAAATTTAATATACATTTAATTTACCTTTAGGTGACAGAACTGGGTCTCTTCCGTGCAGCTGTGCCTTCTGGAGCTTCTACTGGTGTTCATGAAGCATTGGAACTTCGAGACAATATTAAGAACCAATACCATGGAAAGGGTGTCCTTACAGCTATTAAAAATATCAATGAAATCATTGCACCTGCACTTCTCAAGCAGAATATTGATGTCACTCAGCAAAATGAGGTGAAGTATTCTGTTTACATTATATACACTAAATATATACCCTATATATAATACATAATCAACACAATATACACAATAATCTTATATAATTAATTGTGTAGAATGTATATAATCAAATAATTATTATCATTACAGATTGACCAATTTATGATTAGCTTGGATGGGACAGAAAATAAGTCAAAACTTGGTGCTAACGCTATTCTGGGCGTGTCCTTGGCTGTTGCCAAAGCTGGTGCCGCCAGTAAGGGTGTACCTCTTTATAAACATTTGGCTGACTTGTCAGGCAATAATAATATTGTACTGCCAGTACCAGCTTTTAATGTCATCAATGGTGGATCACATGCTGGCAACAAATTAGCTATGCAGGAGTTCATGATTTTGCCTACAGGTTAATTATTTTCATTTGCCTATGTCAATTGGAATTCATTTTTTAAATTTCAACAGTCATTATAATAGTTTTCTACTATTATAGGAGCCACCAGTTTCAGTGAGGCGATGCGTATGGGTTCTGAGGTATATCATTACCTCAAAAAGATTATTAAGGAGAAATTTGGTTTAGATTCTACAGCTGTCGGTGATGAAGGTGGCTTTGCACCAAACATTCTGAACAATAAGGATGCTCTGTTCCTAATTCAGGATGCTATTCAACAAGCTGGTTATACTGGCAAGGTATTATATATATTTATTTTAAAAATAGATTTTCTGAGACCTCAATCCCAGACTCAGTGTTTTCATACCCTGGTGGGGGGGGTAACATGAAATGGAAACTTTAATATTCCCCAACTTTCTTTTCCTAAAATCTCAATCATAGGTGATTCCTTTAGTTATTCTTTATTTTTCTTAAGTTTTCTGTATTTTTATAGATCGAAATTGGAATGGATGTAGCTGCATCGGAGTTTTACAAAAATGGTACTTATGATCTGGACTTCAAGAATCCAAAGTCGAATCCTGCTGACTACTTGCCATCAGACAAATTAGCTGACCTTTATTTGGAGTTTATTAAGGAGTTCCCATTGGTATCCATTGAGGATCCTTTCGACCAAGATGACTGGGCAGCATGGAGTGGTCTCACATCTCGTACTCCCATACAGATTGTTGGAGATGATCTTACTGTTAGTATTTTTGAATAATTAATTAGAATGCAATGTCTATCTATTACTAACTTTGGCTTTGTTAACATTTATATAACATTAACAGCTACAGACTTGAATATTTTTTTATATCTGTACATTCAAACATTTAATCATTTATTATTATTTAAATAGAAAAATATAATTAACAAATTGATGAAAATTCATTTTCATAGTAATAATAATTTTATTTTAACTGTGGCCATAGTGGCTACTTCAATATATCAATCATCAATTTAGTTTGTAGTAACAAATTATTAAACATTGTTTTTTATTTATTTTTTTCTATTTCATGGTCAAAATAATGTTTGTATTTTGTAACAGGTTACAAATCCCAAACGTATTGCAACTGCTGTTGAGAAGAAGGCGTGTAACTGCTTACTGCTAAAAGTAAACCAGATTGGCAGTGTCACTGAATCAATTCAAGCTCACTTGTTAGCCAAGAAGAATGGATGGGGCACTATGGTATCTCACAGGTCTGTTCTATAAATATCAACATATACATACATTTTAAATAAACATAACAAAGGTGATAGCAAAATAAATCATAGAATTACTTATGATTTAGCAATGAGAATTTTAAATATGTACCATTACTATAATTTATATTATCTTTGTGTATTGTGTGTATTCTTTATCTAGCAAATCTATAGGTGTTCACTGGGGCCTGCATAGTAAAGTTCCAGTACTTTTCAATATAAAAAACACCATTCGGACGCACTGAAATACTGACCACATACTAAATAGTTGCCAATATATGAGAAATATTATTTCGTTTATGTATCATCATCATCATCATCATATTAGTTATTCTGCTGAATGCTATTGTTTATATAAGCTCTTCTAAAATGTTTTATTTTTATTATTTTAAATATACAATATTCGCTGTGTGGTCCTGGCATAGAATAGGCCACCCCCTTCCTTTCCTGTGGATGTCGTAAGAGGCGACTAAGGGAGGGCGAGAGATGGGCAGCAGTGTCTCTCTTAAAGCATCTCCAAAGCCTAACAGCGGTTGCTGATCCGCCAATCAAGTGTGGCAACTACTAGCAAAACCTCTCAAGGGGGAGGCTTACATTCAGGAATGGACAGTAAAACGCTGATATGATGATGATTATGAAACACATAATAACGTCAGTATTATGTTCACTACTATTATTTTTGTCTTATATGTATAATGTCACTCAGTAGGAATTATTTAAACTTTTTTGTCAGCATGAAAATGTTAACAAATAAATTAACATTTAAACATTTTATTTCTTTTACTAAGGTCTGGTGAAACTGAGGATACTTTCATTGCCGATCTGGTGGTAGGCCTATCAACCGGACAAATCAAGACTGGCGCGCCTTGCCGTTCGGAGCGTCTCGCCAAGTATAACCAGATCCTTCGTATTGAGGAAGAGCTTGGCGCTGCAGCCAAATATGCTGGCAAAAACTTCCGCAGACCTGTCTAAGCTACACATCACTGGCATCATAATAGAAATATCTAAAGATATTTAAGTTAGAATGGCAAACAAATTATCTTTTTTTCTTTACATAGACATCAAGTGAACCTTTACTGTTCATCTGCCATTTGTTTGTCTTTGGTGTAATATTGACAATGTTAAATCACCATTTGCACTACCAACTATTGCATTTCATTATAAACTTAATAGTATGTGTAGAATAACAGTAGAATTATAGTTGTTCATTGATACAGTGTTACATCGTGTTAAATAAGAACATAAATTCTTTTTTATAATTATTATATTACAAGTATGTATTGAAAATTTGTGGAATGTATGTAATTGTATATTTTAATACTAGTTCTTAAGAAATATTTAAATGAAATATCTGTATTTTTTTATTGATAATTGTGCTTTCCTTCTTTGTATAGAAAGATGGATATCCTGGAATTACTGTTGTCACTACTTACCTATTGGTTGTGAAATAACAAGTGCAGCCTGAAGAAATTACAGTCTATTTATGGTTCAGTCTATCTACAATCTACCTATGGTTCAAATATAACTCGGCATTCAAACCTACTCAGCAATTCATTTTCGATATGTTCCATGATGAAATGATGAAACTTGCTGTCAGAGCTGCCTTGTACCTATCCCCCCTAGGCAAGTTTTTGACCCCACCCTATTCTCCTCCTGCCGATGTATCCTACTTTTATTATAAATATTACTGAATGGATTTAGATTAAATTATTTGTTATATCCTTCACTTGAAATAGAGGGCGTAGGAGCGATTGTTAGAGGATGGAAGAGGAGCAATGAAGAGTTTAGTCCCCATTGTTAAAAATATACCTATCGTGATATTTTTGTGGAATTCGTCACGCTGGCCTGCATTCATCTTCACCTATTATCTGTTACTGATACCCCCCAGCGTTTTTTTTTATACAACTTTGAGTTGTATAGATATATAGAGAGGCAAAGAAGCTGACGGCCCACCTGATGGAAAGTGGTAACCTTCGCCTATAGACATGAGCAGTACCATGGACATAACAGAGTATACTGTTTCGCCCATGATACCCCCATGCATTGTCATTCTTGAGGACTCTGGTGTTATTCCTCTGTACCCAGTAAATTCACGCCATATCCCATCCTTCAAATCGAAAGACAACTGCTTCACGGTTGAAACACGAATGGGACAGAGGCACCCAAGCAATCGACTTTTGTACAAAGTCTCCCTCTGGTAATCAATAGCTTAGAAGAATTTACCATTCTATTATCATCCATTAAAAAAAATAACATAGGAAACTTTATATACTGTTTCGAACAGGCAAAGCCGCGGATTGCAGCTAGTAGAATAATCTATTGGATTAACAGTGATGTGTCAAAGCAACAAAAACACCGTTAGAAGTTTACGTAGAAAGTACGATTAATCTAAAAAAAAAAGCTGGATCTTAACTCATAAAAAACACGAAAAATCACAGACGTCAACTATATGACTGTCAGTGACACTGTCACTATGACAGTTCAAGTCCAGTGTCAAATTTAATTAGTTTCTAGAATCTGGTGTAACTATTAATCAAACATCAAAATAAAATCTTAAAAAAATATAATATTCACTACTATTTTTGAGACAACATGGTTCGAATTACAACAGTCCTTTCCCGTATACCTGTAATTAAATTCCGCAAGGGCGGCGTTGGTCAATCAGCAGGCGGATCAACAATTCATGCCTCTGCACAGCAAGCTGCTGCACCCGTACGTATCTCTCATAAATTATACTTAATCACATAAAAAACATTAATTATGATTAAAACACGGCATAAAAAAATATTTGCTATAGGGCTTGAGAGTAATAAATACGCCATTTACCTAAATAAAGTATCGATACTGTCGCTGTTGTGATATAACACCTTTCTATATAATTTAAATTACCTTATTTTACGAAACATGATAATAATTACAAAACCGTTTATTCTATATTGACATTGTTAGCATATTTTACATATAAATAGTTGAAAAGATCTACATAATATTTTTATGCCATTTTATTCTGTACTAACTTTTACCCGCGATTTCGTTTGCGTGACCGGAATTTGTTCATTGACCGGGATAAAAAGTAGCTTCTATCCTTTTCTATTCCATATTGTATATATGTACCAAGTTTCATAATGATTGTTTAAGCTATTTTAACAGCTAAGAATTAACAAAGTTAGTTTTACATTTATATTAGTAAAAATTATATTAAGTTCTAGGCAGTCACCATTGTAGTTTATGTAAAAAAAAAAAAGTAGTATTAATGTATAGGAATCTCAGGATATAAGTCAAAGATTAAAGTTATAATAATTGGTTTCAGCAATCTCAAGCACAGCCAACTGCAGCAATGAGTACAGGCCCTATACTGGACATTGACCTTCCAGCTCGTTACAGAAGACGACCACTATCACAGGAAGAGATTGACTATATCAATGGCGGTGGAATTGTTTAGTCCCTCTACTTAAAATGAACTTGTAGATACAGTTTTTAAAAGTAGATTTACAATAATAATGTATTATCATATTTAATAATGTTGGTGTTATTTAAAGTTATTAATTTTGTTGCTAATTTACCTATCTAAAGAATATTTTTTAAGTAATTTTGATGTTGTTATTAATGCACTGCTTCCATTATAAAAACCTCTTAGTAAAGTATTTAATTTAACTTTTAGTTGTATCTTCTTAATGCATAACAGTACTTAATCATACTAAAAACTTCAAATCTATAGATCCTGTAGTTTGTCTTATATAAAATTATTTATCAATAAATAAATATTTTATTAAATATTTACTGCTAAATACTTAGTACTCTTACATATATAAGTCATTTATTGGATTCTAAATGTATAAGTAACTAGGATATTATGACAGCAGAGAAATTTGATAGATATTTATTAATATTTACATTAATTATGATAAGATCTAGGTTCAAAAATAGGTAATCAGTAAGGTAAATTAATATACTGTATTGTTTTTTACAACAGTAAACTTAGTAATAATCACTGTTTGAAGTGTTCCAATTTTGGTGAATATTGTGAAATTTATTGCATTATTCTTCAACTGTGTGTAGGAAACGATCCTTCAGAGAGATAAGCAACAGAATTCTGCAACCACTATAGCTGTGAAGGAGCTACAGTAAAATTTTGATCCACCTATCGCTTGGTATATGACCCACATATTAAAATGCCCAGTACACATAATTATTTTATACTAGCTGTATTCCATGGATCTATCCAAATGAATCAGTACATAGTGTCCTATGTTTTAAATTAGGATGTAACACACCTACCAAATTTCAATCAAATCTGTTCAGTAGTTTTTTTTCATAAAGTAGCAAAAATTCACCCATCCATCCATTATAATAAATTCCCGCATTTATTATAATAATAGAATTATTTATATCCATGACTTTGTCTGCGTGATTACCATGAAAAGTAGCCTGTCCTTTTCATACTAATGTAATTAGCATTAGCTTGACATTTTAATAATGTAAACAATGATTGTTTACATCATTAACATGTGAGGAAATAACAAACTTATTTTTTAATATAAGTACAAGTTACTACTATCATAAATTTTTTAAGTGTTTATATTATTATGTTTGCAATCTATTGCAGAATGAATCTACACAAAAATCTCCCTCAACAACCCCAACTGCAAAACCTTTAGTTATCAAAGTACCTTGTGGAGCCCTTTTACATACAGACAAGAAATGCAAAGAAGCTATATCTTTAAATATAGTTTTGCAAAAGATAGAAAAGAAGTAAGAAATTCATGTAATTCCAATATAATAATATATTTCTTAACAAAAAATATATAAAAAAAATTACTACTTTTTTGAAAATATAAAAAGATTTACACATTATATAAATTTGCGTCATTTCGGTGTATAATCAAAATACAATATATAGAATAAGTATATTAATGATAACACAAGTAGCACCCTAATAATATCTAACATTGAGTTCCTCGCTCTGGGTGGTCCACACTTGTGCAGCTGGCCCATCGTAGATGTCAACATGGTTCAGATCAAATTTTAATACACCAAATGTTGCGAATTTATTCTTCCACTTCTCAGTTTGTGGTAAATTGAGTAAAGCATCACATATGGCGGTTTTAATTTTGTCTGAAATAATATAATTTGATTATATTAAAAATTAATAATGATTAAAATTGGGCAGTTTAAAACTGCCCAATTTTAATCATTATCTCAGTCATTATCCATCTACTGTTGAACATAGGCCCCCTCCATAGACTGCCATAAGGATCGGTCCTGACCCACCTGCATCTACTGACTCCCTGTAATATATTTAAGGTCGTCACTCCATCAAGTGGGGGGTCGCCACTCAAGAACCTTTCTTCCCATCGGTTGTCGGTTTTTTGAGCTAAGTGATGAGCCCATTGCCACTTCAGCTTGCTTATGCTTCGGGCTATGTGGGTTACTTTGGTTCGTTTGCGGATATCCTCGTTTCGGATTTTGTAACGCAAAGAAACTCCGAGCATAACCCTGTCCATAGGAATCTGGGGGGAAAGGGATTGCTAGTAATGGAGACTAAGAATCCCATTGCTAGCAATATACCCAACCAAGTCGACCTCCTCGCGGTTTCGCCTGGAAACTATCATGGTTAATTCCTGATGAATTCATCATGATGGGCTAACTGGTCTGTTTTCATTCTCATCAATCACCCTTCACTGGTGCTCCGCCAGCGTATCCCGTTAGCGCAGGCTGGGTTTACCATTCTATTTTCACCCATAAAAAAACCCTGTCCATAGCTCATTGAGTAATTTGAAGATTTTCTATACGGGCAACTGTGTAGGATGATGTTTTGGTTCCATACTTTGGGTCCAATTTTAATAACTCAGTTTTATTGTTCTTGTATACAACATTTATTACCTAAAGTGTTTTCATTGTTCAGTTCGCAATTTTGTAACATAAGAGGCAATGGCAATTATTTATATACTGCTAAAAGTGTATAAAAGGCGTAAAAAGCGTATTCAATCCTAATGTTACTAAAACGTAAGACAGTAAAGGATATAATTTTTATGTAATAATTATAATTTGTACCAACCATTTATGATAATTATAAAATTACTAGTTGACCTAGCAAACGTTTTGTCCCCTACCCCCACTTATAGTACCTACTCGTAGCTTGCCTACGTATTTAAACGCCAGGATTAGGATATAATTATTTTCTAGAGGGAAGGGGGGAGGTTGGTCCCTTTAAAAAGGTCTGTATGTACTGGTAAATATCCCGTACATACGCCTATGAGCACCAGCTGTAATAACTTAGGCAAGTTAAAGGGCTATTTTCATTTGCCCCTATCAGTCTTTCCTGGTGCGGGGGAAAAGGAATTATCAGTAACATTGTATTGCTTATTGACAGAATTACAGATTGTATTGCTAGCAATATATTCTGTCAGGTCGACCTCCTCGCGGTTTCTCCTGGAAACCATCGTAATTGATATATTGTTGAATTCGTCACGATGGGCCAACAGACCTACTTTCATCTTCATATATCATTCCCGATACTTCGCCAGTGTATACCGATAGCGCAGTTAGGGTTACCATTTCATTATCATCCATTATAAAATACTTTTCCTGGTGGAAGAGAGTAGAGGTAGCTACATAGATATATGATAAGTATATGTAATGTGGCAAAAGTTTTTGTAGAAATAGTCTTAACGAATAGATAGTTTTGTCCCTAAGATGATTCAGTTATAATTAAATTCAATTTAATGCAGCTTACCATTTAGTTTCCTATTTACGACTATAGGATATGGCGGGAGACGGCCCAATGTTTCCAACAGTATTATGTCCCTTCCACCTTCGGGCATATATTTTTTTGTGTAAAGTAGCGTCGTTGAATCAACAGCAGCCCATTCAGCTTGCTTTGATAAGACCATTTGAGCTGACGCTAAGTGCGACCCAGATTCTAAAATTAAATAATACTATATAATAATTACGTTCCTAATAAATATTTTATTAGGCCTCTTTTATTTATCTAAAATTTATAATAGACCTACTTACTTAACAGAGATCCAAAGAATGAAGCATTTTCTCCTCTTGCCTTGAGAGTTTTCAGTACAATTTTACTTCCACTTAGTGACTCTTCATCGCTATAGGCAAAAGCACATCCACGGAGATCCAATAAAGTGTTTACGTTATGTGCTCTGTAATTAATCTTTGTCATTATTAATTCATGCGCGGCATGATAGGTATAACAGTATTATTATCAAGACTTATGTGAAATAATGGCAGCGGAGTAGGTAGCTAAGTTTTCTTATCAGAAGCCAAAGCCACTGACATGTGTGATAATATTTTTATCTATTTACTTTTGATGGTAACAAAATGACAATAATTATATAAAATATTTATATTAGTAAAACATCTATACAAATATTTGACATACATACACATACAATTTAGAAATCTAGATCTTAGACTAACTCTACTCAAGTTTAGAAAATATATTAATCCACAGTCACTGTTCAACTATATTAAACCAACTTTAAAAAGAGAGGTATTTCGTTCGTCTGACTTTGATGTTAAAGTATTCTTTAATAAAATTGAAATAGTAGCTATTTGTACTTAAATTGAGGTTTTATGGTATGATATTGGAAATTGTGATATACAATTAATTTGATGACTAGAGCCGATAAGGAGTATATCATCATATAATAATTTTATTAAAATCAAATTTGTCTTAAAATAGCTAAGTAATTTATATATACTATAGTAATTTTAATGCTAAGTAAATATATGGACAAACTTTCTACTTTATAATGTTTGAAATAATCGAGTGAAGTGTGTTAAGGCCTATAGTGATAAGTACAGTTATACTACTGCAAGATGATTTGGCCCACACCAAAAACTGTGTAACAATTTAAATTTCTGACTGTCCGGTGATAGAAAGACTGCAAACAAACAAAATTAATTTTCAAACTACTACAGACCAAAATAGGTCACGCCTCTTTAAATACAAAGAACCTTTTTGAAGTCAAATACAGGCTTGTTATACGAGTATGTATATTGTCGTAGCTCGACATGATATCGTACTCGTATGGTCTGACTGTCACGACATAATAAGACTTAAAAATATCGTCTTATAAAATTCTAAGCATATCCATGAAATTATAATTATACTATGATGGTAAAATAGTACGATATCGTACTATGCTGATGAGCAAACAATGGTCAACCTTAAGACTTTTGTGTCTTATCTTACTGACTTGTTATGGCCACTCCCGAGAAACGTTTAGCCTATTTAATAAAAGAATCTTATCTAAATTTAATTATCATGTAAAAAAATATGCACTTGGGAATATATTTCATCTCGTTTATATATATAAGTTGTAGATACTACTATAAGTGGTACGTATTTAATGTTTGTGAGCAAAGTGCAAGTGCTTACTTTTTGTCTCTGTGAATAATAATATCAGAGAAGTATCCAGGTTTATTATTAACGTTCATCTGGTGAGCAAAAACAGGCGTCACAGCTAGCAGGTCCGCTGATGGATTGTTTTCTTTGCGAAGCTTCATATATGCAGCCGCAGTCATGAAAGCTGATAAATAATATTTTTTAAAAAAATAAGGGATGACACCTCTGTTATACTGTGGTAGGTAGTGGACATTATGTAGCATAAGTAAAGTGTTAAGGTCTCGGGTTTAATTTCGATCGGTCCATTTAGAAGGCAGACTGGATCTTATCTTATTTTCGTATATGAGGTCAGCTAAGCTGTTGCACGTCGACCCATACGAATCTTTTGTGCTTCCCCTGCCTTATACCATCATTTCATAGATCCTATGTGTTATCCTAACGATATCCCGCGGTTTAAGGTATCTGTAGTCCCCTGGTTCTGGATAAACCGTTCCCAATAGACTCATACGCATACTTGCCAACGAATTGCAGTTGCACATCAAGTGTTCCATGGATTCCGATTTCTCCCTGCACAGTGTGTCCGAAGATAGACCCATCTTGTGTAGTAATATGCCTTATTAGCATATGTCCAGTTACGGCACCCATAATGAGTCTTGCCTGTTGTCTGCCACCGCTGTAGATAAGTTTATCCCATCCCTCAACATTGTCATTTAAGAACTTTTTAGAATGTCTAAGACCCTACAAAGTCCTCCATTCCTTTTGCTGTTTTTTCCTCACATGCTCCTAAAGGGCAGAGTTAACAACACTTGATGCAAGTGCAACGTATGGTTTAGGACCTACCATTATTGATTCTGATCCCTTTCTCGCCAACCTATCGGCCTTTTCATCCCCTTTAATCCCTTTATGTCCAGGGACCCATACTAAACTAACCCTATTATGCCTACCCAAATTATTTAAGTTTTGAATAGTATTTGGGTTAACCTTGAATTCACCCTTGTTGATAAAAGTGCTTTGATAGTCGCTTGATTGTCACTCAAAATATAGATATTCTTGTTTTTTACATAATTATCTAGATTCATAGCTGCATAGGTGGCAACTGTGTATAATGTATGCTACATTTCTGTTTGGAAAACAGTAGAGTATTTCCCTGTGCTTTGACTTATTTCGTTTTCACTTGAAAAGATACCAGCTCCAGTACCTGTTGTCATTTTGGAGCCATTTGTATACCAATATAGGTCATTCTCCTTTAGATATGGCGGGCCATGTTCCCACTCTTTTCTCTGTGGTATATGAACTTTGAAGTTCTTTTTGAAGATGTATTTAGGTGTTATTTTGTTACACCTCATGTCCATATAAATGTCTAAGTCTTTATCGACCTCCATTTTCGTGACAGACTCGTGGATAATGTATATTCCAAATGTATATTCATACATGTATACAATACGTTAAATAACGAAATTCATTTCTTAAAACTAGTGTAAGTATTCATTAATAAGGTTTAATAAATATTATATTGCCTACAAACATTTTTATTTTACCAAAAACCAAAGCAATGAAATTCTTGAAAAAAAGAACAACCTGATCTGCATTAACGACGCTACAGTACATAACTATTATAATGTAGTACCGTTGGTACAGATACAATAGATTGTTCATTTAATTTCAGATAAATAAAATCTTTTTTCCAAAATTTTAATTTCTAATTTAGTTTTTGGTAATATAAATCTTTAAATAGGTAAAATAATATTTTTTAAAACTTATTAATCAATATTACCTAACACTAGTTTTAAGGAATTAATTAACCTACTGTATTAACGTAGTCAATACAGAAACATCTTGAATTATCAATTAATAGGTAATAGATATACAGATGAAGTCTAATTCATTAGCGTCTGAGGCGAGATTGAAAAACGGTAAATAATTTTAATCTTTTAAAAATAATTTTTCTGTTTGCAAAATCGTGTTATGTCTTTTTATCGAAATTATGGTACATAAAATAAACAAAAAAGACTTTTTATGAATTGTAATAGTACGGTTAGGCTACCTATATCTTATTTTAAATACACTATCAAAACTCAATCCCCATTAATTAACAACCTTGGCCCAACTGTTGTTATTATAAATACTTAAATTTTTTATCGTTTTTGAATTTTTATATTCACGAAATTCTAATTCTGTTCTAATTGTTAAATCGCAATCATTAGTGGTACATAAGAATCTACCCGTGCTATAAGTATAGGTAGATTATTATATAGTATTGTTTTAGACTGTATTGTGCATATATCTACTGTTTCTATTTAAGAAAGAAGTAATCTGAGAATACATATGTAAAACATTTTGCGAGTGATATGATTGATTTATTAAGGATTTTTTTTTACAGGATTGCCTTAGAGCTTAAAATGGCGTATATGTACTCTCAGATATGTCATTGTAGAGCTCTGTTCCGATCGGATCGGCATCAGATCATTCTGGAGTATAGGCACGGCCTACTCGGCCATCTCCTTAAAATACGCCTTGTATGTATGGTGGTATACTACACAGACGATATTAACGTGTCTGCCTACACAGGCAGACATCTTAATCAGTATGATATTTTTTGTATTACTTTCGTATGGAATTAAAGTAAAATTCAAAATATGAAAAATTTATGAAGTAAGATTTAAAAAGAAACGTAATTGACTTACCTAAGTCCACTTTATCATTAATAAAAGGATCAGGACGATCCGTGAAGGGTCCAGGTTTTCTACTTTCATATTGTAAGGTTGTATAGCATTCTAAAGCCTCTTCTAATAATTCCATAATTAATTCGTATAATTGAACTGGATGAGTTGGACACATATATGTTGCAATTCGTAGTTCTGGCTTTTCTGTACTCATTTTTAATAAATTTTATAAGCAAAATAATTAAGATCAGGCTACAAGTATTCAGATAACAAAACGTATTAGTCGTTAAGGAATGACTCTGTTTATTTACTTAATAAATATCAAATAGATACCTAAGACCTGTTAGGTATTACCATAATAACACACGATAAATGAAAATAATGCACGTTTTAGTCGTGAACTATCGATAATAACGTCAGATTACACGGCATCGCGTAATATAAATCAGAACTTTCTCTTTTTTGAAGTTGGTTAAGAAGTTTTATTCTATTCGATCGACGGTACCGGCATCTATTTGTGGGTATGTTGTGTTTCTATTGTGGTACATTATAGATGGCGTGAGATGATTGTCAGAAAGCGATGACTAAAAAATGTTTCGTCAAATAATAATTTCAAACATATATTGTCTGTTCTGACTGTGGTGTGCTTTAAATATTACTTGCAGATAAATAAATAAATTCGAGCTACGTGCCTTTTATAACAGACGCTGGTAGAAATAGTCTTAAAGTGGCGACCGATTGTCATAATTGTCACACCCATAGATTAAGGACCTTGGCATTCTTTCTAACCTGTGACGTACTGGTAATGATAGATGGCTAAATAGTCTGTGGTTTAAGCAAACAAATATAGTCTTTCTAATCTTCGTCTGTGAACTAAATATTTTTATCTAGCTTAAATTAATTTTATTTAACTGTGAATATTAAATATTCAAATAATGGGAAAAGACGAAACTTCTAAAAAACGAAGGAAACTCAATACTAGTTCTTCAAGTGATACGATTAAGCAAATTCCAGTAGATGTTTATAAGGTAAGCAACTATATATACCTCGTCGTACCTATCTACTTTATCCGTTCAGGACACCGTTTCTAATAACCAAAGTTACATGAAAAAATATTTATATTAAATAAATATTTTTTTATGTAACTTTAGTTGGTTCATCGTCTAATAGATGTGATAAGTCGGAACGAACGTATATATGGATATATTTAATATGCCGCCTGCGCCAACGGCATACGCTCTCGGGGCACCAGTGAGGGAGATTAAGTAAGAATAAAAAAGCAGGTCAATCCGTCATGATGAATACATCTGGAATTGAGCACGATGGTTTTCAGAGGGAACCACATGGAGGTCGAACTGACCTATATTGCTAGCAATGGGACTGGTAGTTCGCATTACTAACAATCTCTTCCCCCCCATCTAGCATTATTATCTTGTTTCCATTTCCTCTAAGTATTATATTTTTTTTAAATAGATGATAATATAATGCTATTGCATGCTGGTGAGGAGCTAGAGAGGTAGGTGATGGCAGCACAGTTAATTTGTTTTGTAGCAAATTAAATAAGATTTTAATGTGTGATAATGGAGTTGTATCCCCTCCTGTGCTATCAGTATTCACTGCCGGGATACCAGTGAGAGATGATAGGTGAAAATGAAAAGGATATGCATTACTAACAACCCTCCTCCCCCCTAAAATAATTCGTTAGAATCAAAGGTCCTTTAACGGCACTTATTATATTATATACAATTAACAGGCTAAGGACTTATTATTGATGAATTGAATTATTAATGAATTTTGAATAGAAAAAAAAACAACAAAAAAAAACATAAAGGGTTATTGTGACATCAAAAAATTCATTAAAATTGCCCTAAGTCCTGTGCCTCTGTAGCTACAATGACACCACAAAACAATATATCTCAGAAATAGAGTGTTGCATGAATAAATATTACATGACCGAAGTTGGTACTTCTAGGAACTCTATCTGATGGGCACATAAAAGGGGGAGAGGGTAATTTCAATGTCGAAAAAGCCATCAAAATGTTTTTTGTCCCTATTCCTTTGCAAAAAAATTTTTATTATATTTTTTAGGCTTTTAATACACCCCAACTCCAACACAACTACACCTAAGGGTATCCACTGACTCAAGAATTAACCACATTGGTTTTCAGGGGGAACTTCTTGAAGATTGCCCTGGCAAAGTATACTGTTACTAATGGATCATCTAGTCCCTATTACTAATCTCTTCACTATGTACTTACTTATGATTATGGTATACAATGTTAGGGCACCATTGGAATAGGAAGGATTTGTGGTAAAATGTAGAGAAATTGGCCACAATGGTTTTCAAGGGGCACTTAGTGGTGGTGGAGCTGATAGGACTAATAGAGTCCCCATTACTAAAAATTCCTTGACATCCATTTCGTCTCTTCTATTCAAAGATTGGACTGTATTGCAATGCCTGTTATTGATGTTCCATGCCAGAAATGTCATAGGGTGGCAGTACTTGTCTAGAAAATACAATACTAGTTGATACACACTGTATATTTTTTAATAAAAAAAAAATATATATATTGTTCTATTTATAATAATCTTTTATTAAAAAACAATAAAGGCTATATATATTATTATATTTTCATGTAAGTTATAAATGTTATAGTATCATAAATTTTGCAGTATTATAAGTTACATACTACAAAATTGTGATATTGAAGATATACTATATGTGTGCAGTCTTTCACTAATAAAAGTTTTCTATTGCAAAGCGTGTGGTAGAATTTGAAGAAACAGAAGCACAACTGCGTCCAGCTGACAAGGATGCTGTTTTATTTAAAAAGATATGTCAGGACATTCGGGACCTATTCTCTGACATAGTTGAGCTAAAGGCGAAGGATACTGAGGAGGTAATGTTCTAAAACATACCATACTTTTAACTTTAATATACAAGATGAAATTGAAATAATTAGCATTATTTTAAGAGAATGTTTGTACAACCGAAATTTAACAGTTTTTTTTTTTAAAGAAATGTGTAGGAAAACTACAAGAAATTTAGAAATTATAAATGGCGATTTGAAAGTGTCTGTTAATATGAGAGACTCCAAATTTTTTGTTACTTTTTGATTTGTGTTTCTTTTGAGGAACATTCTTAGTTTAGTCTGACTGGTAGTACTCTTTAAAGAATGCTGATTTCAGCTTATCTAATAGCAAGTTATTGTTATAGCTATACTAACCAAAAAATTAATGATACTATGTTCTATATTTTAGGCTAAGGAGAAAATTAATGCAAAGCGCATAGAAGCATCACTACATTTAGTAGCTTTGAAGAAACTCAATAGACTGGAGAAAGTACGTACAAGAGCAGGTCGTGATGCACTTCACAAGGAGAAGCAGAGAGTAGATTCTACACATTTGCTTTTGCAAAATTTGTTATATGAAGCAGATCACCTTAATAAGGAAGTCACCAAGTGCCTCCAATTTAAATCCAAAGATGAGGAGATTGAACTGGTTCCCATAGAAGATTTTTATAAAAATGCACCTATTGAAATATCTCGACAAGTATGTTATTTATTACATTATATTAATTCATTATTCTATAGATCCTTAGTTTACTGTTTAAACTACAAAATGTTATGGTATGTGAAAGCTTATTAAAATTAGAAATTTTATTACAGGAAGTGACTAAAACTGATGAGCATCAACTGCAGCTAGCTAGATTAGAGTGGGAGTTACGTCAGCGTCGAGAACTGGCAGGTGCATGTAATGAGCTAGTGGCGTCTAAAGAGAGAGTGGCAGCTGCTATAGCCGCTACTCGTTCTCGACTTGAAGCTCTTGCACCTCATCTAAAAGATGTACTTAAATCCACAAAACCACTACAGGAATGTTTGGCACTTCGATTAGATGAAAAACGAGATGAAGCAAGAGCTGCATCCCTACTTCCTCCGCCCTTGTTTCTGCTCTATGCGAATGGTAGTGCATATTCTGATGCATTGGGTGCCAAAACCGTTACTGTTGGTAGGTATTCATTAAATATAATAACACTATGAGTGTTTGTATTTGTGTCTTGTTTGTATACTACGAGGTTTGTCCGGAAAGTACGTATAAAAGTTTTTTAAAAATTTTATTTTACAATTATTCAGGTAAATCAATTTTATCCCCTTCAAAGTACTCCCCCTGTGACATAATGCACTTGTGCCAACGCCGTTTCCACTGTGAGAAGGCTCCTTGAAAGTCCTCTGGTTGTAGGTTTCTCAGCTGCCCCGTCGTAGCTTTTTTTATCTCATTTATGTCCCCCAAATGCCGCCCCCGAAGTACCAATTTGGTTTTTGGGAACAAGAAGAAGTCACACGGGGCCAAATCCGGCGAATAGGGGGGGTGTTCGGTCACCGTAATGGAATTTTTACTCAAAAACTCACGGACAACAAGAGATCGATCTTGGCGCAAATTTTTTTCATTTGAAGTTCGTTTCTTAGAATTTCGTTGACCACGGTTTTGCCCAAATTAAGCTCTTCAGCCACCTGTCTGACCGTTAAACGACGGTCCCCATTAACACAAGTTCGAATTCTTTCCACGTTTTCGTCGGAATGTGAAGTGGAAGGACGTCCTGAACGTGGGTCATCTTGAACGCTTTCTCGGCCCTCTCTGAATCTTTTTAGCCACTTGTGGACGGTTGGTTCCTTCACAGCAGCATCCCCATAAACTGTTCTGAGATCGGCAAAAATTTCACGGCCATTCTTGCCGAGTTTCGAGAGAAACTTGATTACGACGCGCTGCTCTTCAACGGAAGCGGGCTCCATGCCGACGGGGTTTCGTTAAGAGGTAACTTCACAGATGGCGTGACAAGCCAGTTCGCACCGCACGGCGGTCAGACCAGAACTGAAGCATTGTTAGGGACATAAGGAAGGGGTCCTGCGCTTACCTGGCCTCCCCACTCCTCTTTCTCGCATTCCAGAACACTTTTATACGAACTTTCCGGACAGACCTCGTATTAACAAAACTTATTAACTATGTGCTAAAAATATTTTTCTGATATGTTGATTTCAGTTTCTATTTTGACAAAGAAATTCTAAAAACTTATTGTAATTATTTAAGGTATATCTGGCGATGAAGATGATGCGAGAAGGTTAGAACAGCTCAGTAATGTAGATACAGAGCTAGTTATTTCAAATGATTCTGATTCAGACCAAGAAAACAATGATGAAGATCGTAGAGAAAAAAAGAAGCGTCATCACAGGTCATCTAAGATATCCAAAGAAGAGAAGGCAGAAGCCAAGAAAAAAGAAGTACTTAGGAAACATCCTCTCAGTGTTCAAGTGTCAGTGAAAGTTGCAGATGGCACAGCATTAAATTTAATATTTTCCTATTTACTGCATTTAAAGATTGTTGTTGTAAAATTCACTGTATCACTACCAAAACCAGTTACGGGGGTATCAGCTGCTGATGTTCTAAATGGTCATTGTATCTTAAATGAGCTTTATCCAGCAGATACTGGAAATGATTCTCCTCATCCAGCCACAGCATACTTGTTGAATAATGCAGGAATATCGGAAGATTTTCATTATTTTATTCCTGAAGTTGGTAGACCATATATATGGGCTCAGAGAATGTGTGGCTTAGATTTTATGGCTGCTATTTTAGATAAACACAAATCTAGTAAAGTCATCCAGCCAAGTCAGAGTTTAAGTGTGACAACAGTAGAAAACTTCATTTTAACTTTGAAAAAGAGATTGAAGTCAAGAGTGGAACTGATGAAGGAGTTGCAAGACTTGGAATCAGGGAAAATTATATCAGTCAAAGGGAATTTACCTTTACGATTATCAGGATCTTTGACCCAATGGCAATCAGTAGGTTGGCCAGAATATAGTCAGTCCCCTTCTACAGCAAATCTAATAGCTGAAAGTGTTGTCAATAATAATGATATGCTATACCGTGCTATTATAACAAGACAATCGGCAAAGCTAGTGGCATTAGTAGCTCTACGAAGTGACTATCCAAAAAAAGCTCCAATATTTTCTCTCACACTTCATTGGAATGGAACTCATCATTCTGGAATAAATGATGATATTAGGGATATCGAGAGAATGATAAATACGCAATGGTGTTCCGAAGATAATAAGCAGACTACTTTATCATTACAAATGACTAAATTATTGACATACCTTGATATTTTATTAGAAACTACAGGTTCTTCAGAATTTCCACCAGACAAAGTAATGTTATGCCCCGTCCGAGGCCGTAACAGAATGAAACCATATAAGTTTTTAAAGCAAGGGACTGGTGTATTTGTACAGTTTTAGAAACCACTTAACTTACTATTATTAGTGTCATTTTTAATGTCATATTTGGTCAGCCAAAATGAAAATAAAAACAATTTATAAAACATGATTTATTATTTTACTACTGTATATTTATATAATAATAGTGTGACAATTTTAAATGCTAGTGTAATATTAACTAGAATATTTACTAGAATAAGTGACACAGTGGATTGGATCAGTGTGTTCTAAAAAATATGCTTATAACTATAATAAACCCTAATGAAGCATCGGAGAAATTTATATCGTCGTTGTTGTTATTCAATGTGGTGGAGGGGGAGCATACCATCATGACTAGAAATGTTTGTTTATGGTGTTTTCTATTACTTCAGACGTAGGCGGAAATATAAATTAACATGGTTTTTGATATGGGTCATACTCATGACGTATTCTATGAGTGAGCGATTAGTTTATCTTGAACAAATTTTTATTCTATAAATAGGTGGCAAACAAGCATGCGGCTCACCTGATGGTAATTGTTTACTTATTGTATAGTAATTTTATACCTTATTAAGTTTGGTTTAGGGTAGGCAGATTTTAGTGGAAGTCCAAAGGTATTTAGTAATATTAATTATTTATTATTTTAAACTATATATAAAGTGACGACGTGTTATACGTGCTGAGTGGCAGGAGCGAGAGGGCTTGAAGAATGAGTCAGAGTAAATGATTACTAAACACTTATATAAATTAATATTCATGCCTGAATCTCGAGTACATTGAATAATAAACTGTTAGATTGTGTGTGATTAGAGGGAGATGTGGGATATAAAAATTAGCGTCAATAAGCGCCCCTCACGTATATTGAGAATTATAATAGTTCAAAACGCATTTTTGTAACACCCATTTTATCTTGGTAGTTGTGACAAAACTACCTTGCTTTCTGATGGTTATATCTATCTATCCGATAGATATTGCCGTATGGTCGCGGCATAGATTTGACTACCCCTTCCTTCGTAGGTGTCATAAGGGGCGACTAAGAGATAGATTCGATAAATATAAACAATATCTTGATAGCCGTTTCTAACAATAAATTGTGTAATAATTTATAAAATAAAATATTTAACCTTTATTAAATTTTTACTGCTAGTGCCCATTTTTTTACAAAGGACTTAAAGTGCGTTCAAGTAAGTCTAATATAAAACTAAGATTTATGAATCTCTTTGAAGCTGAATCGATTTTAGGAGTACAAAGCTTCTAAAGATTTTAATAATGACGTGCGTTATTACATTATAAAAAAAATAATACATCAATACCCTCGACAGAGAGAAATTTACTATATTTCTTGCTTTAATACGTCACGAGCGTGGTAAAATAAAATAAGTTTATAATACAACAGTCTTTATTTTTATTTTCAGTAAAGCATTGAACATGTTTGAGGAAAAAAATACATAATATGATCACAATTGGCAATACACAAAATTTAAAATTATGACTTGAAAGAAAATACACATGGATTCATACTAAAATTTAAGGAAATACTTATAATTTGTAACTTAACCTAAAAATGCCATAATGTTATTGGTCAATAATGAGATCTCTATAGCATTGTGTTTATATGGAGATATTATTATATCGTACTTTTTATCATTTACATAATACACTTATAGTCGGTAATAATAAAATGTTAATTTACTTACAAGACTTAATTGGAAACAATACTACTTTCACTACTCTAAATTTTTTTTCGTTTTTTATTTTTATTGTATGATTAAGTCTCACATGACTAAAAAAATGGATGAAATATTATTGTAATTAGTTTGCAGAACGCTTCATCCTGGAAAACTTGTACTACTGTTACAAACCTTACGAGAAGATACAACCATTTATTTAAAACAGAATTCAAGATAGTAACAATTCTACATTTGTATTTATATTGAAGCAGTTACTAACATTCGTTCAATACTAAAATGTTCTAGATGGTCCTATAATCTACAGATTACATGAATTCTCGTCTCGTGATCTATATAAAAAAATATAATTCACTATTGCAATCTCTGTTAATCTTCATTCATTGATTTTTTTATATCGTCCACTTATTCCTTTTATACACTTTTTTCATTATTTATTAAATTATTCCTCACTATGAGTCAGTTTTTGAGAACAAAATAAAATCACTTCTCATCTTGTTTCAAGTGTGCTTATAACTATATGACTTTCAAATTATTGCATTATGAGATCCCAGTTTCGAGTTTTACGTCCATTATTTTACGTGGCCCTTTAAGGCAGTTGAGACGCCTTTGTACTGCATCTCGATCTATAAAAAATATAGAATTCATGAATAAAAATATATTTATAATAGAATGGCAAGAAGCTAATGGCGGAACCTGGTAGAAAGTAGTAACCGCCTATGGACAGCAATAGCACCATGGATATCACAGAAAATACTGTGATAATGGATAGTCATTTTTATAAGATACTATTCCTATAGATTATGGTATTATACATTTGTATGCCTGTAAATTTTACTGCCGTATCCCACACTTCAAACAGAAATACATCTATTTAAGCGAGGCTGCTTCACAAAACTTCAGAAATACGAGTGGGATTGTATCCAAGCAGATTATTTTTGAATTCTTACTGGTTTTATTGATAACGTCGATATACAAATTTTGTATCAACAGGCGGGGCAATAAATTTGTAATTAACTATATACCGCGACTACGTGTAAATCAATAGACATACAAAGTATCCTATATGCTAAGTTAGGATATAACCCACACGTGTACCAAATTTTATTTAAATCCGTTCAGTAGTTTTTGCGTGAAAGAGTAAGAAACATATGGATGTTTATTACCCTTCTACTATCCATCCATGGTTATAAACTTTTGAATTTATAATAAGATTTGGTCATATACACAATAAGCATGAGACTGTGATGTGTGTGTATCATCAAATTTCGAATTGGTAAGGATAAAACATACAAAAAACAAATAAATTTCAAGCTAGTTCATGAAAATGTATACAAGATATGTGATAATACTAACATTTGGAGAGCGTGGTTCGGTGGTGCGGGTGCATGTGTCGCTGAACGAGCGAGTGCAGCAGCACCTGCGCCGACATGTAGCGCCGCTCGCACTCCTTCACATCGCCGAACAATTCCTCCAAAGCCGCCATCTGACACTGTTAACACAATTACCTTGTGAAAACTAAACAATTGTGCCCACCGTCTGGCATTCATTCAGAGATAAGCACAGTGAATTTTAGCTATATATGTAAAAAGGATTTTTATCACAAGACGAGCAACATTTATATTATGACTAGCTGACTCGGTAAACGTTGTGCCTACGAATTCATACGTGTCGTAGTCGAAATTAAGTATTACTATTTTTTTATTAGGGGAGTTAGTATATTAAGTATATAGAGTATACTTATAATTAATTAAGTATATTGTTTTTTGTATCCCTTAAGGTAGAATAGCTTTATATAATATAAAAGTATGTTGCATTTATCTCGCATGCTTGAAAACAACGACACTGTTTTTAAATCAATAACAGACATTATGAAAATACTTACCAACTCAATGGCATGCTCGTAGAGAATTTTATCACATACAGCGGGGATAATGCCCGAATCATGTAGTCGCCTCGACTCGTTGACTATCCACTTGTACTTGGCGTTCATTAGTGACACAACTAAAAGGAAAATAAGGAAACATTTAATATATTATTGGTTAAATATTTGGTTATGCATTAAATGGATAGATGTGATTGCATAACTCCATTAAGAGGATATTTTTAAGTTTTGTGTTGGTATAGACTATATGGTATAGAGAATATAGTTTATCCGTGCACCAATATCATTGCCATTCAATGAGTACATACTATTATATAAATAGTATATAAGTAGAATTATGTTGACAGGATAGTTGCTCACCCTGGCGCACTTGAGGCGTGGACTGCAACGTTCGCGAGCGGTAGTGTTGGGCGGCGAGCTGTAGGCCGGCCGCTAGCGCCTGCATCGCCTGCACTAGCAGCCCCAGCCGGACACTGTCGTTGCATCGTTCTGTACACGACACAACAAAGACGTTTCTTGTATAGCACAGAAAATAAAATAAACGCTTTTTTTACACGACTGCTAAAGACAACAGTCCTTTTTAATTTTAAGCCAATTATTCGAGTTGTTAAACAGACTTATTATATAAGTCTGTTTAACAACTCGAATATAGTAAGATAAAAATCATACAAAAAAAATTATGGACTTTTTTTAAGGAAAATATCAAAGTACTCTTAAGGCAAATTAAAACATTGATGAAACAATATTTTTTTTTTATTAAATAAACTATGACTTATGACATCAGTATGAAAACTATAATAGTGTCAGGTGGTAACAAACAAATTCTCATAAATAACGTTACGTGAGGATAACCGAATAGTAGGAAGCGTCCAACTATTCGGATTTTCGTGTTTCTATTTTTTGTAGCTATATATATGGTTAGTCAAATAGTACAATCAGTTTTAATTAGTTCAAATATGAATTACTAACAACCGAGTTACATAATCCAATTGAGAAGAGAAAGTGTTTGATATGTAGTTAGAGTTACTTACCATCCGAGGTATCCATAAGAGCGGCGATGGGTGCCCCGCAAGATACAGCTAGGTCTGAAAGCAGTTCCGCTAACATCAGGACGAAACTGAGTTGAGAGAAGACCTTACTGTGTTCCTCCTGAAATATAAATAAGTATTTATTATAATAATATTTTATTTTTTATATATAACTAAAGTTTTATAACCTACTTTAAAAAGGAGGAAATTATTTAAATAAATAATGTGTTTCTTGATTGCATCATTAATTCTGAACCGATTTTGAGCATTATTTATGCAATAGACATGCTTTACCGCTTTGTTGATCCCATATTTAGACGCGGGGTAACATAGTAGCAGCGTGTTATATCACAGGAATCATCTGGAGTCACTTTTCACCCCAATAACTCAAAATTTATTAAACATAAATACATGAAATTTGATTTATTTATTAAAATCCCATAGATTAACTAGAACCCTAATTATATAAACAGCTCAAATGGGTATTAAGATATAAACATCTAAATATCAATATTTTTATCACTGACTGACTTGATATAGAGATCAAAAACCTAACCCACTTCTAGACTACCCAGAAAGTTGAAATTTAGAGTTCACTTAGGTAATTAGTATTTTAATTTGCTATTGTAAAATATAATTTATTATACTTGTAAAAGAAAAAAAAAAAGATATTTTCTCTTAAATTTGTTTTTGTATGTTGCATATTTTTATAAATTATTAATATCGAATTAGTTGCCTTTTTTATATTTATGTTTTTGATGAGATTAATAAAGTAATGTGCAGCTACTTTCTGAAATAAAAAAACTGCTTGTTGCTAATGTAAAACGTACACACAATATCGCGTTCTAAATTCAAAAATTAATGTAATGTTACTACGGAACGTGTCGCAGGTGATAGTGTGCGTTGTGAAGTGTCGGTAGTGAAGTGGTTATTGTTTGCGGGGCGCAATGTAGTGGTGTGGTGTGGTGTGGTGCGGTGTGTGCACGCACCGCGAGTATGGTCTCCTCCTGCAGGTTGGGTATGTAGACGGGCGGGTCGGGCTGGTGCAGCTTGAGGCCGCGCAGCAGCGCGTCGGGCAGCGCGGCGCCGCGCTTGGGCGAGCCGCCGCCGCCGCCGCCGAGCGCCTCGCTGCTCGCCCGCAGCGCCAGCGACACTGGCGGAGACGAGCCTGACATATTATTTATATATTCCATATTTTACAATAAATCACTTGCTACAGTGACCAATATTTTTACAAACTTTTATTTAACTTACAATATATGTTTAGTTTGTTGAAATATATAGAATATGTTTTCTAATACTATATTAATTAATATTACAACATTATTTGCTAATATTATATTATCTTTTTAGCCAACTTCAAAAAAGGAGGAGGTTTTTTGTTTAGTTGTATTTTGTTTTGCTTGTTACCTCATAACTTCGTCAGTTATAAACAGATTTGAAAAATTCTTTTTTATTTGAAAGGATATGCTTTCAGATTAAACCCATAGAAATTTTATTAAAATCGGTTCAGTGCTTTAAATTTTAAATCAAAATAATTGGTTTTGCCACAACTGAAGTCAGTTTTTTTAGAACACAATAAATTATCTAGTATCATACAATAGAATGCACGTTTACATATTGTACATGTATTGCTCTAGTTAATATATTAATTTAATTATATGTTACAAATGTAGTCATACCCGATCTGCGCAGGGGACTTGCGTTGGTGGGCGAGACCTGCCACAGCGAAGGCGGCGGCGAGCTGCCCGAGTTACTGCTGCGGCGGCGCGTCGACCGTGGAGTGGTGCCCATTGTGAATGGCACCTGCATATTTCACACAGCATTAAAGACAAAATAGTCCAATTTAACATTCAGAAATTGGGGAAACAATCTAAACTACTCGTATATTATGAAGAGGGATTATTTTTTGTTTTTAGTGGATAAATTTAAAAATACATAGCTGATTTAAAAAAAAATCAGGTATAGAAAGCTATATTATCTATCAATATGTGACATGGGCTATGGATCTCTACGCTATTTACCAATGCGAAGCCGAGGCGGGTCTAATATTAAATACAGATGAAATCGTCGTGGCATTGCTGTTACTATAGTCCCGGTTATTTTTAATATTTCTCTCTCCAATAAGTATCAGAAAGTTTATTTTACGAATGTGTCTACCAGTGAAACTGAACATTCATCCCGAAAAAACGTTGTAAAACGACAAAAAATGTGTGGCTCGCATACGACGTATGTAGCTGATAAATCTTATTTCATTATTTTTTTATAAATAAATTTATTTATTTAAATTATTCCAATTAAAGGATTACAATATTACTCTCGGCGAAATGTGTGTGTTATTTAAATAAATTTATTTATACTTATTTTTTATTTATTTAAATAATTTATTTTTTAATATTTGTTCAATTGGGGAAAATATTCATTTTCCTTGGTCTCACTCAAAAAGGATGTTAATGATTTGGATCTCACCCCATACATGTACCATGGCCATCTCAGGTGTGAAAGTTGTAAATTTTTTAAAGAGACAACATCATAAAAATGATAACCAGAGAAAAATGAGTATGCTGACATTTATTTAATAATGTGATATATACAGATAAAACTAGTGCTCGGTTACTCACAGTGGGTGGTGACAGCGAGCCGATGTTGGTTGCGGTTCTACTATTCGATCGGAGCACATCGATTGGCTGTGATCGCGGAATATTATTATTAGATGCCATGTCAAAGGGGTTCTGTAATTTATACAATGGATTTAGTTAGCATCGATATGGATATATTATAAAAATGGACAGTCTTAATAATATGTACCCATGATAGCCCATAATAGTCGACGTTTATCAATTTGGGGCGGTACGAGTTATTAATCACAGACCAATATTGGGACACTGCATATTGACGTTATTATTGGGACCACAGTAAGCCAAGCAATCGATAGAAATTGGGAACAGCACTAAGCTGGCGAATGTTAAATAATTAAAAAAATCTTATGACTCGTTTTTTTTTTATTTTATAAGGTTTTTTTTCATGAAGAAATAATTTTAAAATCTGGTTACTTTATTGATTTTAAGATGTTGCGCAAACTTCGACACTTGTTATTAACACAGGAAACATTAGTTTTGTGTCTGGTTAGAGGCAACTGATACGCCATTCTCTAAACCTATCTTTAAAATTAAAATTTTATATCACAGTTAATTCTTTATAGAACTAATAGGAAATAATAATTTTTAATACATTTAAGTTAGAACTATTATAAATTTAGTAGATGATAGTCCATAAAATAGTCATTTCGCAAATATATCAAAGAAAAAAAAAATAAGTCCGGAGAAATGGCGCTTCAGAATCGACCCCCGTGTAGTAATCGATAAATTTATTTAATACTATCTGTAGCCCGCGCCTTCGTCCGCATGAATCAGTAAATAAAGTATTCTATGTGCTAAGCTAGGACATAAACCTACCCGTACAGCAAATTTCATTCAAATCTGTTTAGTAGTTTTTGCGTGAAAGAGTAACAAACATCCACCTATTCATCTATCTATCCATCATTACAAACTTTCGTATTCATATTAGTAGGATTCATTGCTCTATTGCCGAACACAAGATATAAAAGATATATTTACGTAGCGACTAAATGAAATTGGAGTTGATTCTGAAACGTTATCGAAAGTAACCTTTCTATAAAAATAAAAATATTCTAAATTTAGTTCTTTTTGGTCTGAAATTTTATATTGCATTTTAGTTTCTCTGTTTCCTTTCTATGTTACACCATTTCGAGAAAGAGAGAAAGTATATAATTTACTCGCACCACATACAACTTTTAGATAAAAATAATACATAATAAACAAACGGTATGAGGTGCAACAAGGTGGTGCAATTGCAGATGGCAATCATGAGTTCTACTTGAAGGGGTTAATTCTGAAGGTGATACTGACTCGGAAGTGTGAAGAGCTCTGCGGCTGCGGCAGCGGCACGAGCTGTGGCTGCGGCTGCGGTTGCAGCTGGTGGTGAGGTGCGGGTGGCGCGAGCGGCGGCTGCGGCGGTGCCGTGAGCGGCAGCGAGCGCGGCCGCGACGCCGCCTCCGAGCCGGACGACGCGCCCGAGCACTCGGCCGATCCGCCCTCTGTCGCCTCCACCAGCACGAAGTCGTCCTCGCCGGCCCATGTCGTGTCCGACGACTCGGCTGATTATGTATACAAACCGGTAAGTAACTGCTTAGTATTTATGATACTTTTCAAGTTTCAAGCCGCGTATCATAAATTACACAAAAACTTGCGCGACTATGTGGGTGCTCTGGAGCTCTGGCATCCACCCTTAAGAAATAAATAGAGAGCGCAGAGTACCCACGACTATAAATACCAAAAAAAATTCCTTGAATGATACTTTAATATTTCATTATTGCCGTTGTTAGAGAAAGAGACGTTATATACTTCTCTTTCGTGTTTCTTGTGTAAATCTACAATAAACTAATTATTAACTCACAACAATTTTCAATGTTTTCACCGCATTTCTATTTTTTCAAAGATTGTCTGGGAGAGAATGTTATATAGCATTAAGTCCGTTTTTCAAATTTTTTTCGTAATGCGGTCACTAAAGAATAAAAAATCAAACACAAATTTTCAAATAAAAACAAACCTTACTGCAACATTAACCTTAACTGCCACATGCAGTATGAGAGGTTTATGTATAGTTTTCTGAGAAATTTATATTATTTATATTTTTTTATTACCTTATTTGAAAGCGCGTCGTGAGCCTACTTCTATCATAAAAATATTTTGGAAAATTATTACTCTTGATAACATTATTGTTGAGAAACATAAAGAAATTCAAAGATTTTTTGAGAGTGTACACTAAACTTAATCTTATAACAATTTAGTTGTTAGGAATGGCAAAGTATAAAGAGTATCATGGGTAATATAGTATACTGTTATGTCCATGGTACTGCTCACGTTTATAGGCAACGGTTACTATTTTCCATCAGGTGGAAACCTGAAGGGGCCGTCAACTTACTATTTTAAGTTGTATAAAAAAAACTTCACGTCGTATTAATTTCTTTTTATCACCACCACGTAGGACATTTATTCATTGATAAATAATAATAATTAACATACTGTTTGTTCAATTTAAAGATAATGATGAACAAAACAGAGCGAGAGTAAAAATAAGTTTTGTTAAAAGATGAAAACTTAATTTACATTTTAGCGATAAGGCCATTTTTAGTTTATGCACATTCTGTATAAATATTCCTTGTACACAAATCTTATGTGCGCAATAAAGAATTTATTATTATTATTTGATATTCATATAAATATGTAATGTTATGTAAACACTTTAAAAAATGTTAAATCATAATTTACATTCAATGGTGCCAGTTCTAAAAATAAGTGTGCACGACACGTATGACTATGATGAAATGTAGGCAATGTAAAATAAATAATATTATAAATGTGTAAGATTGCGAGGATAGTTGGATTACATAATCGCTTTCCATCAGAATTTCAATAGTTTTACGAACTTTCACATAGTATAGTTATGGCCATGTAGATTCAGGCTAGGTTCAGGCCATTCCTTTCCGGTGGGTGTCGTAAGAGGCAACTAAGAGAGTTTATGTTCGAGGGATGGGCAGCAGTGTCTCTTTAACTTGAGAATTATAATAGTTCAAAACATGAATTTACCTATTTTTGTAACACCCATTTTATCTTGGTAGTTGTGACAAAACTACCTTGCTTTCTGATAGTTATATCTATCTATCCGATAGATACTGCCGTATGGTCGCAGCATAGATTTAACTACCCCTTTCTTCCTCGTAGGTGTCGTAAGGGGCGACTAAGGGAACTTAATGATTGAGGGATAGGCAGTAGCGTCCTTCTTAAAACATCACGAAAAGCCAAACTGCCGTTGCCAATTCGCCTGCCAAGCGTAGCAATTACTGACAATACCCCCTTTAAGAGGGAGGCTATGTTCAGCAGTGGACAGTTTACGGTTAATACAATAAAAAAAAAATAGTTAAAAGAAATAGTAGGTTACTAAATGAACGATAAATTTTAATGTTTACGTTTTAATATATAGATATGACTATCGTGTTCGGTAACACAACTTGCTACCAACCGAAATGGGAACAGTAACTCTATAAAAAATAACAGAACTATCAATGACACGTTGCAGTCATAATGTTGTGTTTACACCTCACACAGATGCCAGAAAACAAATAAAATGGCTTCTATTTGTTTAAAGAATGTATTTAGAGATATGGTTTCATTATGAATTATTTGGATGCTATTGAAATATATTCACTTCATTAATTAAAAAAAAAATAGATAATAGGCTCTTCTATCACATTTTAACAATTTTTTTAAAAAACTTGAAAAAGAAAGAATAAGGATTTGATATTTAAAAATAGAATCTACTAATTGTATTTTAAGAAATATTTTACTTAACTATCTAAATAGATTTTATTACTTTATTCTTATTATGTGTAATGTAGCAATTCCCAGAAGTTATAATTGCGATGGCAATATCACCTTCATCGACGCCATAACGTCATGTAATAACGTGAAAGTTGCGTATGATTAAGGTAGATAATAACGCTCACCAGAGGAAGTGGGCTGCGGTTTTCTCTGCGGCTGCAATGTAGGTAGCGTGTGCGCGACAGGCGCGGCCACAGGGGCGGGGGCGGCTGCAGGGGCGGGCGCCGGCACAGCGTTGCGCGTTGGGGCGCGGCCACTCGAAATGCCCCCCGCAGGTACATTGTTTGAACTCGCACAAGCTGTATTTATAAACAAGAATAGCTTATTATAGAATAACACATATTCGTACATTAATAGATTAATAAAAAATACACACGAAAAAAAGCGACAACGCACACGTGAGAGCGAGTTGAATATTTGAACATTGAACGGTGCATTGTGTTAGACGTTGTATATACAGGTTGTAACTGATGGGGTATAAGAAGCCGAAACCAATGGATACTTTTCATGAAATAGAACTACTTTTCCCAAGGAGAGTAATTTAATTATGAAAATTAATTTTGAACTTATTATACTAAAGTGAAAAGCTTAAAAAATATTTTCATATTTGGCCTGTTTTTGAAGAATGTTTTACGAAAATTATCGCTTAATTTTTCATTGGTCATATCTTTTCGTTACATGCTATATACCTAATTATAGCTGTACAAATAGTTTGCATGTGAAGCCATGCGTTTAAGCAATGCATGTATACGAGTGATAGGATTCGGCACGAGCTGATAGTATAATAAATACTCCGAAGGCACTAATTCTCCATATAGAATGAACCAATATAGGCGCATTTCCAACCTCACTCCATGCACAAGTTTCCATGATAGGTTGTGTTATGTAGTAAGAGTCGATGGATAAGTACCCTGATTCTGCCACGAATCCATTAGGCAATTGTTAGTATTGCCAGCGCTCTCTAGATCGCTCTCCAATATGTCAGGCGTATCCAAGTCCAAACCTGAACAATGTTCATACACCATGACTTGATGATGTTGATAATACTATTTGTATATCGAGAGTACAGAGAATATAGGTAGTTGAGTAGTTCAAAATTTCACGGACTCCATATTGTTAAGTAACCAACAAAAATTAATATACGAAACTGCAAAACTAAATGAATATGTATGAGGTATGAGATATGAAGCGTGTAAATTGTTGATACCCACTGGGAGTTAAATCTCGCAACGGCGTAATATTGATGTAGGTATTTGTATAGTATCATCGGCGGCGTTAAAAAAAAAGGTATTTGATACGCGTAAAGTGGCTTTTTAACCCCCAGTTCTAATGCCAAGCAGTGCAGTTTGATGGATTTTATAGATTTTCTGTTAATTGTTAACTACTATACATAAAATAAACTAGACGTTTTCCATTAAAAATACATTACATAATATTTTGCCTATAGAAGGACTTATAGTGATTAAATTTTATCAATATTTGGATTGTGATATGACTAATATATCAATATCCGTATAAATATATATTTTATTGTACATAATCATATTTTGAGTATTCATACTTTCTATGAAATCCAATAAGTAAGGTTTTTAAATCAACCTATAAGGTTACCATCTAGTAAAATGTTATACAAATTCGGTTCAGTGTTTCAATTAAATAATACTACAAAAAACATATGAAACGATGAAAACTTAAAAGATCGAGTCAAGAAGAAAAGCTAAAAAAAACAAGGCAGATAATGCAAATGGGAATAGAAATGGTCAAAATAATTACGAGCAATTAGATATCAGTGGGTGAAGGGTGAATTTCAAATAGGTCAATTTACTACTACCTATTAGGGAAGTATTTAGGTCGTTACAACACCCAATTGAAATAAGCATTGTTTTATGCTTATTTCAATACAGTCAAATATCGTTAATATCGTTGATTAATAAGGATGTAGGTATATATAAAGAAGTCGGTATACAGAAACTCCATTTTATCTAATAATATCGTTTATAGAGGATAAACGATCACCGCTGATTAGTCACACTGTGAATGTTTCAAGCATGTATTCGAATATTATTATGTATGTGGTAATAATCATTGACAATGCGAGAATGGTTTTCTAAAAATGAGTCACAGTATTGTCGTAGATGATTTTTGCGGGTTAACTCTCTCTAGTAGGTATAGAAACTTTCTTTTACAGTACATCTGTATTAATAATGTCTTTAACAGTAAAATGTATATATAATAATATAAAATACAAACTTGTAATGGAAGTGGTGCGTGGGCGTTGCAGGAAGGGATGGTTGAAGAATACTTCGAATGACATGCGTTCGCGTGGATTTCGCCGCAGAAGGCCGATGAGAAGGTTGCATAACTCTTCGCTCGTGCCTCCTGGCATTCTGAAATTAAACCGATCTCATTGAATAATAATAATAATTTAAACGTAAACAATTTAATTAAAAATTAATAAATGCAATTTCACCGTTTAGTCTAATGATATTTTAAACTAGATGTATCACAAGGCTTCACCCGTGGTGGTATCGTGTTAAATAGCCTATCAAATGCAAAAAAAATTTTTCATGTTTGACTAGTAGTTTTAGAGATTAGCGTGTTCAATTAAACAAACTCTTCCGTTTTGTTGTATTAGTATAGATAATTTACAATGAGATATGAACAAAATATTAACATTGAATATGTAATGTGTTCTGTATGTATGAAACATGTCTCAATAACAAAGAGGTGACATTCATCCAGGCGTAAACGACATTGTCATATTGGTGTAAGCCTTATGTACGATTTTATTTAAATTTCGGATACGAGGAAAAAGTATTGACATTGAATTTACAATCGGTACTTTTTCCTTGTGTGATCATTCATATGAAAATTATTGCATCATTTTCACACAGGATATTTCTAGGTCTAGTTCAAAGCCCTTCATCCATTACATCCCTTCAAAGCGCTATTCATTTCGAAAATTTAATGGTACAAATGTCACAAATAGTTAGACGTGAGTATACACTATCTGTTTTACTATTTTCATATTTAGAGATTAGTAAAAAAAAAACATCATACATAAGTTTAATCTTAAACATCAGTATCAGTAGTAGTCAACTACAAATAAAGTTAGTTTAAAACCTTAATGTTTATATTATATTATCATTAACCTGTAAGCTTTTACAGGTTAATGATAATCTACTTATTAAACTTACTTGGGCTGTAGACCATGACTGTTTTCATAGAAAGCTTTAAGTTCATGTGGGGTGGTGGCTTGGAACGGAGCTTTGCCAGTCAGGCACTGATATACAATAGTTCCCAGACTCCAAAGATCTGCTTTAGCATCGTACTTAAGCGACATTATAACCTCTGGAGCCTGTAATATAAAAACATTAATTCTCAATTTGGTTTTACATTCATAATAATTGTAATCACAATGATACTTAATTAATACATCAAATAATTAATTACCATGTACATCGGTGAGCCACAAAGTGTGACGGCCATGTTTCCTTCTTCGAGAAACCTTGCAAAGCCGAAGTCAGCTGCACGAAAAGAAATGTATATGAAATACAGTAAATAGAAACTCATATATTTATTAGTATGGAAATTTATTCATGCTGGTATCATTTTTTTTTATTTATTTTCAGATTATTCAATTGTAGTTAATTGGGTTTCGATTACATAGTCAATAATAGATCATTAGTAAATACAATAAAATATATTGGTAATGTTATTAGATGATTAAGCTATTAAAAAATGATTTTCCAGTAAGGTCATGTTAACATAGCTTTGTAACGTTTGTATAGTACGTACCAATTTTGAGAATAATTTCAGAGGGGTGTGGTGTACGAGGCGGCGCGACATTGTGTGTGAGAAGAATGTTCTGCGGTTTCAAATCTCTATGAACTATGCCTTTCGCATGGATAGCCCGCATCGCCTCTGCCAGCTGTCGTAGGAACAACCGGATGGTGCTTTCGCTGAGCAGCCGGTTTGTTTGCAGATAGTCAGCCAGGTCACCGCCATTGCAATACTGTTAAAAGTTTATAAATACGTTAATTAAAATTATTATAGATCGGCACTTGGTGAGACTTGGAATATATATTCGGTTTAACATGCCTAACTCTGCTTGTGTAACATAACGAACGAATTTGGTATCGTACATAACACTGGTAATATCTGCATTATTTGTAAAATTTTAATGACAAACGATTATCAAAATTCCCGAATAAAGGCCTCAGGCATATAATGCAAGATAGGGCTATAAAATATATTTTCCTTCGTAAAGTCTTTACAATAAATTAATTATAATTTTAATGTGTTATCAATTACTTAATAAATATAAAAACATTCAGATATATGCGTATGTAAATCCTTTACATACGTTTGACGTCACTCTTTAAAAAGATAAATCTACATACTCTTCAATATGTTACGAACTTTCTAACATAAACAAAGGAATTGGCGTTGTAATCCAACGGGTATAGCGGAACGTGTTTGTTTAACTGTTTATTAATAGACTGCTCATCCATGGCGTGACCTTTAATCGAATAGTAAAGTGGTAAAAATGTACTATTAATAAAATGTAACATAAATAAAATGCCAATATTTCAGAAATTGTGTAAAATAATCACATTATAATAAACATGCATATTACGTATTGCAGTTGATTGTAAAGGAGCGCTCGATATCTCCTTTAGTATACTGATAACGCGAATCGGTTACGCACGGCAGAAATACTACCTATTTGTATTACTTTTCTATGGAACAAAGATAAAGACAGAAAAATAATGATACGAGCAATTTCCGAATAGGTTCTGATAAATAACCATGATTCAAATAATCATAATATCCGGGCAAATGAATACACCGCAGAATTTCTAAAGAAAAACATGATATTTTTTAACACTGTAATTTGATTTCGTTGCAGAGGAAAATGTGTTACGTAGCGAACCTTGCATTTGCCAGAGATATAAAACTAGTACAGAACGCGCTGCAGTACTCTTTTACATACCAACAAGTTTTTACGCGTTTCAGAATTAGTAGTAGACGCAAATAATGGCGATCAGGTCTACACTGCTACGTATCGGACAAAACTTGTGTATAAAAATGTGTAGCTAAATTGTAGATACAGGTAGGTTACTTATGTTGCGCGTTGTCTGCTTGAAATATTCGTATGTACTTAGGGGATATAGAATATAGAGCGTCAAACATTATTTTCTCGTTTATGCAGAGCGTCGTTATCGAACTGATTCGCGATAAGCTGCGCGCCCTGGTAATCTTATCATTGAGTGATAATAGTTTTAAGTGTCAGTGAGTTATGTGCGCTACGCACTGTTGGTACTTGCGGCTCAGGTAACAACTCCTGAGTTCAGTTGGCTTCAATTGGCACGCCTCACAATAGTGTTTGCATTTGTGTGACCATGAAGGGGAAACATCTTTGCCTTTTGTTGGTGGCAGTTATTGCGTAAGTGTTCAAAATATCTTAAATATGCCTATCGTAAATACTATAATAGGTTATACTATGGATTCATGATGTAATATATAGTTTTGTTAAATAGATATTTATACATGTGCATAATAAACATATGTCTAATAGTAAGCGTACTGGACATGTATAATAGGTATGTAACTAGTTGTAATAAAGTTAGAAACATCAGATTATACTGATATACCACTAAAGAATTTATATTTTGTAAAAGCCTTCTATGATCTAGGTCAAAAGTTATTTCAAAGAGTTGATCTTTTGTGTGTTTATGTGACATTCAATGATAAAAAAAAAAACATATTTTATAATCTGTTTTTGAAAATTATTTTTTACTTTTGCTGTGCATTAAATCAACAGATAGTATAGTTTAGTACAAAACAGATATTGCATGTTTTGCCAAATTAATATCAGAAAAGTTTATTATTATCACTTCCTACACGATTAAATACCTTTTTTGGACAAACATTTCTGATCTTCACTTTTAATTTTTAGTTGTATTTACTTTTTATTTATATATTATAAAATTCTGAATACTTTCTGCTACGTTCTTGTGGTAGTTATCAGTTTCCTTATCTTTTACTTATAAGTAAAAACTTAAGGTACGTCATCAATTCTGATAAAAATATATAGTAAGAGTCACGTGTCGAATCAATTTTCAGATCCGCTACCGTAACAGTAGCTCAGAGTGAAGATGAGTTGCCTATACCTGTAGAGAATAACAACCAGTTTCCACCTGAAGACCAGCCAGAATCCGATGACAATATAATTCAAGGAAGTGGAAACGGGGCAATTGTGGAACCAGAAGATCCTATTGCTTCCACGACTGAATTAAATCCACCGATTGAAGAAGTGCAATCAAACACACAAATAAGTGAAGTCGAAATATCACCAAGTGAAGAGACACTTTGTCCTGAATCGTGTTTATGCAGTTTCGAGGGTAGTGATTTTGTCACGGATTGTTCTGGATTAGGATTCAAAGATTTACCCAAATCTATAGACATAAAAACTACAAAATTGAAAATACAAAACAATCAATTAACTGAAATTCCAAAGGATATATCATTGCTTAAGAATGTGAATTTTCTAAATGCTAGCAATAATTCGATCATGGACTTGGCTTCAGGTGTAAGTTTATCTATATTATTAGTTTATTGTAAAAAAAAAATTGTTGAGGTAATTGTAATAATAGTAATTTGTAAAGAGAATATTTACAACCATTCTCCATCGAATCGTAAATTTATCTATTCTTTAAGTATACTAAAATTATTAAATGTGAAAGTGAGTTCGTTACCTCTAGGCGCCTAGATTAATTGTTATGAATTTTAGTAATGTACCAAACAATCAATAACCTCAGTCATGCGGTATATGTTAATTTCATATTATTATTTTAGTCATTAGTATTATTTAAGTGTTTATTACTATATATTATAATTTATTAATATTATTCGAAATAAGGATATCCGCAGAAGAGAGAGCAAAGTGACCGACATAGCCCGAAATATAAACAAAATGTAATGATAATGGGATGGTCATATAGTTTGAAGAATCGACAACGAACGAAATAACGGTTTTTTTAGGGGGATCCCGTACATGCAAACGCAGTGTAGGACGACCTTCCACTAAATGGAGCCATCGTCATCCTATCAGCCGTTAACTGAACATAAGTCTCCCCTTTGGAGGTTTTGCCAATAGTTGCCATGCTTGGCAGGCGGAATGGCAGAATAACCGCAGTTAGGCTTTCGTGATATCCTGATGGAATCCTTAGATCATTATGTTATCTTAGTTGCCTTTTACGAGATCCACGGCAAAGGAAGGTATTGCCTATCCTATACCTGGACCATATTAGATAGAGTGACGGATCTCAAATGCATTTCAAAGTATTAGTAGATGCTGATGGCTCAGGACCGTTCCTTATGGCAGTTTACAGGGGAAGCCTATGTTCAGCAGTGGATAGATAATTTCTGATATGAGTGTGATTATTTAAGTCTCTTCTGTTACACAAAAAAAAAAAAAGAATTGAACCAGCTAGTTTTTGTCTTGATGTAAGATTAACAGAGTTATTACGAAGAACGTGTAGCAATATCAGGGTTATTAGCCTGTTTTTAAGGTCTTTACTTGATCGCTCTTTATATCTGTAAGTTATTAATTGAAGTGACAAAAACAATTTAGAATCAAAACTACAAGTATCAAAAGATGGCGTCAATGATAATCTGTAAAGATATGATGGTCAGTCAATAAGGTCGAAGTTGCATTACTTGCTATATCTTAGTACTGTAGTATTATTTTACCAATAATTAATTTGATCTATATATATAAATATATTCGTCTGCGTGACTTGGATCTCTTGATTAATCGGAATAAATAGTAACTTATGTCTTTCTCTATCCCATATACGATTGGTTGTGCCATTAAAGCGCTAAGAGGTAGCAACAAGCAAAACAAACATACTTTCATTTTTATAATATTAGTAAGGGAGGAGAGATATAGTCTGTTTTAATAGAATATAATGAAAAGATAACCAAGGTTTGTTAAAATTATCACAGAAATACATTAAATAAAATTAATAGCAAACCGATAAAATCAACCAATTAATTGAGTTTTGATTTGGATTTAAACCTATTGTATTATAATCACATAAACTATTTGTTTGTTTATATTTATTAAGTAAGTTTTATTTAAAACAGAGTATATCTAATTCTATTATTATAATATTATTGATTTCTTTCATTTACTAGTGATAATTAATAACAATTTATTAGATTTATATACCTATATATGTTGTTGTTAATTATCACTAATTTATATTAGTATTTTTATTTATGTAATGTTTGAATTATTTCTGTTCCTTATGTCGGTGTTGTTTCTATTAATTACAATTTATTTTTTTAGTCCATAAGTACCAGGCTAGACCTCAGTAACAATCGTTTAATTGAATACCCTAAAGACTTGAAAAATGCTTTTGGTTTGACAAAATTGACGGATCTCGTATTAGGAGGAAACGATATGAGAACGGTATGTTACTTTTTTAACTAAATAATTTATATATATATATATATATATATATATATATATATATATATATATATATATATATATATATATATATATATATATATATATATTATGTATACAAACTACACATGCATGCAATCAAATGGTTTCATTCGGTCACTATTTAAGAAACTTAATTAGTTCTCATCCTACTAATATTATATATGCGAAAACCAAAACTCTACCTTTCTTCCTTTCCATAGCTAAACTACTGGAAGAATTTATCCTGTGTTTGGTAGATCTGAATCAATCTATCACGATTTGTAATGGACGCAGAAGTGTAGTTCTTCTACTATTTAGTGGTTTGTTCATATTATCAAGTAAGAAATAAAAGTTCAGCTTAACTCTTTTAGAGTTGAAATGCATATATTTGGTATAAAGGCAGAGTCATATGTTATAGTTTTTTTTAACCATATACGTATGTGTATTCGTATCTGTATGAATTTGTATATATGTATTTATATATTTATATGTGTATTTGGATTTATTTAAGTATTTATATTGTATATATGTATTTTAAAAACTAACAATTTCGTGCCTGCGGGCAAACTGTTCATAATTACTCTTCTCCATCCAAAAGTGTTCTAGAAGAAATCGCTCTTAGCGATAAAGCCGCCCATTATTTTCTCAGTGTAAACCTTTCTGATAATTAGTTGTATTACTAATGTAATCTTTTGAAGGAAACAATAAAAAATATCTATCTATATGCAAAAAATACAAAACAAGATAATTTATTAAAGCACTTTCTATAAAATGATACATCAACTTAATTTTTTATTTTACAATCATGAACATTGAATTGTTAATAAATTAAACTTACACATACTTATGCAAATAAAAATTCAACGGCAAACTAAACATATGATAGTACCGTAATGATTTTTATTTTTATAAGATTATATTATCGCAATCGCAATAAACCCTATGGTTTAAAAGAAGCCTTAAAATTTAGAATAAAATTAATAAATAGAAAATATGTTTTGATTACAGTCTTTGGACCCTGAGACTCTGTCGAAATTTACATCTCTTCAAAAGTTAACATTGCCATCGACGCTTACTGACTTACAAACGAAAGAAGATCTATGCAAATCTTTAAACAATATGCTAACAACTATATGTATTGAAAACTGTGAAGCTAAATCATATGACTGCTCCAATGCATCCGATGATTCTGACATGAACATGTTAGACGCTGCACTTCCTGGAACAATATTTAGTGAGAATAATGAAGATAATTCAGACCCCAACATCAATGCAACAAATGAGGATAAAAATGACAATTCTGATAATTCAGATCCCAATATCAATACCGTAAATGAAGATGAAGAAAAAAGTGATATTTCGGAATCTGTGGATACGCCCAAAGACAGTAGAATAGCGCCTACAGGAAATATTTTAGATAATGATGATAATACAACTTCAAATAAAAAAGATTCGTCTACCAGTGAATTTTCTCTTCGAAGCGCCGTCATTAAAGACCCAATAGCAGTATCTTCACAAAATTCTATAATAGATGCTACTCAAGACACATCTTTGAAGAAAGAGTCTAATAATCCCAACATTAGTGCAACCACTGCAGGAAACAATACCGGTGGAGTAAATAAAAGTGTGATTGGATTAATTGTAGCTGGTATGGTACTTGTTATTGCTGGTATCACAATTAAAAAGAACTGGAATTCTATCAAAAAACGATTCAGTTCGAACTCAAATTCAAGAACACCAAATGAACACCCTACTGGTAATGCAAATGGCACAGCGCCAGAAGAGGTTCCGCTGCAGGATAAATCACCCGTTTAAATAAAGAAAATAACATTTTTATATGTGTTGATGCTATGTATGATATGCGTGGATTTGATCTGAACGTAAAAAATATTTATTGCCAAGCCAAATGTCACCATGTTTTGCGCTTATGGAGTATATTATAAAGATGATTTTATATGAATAATGATTTGTGTGCGAATGTGAAATACCAAAATGGTTTGTACGCATGGAATTAATCAGATAATAGTTTAAAATGTTGTCATAGACTGTGAGAATATCTGTAAGAGTTATCTGTATATGATATGTGTGCTAGATGTAAGAAATATTTAAAAAGTTAATATTATCAGGTTTGCTTTGATAAAAATGTATCTTTAACAACGAAAAAATAGCCTTGATAACCTGTTTTTAATTGTAAATAATATAACGTACAACAATAATATTAGAACAATATTTCAAAACTTTTGTACTTAACATAAAAATATGAAATAAACTATTTTAAAGTTACTTTTATCCTGTAATATATTTATTTAAATATACAATATAGTCAGTATTTGCTATGATACATATTTATCTTGCTATGTAGTTATATTAATATATTCCTTGGTCACTAATTTTATTCAAAGTCTTAAGTAATAGTCCATTAACAAAACAATAAGGTTAATAAAATAAGTTTACCCCCAATGAAAGAAGGTAAAATTTATCTAAATTCGTGCGGGTTAAGTCACAGAATACAGCTACACATCACATATTTTTACATAATATCTAGAAAAAGATATATAGCGATATAGGTAGTTTGTTCCTAAAAAACTTGATGATTGTTTTGACTTTATTAAATTTTATTAGTAGCAAGCTTTTGTAACTTGTCGCTGCTTCGCTTGTGCAAATAGTATGAGTTTTGACATTTAGATTGTTTAGCAGTTATATTTTTTAAATAAGCACGTTCCTGGTATATGCACGTAACTTAGATTAATCAATTACCTTATTTGTTTACCTTAATAATAATAAAAAAATGACAAATTTTTTTCAAATCAAATGTACAAAAAACAAAAAAAAAACATCAAATACTAATCTGTATGTGTATGCATAACATAATTAACTATATATTGCAAGCAAACTTTATTAATATAATAAAATTGTTACTATTAAGTAAGACCAAAAGAGCGCAGAACAATAATTTTTAGAAATTTCCTGTATATCTGTCTGTATGTACTCTCTTTGTCTATCTGTATCTTTATTATGCAAAAACTACTGCACCTAATCGGATTCGGTTTTCACAGTTATTTCCTGAAGGTCTAACTTAAAATTTACTATAAATTTCATTTTGATATGCCATTTAGAAATGAATTGGTTTACCTAATTCTGAAATCACGCATACGAAGTGCACAAAAGTTGGGTAGCTGCGCGTCAAAATAAAATACCTACACTATTTTCCGATAACCATTCAAGAGCCCAATATATGCATTTTATTTTGTTCATTTTTTGATAGTAATTTCCTTGCTCTATATATTATACAAAAAAAAAAAAATGTTTAAAATATTACTAAGTAGGATTTATGCACGGTGTGAGAAGTGTTTTATCATAGTCGCCGTCTAGAAGATATGCTCACTAAAAACAGCGCCACAATGTTGCTTGTTTAACGTTATTACAGAATCATATATTTGGGCATCTTGAAATAAGCAGTTTCATTAAAAATTAATATGGAACAGATATTTGTTACTAAATCACGATTAAACGGATGTATGGATTTGAGTAAATTTGGTTATAGATATACCAGATCTAGATTATCACAATAGATACTTTTATTTTAACTATTACAGACGAAGTCAATCGATAAATGTAGTAGAAAATATTTCATTTTCTTTAGAGGCGTAACTTATGATTGCGGAACTTTGTAATTACGGAAATATCTACCTATTTTTTAATTCATAAACAAAAAGTGAACATTAAGGTTGTTGACATGGTACAGATAGTGTTGTTATCAGATCAGATGAGTACGTAATAGTGTTTACTATTTCTTGTACATGGGGTAACAAATATCTAAAGTACCTAAACTCCTTACATGGCTCATGTTGTTTTTGTTCAAATTATTTCAATTGCGTATTTGGAGAGACGATGATAAATGTAGGTTACGATAATGCAAAATAAACAGGACAAAGGCAGGAAGAGAAAGAAAAAAATTATTCGTACTCTCCATAATACTATGATAGGTGAATATTTTTTTGTCGATGACAAATGAACAGTATGAGAAGAAGAAATGCTGGTTTGTAAAGATCACAATACTTGACGAGTTGTAAACGGAGGCGGATGTGCGGATACCTGACTACCAGTTGATCGCAGCGTAGCGTAATATCCCATTATATTGAACAGGACTTAAATTTAAATAGATGTCGCAAAAAATTTACTGCAGAAAATAAATTCACTTTATTCATAAAAATGACAAACCTCTCATAAACCTATTTTAGTTATTGAACTGTTTTGTATATTTTTTTGGCGTTCAATTCTTAATTTGAAAGAATATGACAAAACAGTGTAATAGTTAAAATAGGTAAGTAGGTTGTAAAAGGGTTTAGTTTTTATGAATAAAGGGGTAAATATATACTTTGTTTATAAATTTTTTGCTCTAAAATTATATTTTACAAAGAGATGGATTAAATTTAGAATTGTCTAGTTTAGAATTGTTTAGAAAATTACGAGCTCACTGTGTTTTGTTGTTTCTGTCAATTATTTATTTATATAGACACCGGAAAAAATATAAATTTTAAAATTTTCGAGTTGTTGCTCCTATATGAAATTTATATAGAAAAAAAAATTGTAAACTTCAAAAACCAACATTACTTACAGATGATATTTTCGAAGGATTTAATGTAAAAATAGGTTTGTTATCAAATATAAAGGGCATCAGAGTAATTGGTAATATTTACAGTAATTAAAAAAACATGTTAGTGGCATGTTTAGTTTTCGTGGTAAGTATTTGCGTCGTTTATATCAATCTATGTCTCCGAGTCACCTCGTTCATCCTATACATTGTGCAGAAACGGAGGCTGTCGGTCATTCCAATGTTTTTATCATGACTTTAAACAATTCGTGTGACTTTGTGTCCAAAAAAGATATCTGTATTCGTTAGTCGAGCACGGTCATTGACTTTGACTGTGTCAGGTCTACGTCCTGAGCAAATGACATGAAACTGCGCAGCGACACAATGCTTGTGTAAACATTATATGTACTCATATAGAGGGAGCATTACATTCAAGCTACATAATACGATAACAATAAGTTCTAGGTATATTTTAAATTTATTTTCATTAAAATCTGAAGTTGTGCGCAAATGACCCTGTTTTAACGTTTGTAAATTTGAAAAGGTTGCTATCCTCGTAATTTCAAATAACCGATTACAAGTAATAGGCTTCAATGCCAATTTATATTAATTGCAGTTAATGGAAACAGAGAAACAGTACATTGACACACTAACCTTCCAAATACATAATTGGAGGAGTGCGGAAATGCTGACCAAAAATAAGAGAATTTACAAGTTTCTTTGATACTAGACTTTTTAACAAGTACCGGTGCCAAGTTGAACTCAGCAACGAGAATTAAAATATGAATTGAACCGGTTTTGTGAGCTCACTCAGTTTTGACAGTATACCTACACAACATATAGTTGCATATAGGGGGGAGAGTGCAATTGAAATTAACATTCCCATTACTAGCAATATAGAGTATATTGCTAGCACATATATGACACACATAGATGAGGTCGACCGCCATGCGGTTCCCCCTAGAAACCATCATGATTAGTTCTTGTTGAATCTGTCACAATGGACAATTTGACCTGGTTTCATTCTCACCTATCACTCCTTACAGGTGTACCGACAGCGTATGCCGATAGCGCAGGCGGGATAAGCATTTTATTATCATCCATCAAGAATATAGTTGCATATATTATATACAAAAACAATCTGTTTATGTAGTAGCCATGAATTACATAGTTTAAAAGCTCTGAATGAAAAGTCCGAATATTACATTAAGCTGTTATTTCATATGAGATAAAGAAAATTTGTAAAGAAAAGGTATACGCATATCCCATTAAAAACTTATAACGATTAAAATAAATATTGATTTAGTATCTGCGGGTCTACCACGAAATGAAATTCCGAAATTTCGAACTCAATTTCGTGTTTTTGTTTATACCAAAACCGGACCAATAAATGGAGTTTAACATTTCTTTCGTCATACATCCTATCATAAAAGTCAAAAGGAACAATATTTTAACATTTTTAATATTTTCAAACGGCATGTATTATGTAATTTTAACATCAAATTTTTGTTTCGTTTGGCTCTGAAATTTCGGAAAACATTTTATGGTAGGCCCTCGATAACCGTGTCAGTGAAGCACACGGTACCATCTAATTACTTATATGTATATATTTGTATGTAACAATTTTGAAATGGACTACACTAATGGTATTTTTAATCATAATTTCGATATTTGTAACTATAGTATAAATATAATATATAGAGTATAATAAAAAGAATATGTATAAATCTGCTTGTGTAAAAAACAAGTTTTATGGATATTAATCAATAATGAAGTAATTTAAAAGAGTGCCGTTAACGAATAAAATAAGGTCAACACATGATAATGTAAATAAATAAATAATCAGGGCTTTAATATTTCTTTATACCGTTATTAAAATTAAACTTTAGACAGTTTAGGCCTGACATATTATTTATCCTTATTGATACGTAGTTTAAAAGTTTAATCACTTTTTAAGAACGACTGATGTATTTACCATATGATTAAATAAATAAATAAATCACCTTTTGATTATGAAAATGTTGATATGAAATGAAATGTTTATCTAACTGTCTCGTTCATGCGTGACGCGACTTTGTTCGTGCTAATTAATCTAATCTATTCACTAAGTATTGAATCTATCACGGTAAGGCCACGAATATATGAATACAGGGAAGACATTATGTTATAACGATTACAAAAAATAGTCCAAAATATCGGACATCAACAATGAATTTACACAATATATAAAAAAATTATATATCTATGACATTTCGAATATATAATTTTATAGAATTTAATCCTTTGGAAAACAAGAGTTAATGTGATAAGCAATAGTGCGTTGTAGCAGTACTAAAAACGGATGCATAGAGAGCTGTGGTTGGCACTATCTTGCTTTCGAGCCTGGGGCAGAATGTCGTACTACGTGAAGTTAGCCTGACGCAATGTTGCGTGTTTATTACCTAGACAGGCGATCGTCCGTCTCATCACGGGTATTCAAAGCGAAAGAGAGAATATAACAACTGGAGATTTTATGCAAATTAGTACATAAATATTACTTTCATAACGTAGTAGGTACTAGGCAAGATCGAATACTACACGGAAGATTAGAGAGATTGGTTTGCTCTGTATTGAGACGTTATATTACAGATTACTAGAAAAACTTAATATTAGTTTTGAGTAACTTTAAAATGCCAGAAACGATGGAAAG